TTGTTATTCGATACCCTCGTCGGACGTAGTGCGTGTGAAGTGCAGACGCAAGTGCATTGACAGCGTCACATGAGCGCTGAAAAAGAGAGCGATAGAAGGCGAGCAGCTCGACGGATATATAGCCATTCGGGGCTGGAGGGTGCAGTAGGGAATAAGCCATGGGAAACGAGTGTTTGTGCTAAGTTTGCGCATCTACAGCTCATTGCGTCAATGGAGATGAAGTCTAGAAAGAAATTAGCTGATTTAAGTCAAAGAATGCGACCGATACTTACAGTCGAAAAAGAGACAGGTAAGAGATGTGCGTTTTTGTGCACATGTGTGCGAGCTGCACAAAGACAGAACCTTTGGCGTTCGTTCGAGAGGCGCGCCTAATGTCCGTGCAGTGTAGTCTAGTTGGATGTCGACTAGAGTAGGAATAAGTGCTTTCCAGCTGTCGTATAAGCGAGTAGATGTAAGATCAGGCTGGGTACGACGACTCGGTGTGGATTGTGAAGGAGATTGGGGAGAGCAGTTGTCATGAGGTTCAGGGACATCTTCCCAAGCCTCGTTAGCATCATCCTTGAGAACCACAGCATCCGTTTCCGTCTCTGGCAGGACAGGTGAAGTTTCTTCAGGCTTCCGAGTTGCTGAACCGGCGAGTAGACTTGCCATCTTGGCAAGCAACTGGTTATGTTTAGCCTTCTGACCTGGCACTTCAACAAGCACCTGGGTTTTCCGCTTGTCTCTAAGTTTCCGTGGGCTGGAAAAGTGGGTACCCAGCCCAGATGACGTGCCGGGTTGAGCAGCGCGGGTACCCATACGAGGGGCCATGATATCTTGACGGCTGGAGCAGAGGAGTTGAGAAAAAAATGGCTAAGTGGCAAGTGACCATTGTCATTGAGGTGGAATCGGATGCTCTGGGACAACATGTAAGGTACATTCGAGGTATCTAAATTTCAACGGGATGCGCAGGAGGAGCGTGCTGCACCGGAACAGCGTACAGCAGGAGGCAACGAGGCAAATTGATATTTTTAGATTGTAGCTATATTTACATACGGCGGATCCTCCCGGATGAAGGGTCTTTCAGCTCAGTTTCCCATAACATAGAAACCAGGTCTAAAAGACCCTTCATTGCCACCGAGAAGTACTGCCTGAGGTGTTTTATGTACTATAAGCAGAGGGCTATTGTTACAAACATCAATGGATGCACCATTAGCTCTCTTTGTCCAAATAAAGAATGCACCTGACACCAGTTATAATCAGCAGTGACTATGAATGGTTTATTGAACTGGTGTAGAGTGGATCTTTGTGAGATAAATGATTTCATGGAGAAATCCAAGACATCCCCAGCAAAGAGGATCTTGTATGCAGGTGAATCAGAGAGATGTGATGCAAAGGGTATGACTTCATATATCAAAATAATGACTGCAAAGTCAGCTTCTGAATAGACAGTGATTTCCATGTTCATCTTATTGAAGACATGATCTCTATATTCTGTAAATGCACATTCTATAAGCACAGAGATTGTCACATTGACTATCAGACTATCTACATGCATTAAGGTGATCACCATGTCTGGTGTTATGGATTTACTTTCAACTTGAAGAGGGTAATTCATATGAATTCTAGGACCTCATAATCATAAAGAAGGTTGACAATTGCTAAAGTGATACATAGGCAATGTATGGATGACCAATGGGTATCCACAAGCTCACTCCTACCTAACCCACCACTTACTCATACCCATAGCCTAAGGGTATGCAAGGGTATGAAGAGTATAAAACCCATGATGAGTAACCTATGATCCACATATTCATATATATTATCCACTATAAGCTACATATCTAAATTTTGATGGTGTCCCAGCCATTAAGTAATTCTTTCCCCTTACCATCAACATTATTGAGTACAGCAACAGCTTTGACATCAGTATTATGCACTATACCCAGTTTACTCCAAGTTTCAACACACAGCAAGGCTTAAATAGATTGTCAAGATAGTTGACTTTGAACATGAGAGAGATGTAATATGGATAGGTCTTTTGGTGCATGAGCCTGTGGCTTGCTTTTCTCTTTTGACATTCAATAAGAACTGTTGTGCCTTTTTAGTAGGTCTATATTGTCTTTTATCAGCCATTTATATGAATATGTTGTCATAAGATAAAATAGAAGCACTGCTTAGAATAAAATAATTCCAAGAATAATCAAAGAGTGCAAGTCCTAGTTTAATGTTTGCAATGTTCTACTACCATATAGAGACAAAACTGTATAGTTCAATATGTCTTGTCTGATGATGAAACACAGTTGAGATACTCATAATGCATAATGTATTAAAATTATAATAAATGAGGATCCAATCTTTTCCACCAAACTAAGTGAACATAGAAAGAAAATGGTCAGACAGGCAAAGTCAGGGACTGCATCAAGAAATCAGCATTGACTGGCTATTCTTAGATATAGTTAATAAAATCAGATCAAAAATCTACCAGATTGTATAAGATTATATACAAAGGTAAAGCTTGATATAAGCCTAGCAAATTGGTATTGAGTAATAAGGAAATGCAAGAGAGCCAACAATCTGATTAAGATCTGTCATGTCTTATAGGTGTATCAACAATTCTCCACCAAATGGTCACCACTACTGCCACTTGCATGACATTGTCGGTGTTGCACAGTAGACACTTAGGTAAGTCACATAGTTTAAAATTTTTCATGTTCAACTTCAATTTGTACTTTAAAATTTGTACTTGTCCACATCAAAGTCTTGTAAGTATTCTCATTAGCACTCATCTTTAAATTTTTAAATAGTAATTCTAGTCCAGCATTGTCTCTGCACAGAAACTCCAAATTCTCTGATCAGCCTTGGTAAGTGGATGTTGAGGCATTGTGGGTATCTTTCTCTAAGCTTCAGAGATGCATGTATTGTACATTTTTATGCTGCTTCACTACACTAAGTTACCTTATTTTTTGTGCATGATCTTGTCTTTTGACTTACTCACCCAATGCTGATGATGCTATGGCCATGTCCTGCTCTCAGACTGTTCATGATCCCATCTTTTGACTTGCTTACTCAATGCTGATGGTGCCATGCCCTTGTCCTATACTCAAACAGTGTGTCACACCCCCTATAACAAATAAACACAAGGGCAGAGACTAGGACTCAAATGAAGGTTGTTACGATAGAAAGAGATGATATTGAGCAGGGACATTTGGGCTGATACAATGAGTATAGACAAAAGGTTTAAGCTAAAGAACTACTGACTACAATCTATAGTAGTTTTATTTGAAGTGGTCTGGCATTGTAAGGATGGGCAGATGTTTGCAACATGTGTCATGATTGTGTCTTTGGCAGTTTTCCCCAATGTAGTCTACCTATCCAAAACTTTATTAAGGCTTATGAAATTTTGTCGAGGATGGAAGGTATTCACAATATGTGTCATGATTGTGTCTCAGCAGTTTTCACCAATGTGGTCTGCCCATCTAAAGCTTTGTCAGGCCAAGTGCAATTATGATAGATATTATATAAATTTTATGATAGACAGAGCTTTACAAAGCTATGTCATTTTCAGGTCAATTTCCTAATAGGCTGGCAGCTCACAGCCACTACTGTAGAGTTATGATCATAACTTTGCACCCTTAGCTTCACAGCTTCATAGGACCTTGTGATGTATGACCTATCCAAATTAGCTTTGTCCCTGACTCCAACCCATATTTTGCACTCTTATCAGAGCTTTGACAACTTTTCTCATTGTACTTCATAGGCTGCACAGAATTGAGTTAAAAAGAGAAAGGGGTATTTTTTAGCATTTTTTTTCTTATTTTACTATGTGTCAAAATAGCTTTGTGACCCCAAACTTTGTGTGACCGTCACTTCAAATAGCTTCAATTCATCAGGGGGTGGGACGTGTGATGAAGTTATGGTCGTAACTCTACAGTACTATGATTAAATATCAGATTTGAAATCTGGTCTTGGTGTGACTCATGCCAAGTGGTTAGTGCAATAGATTCAAAATCTGATGAACCCCCTTGGACAGCACAGGTTTCAAACCTGCCAGCAATTTTTTTCTGCAGTTGTGACTCTGACACCTGGACATTCACATATGAACAGAGTTTCTTGGAGGCTCATCTTGACCAGTCATAGTTGTCCCCCAAACAGTTATGAAATCTGTTGTTCTTGTAGCTGAACTCTTTTTTTATCTGTGATAGCTGGTTGGCTGTGATGCAAGCTAGACACGAGGTAAGTCTCAGCGAACGTGAAAGCAACACTAAATTTGATATCTACCTAGACACGAGGTAAGTCTAGGTAACAAGTCAGCAAGACTAAATACGAGTAACAACAAGAGCAGGCATACCTCAGCGAACATGAAAGCAACACTGAGGTGATCTGCGTACAAGAGAGGCTTTTAAGTATTAGGTGTCAAGAAGTCCGAGGTGGAAAGAAGTGATATCAGCTATAGCAACAATGGTGAGGACTGCCCAGAGTGTCGAAGGTGCCAAGAGGTAATAAGTCTCAAAAAGGAAAGCGAAAGGCTACCCGGAGGCTAATCCCCCAGGTTTTGTATTGTGTGGACGCATACTTCTCTTCTTATTTCCAACAGGCTGCATGTCCATAATGAGGAATTCACCTTGCAGGATGCTTCATCTCTCAGAAATATGATACATCCACAACTCCCACAGTATGTACATGTCACCCTAGGAAGTTTAGGTCTGGTGTTGTTCATATTAAGACTAGATACAGTTAGAGACCTCAGTCGTAGTGGAATGAACTATATTGGTGTACCTAGACACAGTTAGAGACTACATAAGATCATAAGTGTCTAGGTGAGATAAGAAACAGAGAACAGAACTCACCCTCAGTCATAGTGGAACGAACTGAGGGAGAGGAATAGGAAGGGGGACAATTATATAGATGGTTAGGATTCCTATTGCTCAACTCCGCAACATAACATAACATATGTTGCCGCCGCGTCGAATGCTATGCATCAACAGTTCACAGCTACGATTTAGCATCATCGATCTGGATTCTTTGATCAGTGTTACTGCAGTTTTGCTATGATTAAAATAAACCCTAACCACGATGCGAATCCTGTTATGGGGCGTGACATCCGATATCCGACACTTCACCTTGAACGCGTCACCTAGTACAAACGACCGCGTAAAGCATCCAATATCAGTTCATTTCGTCTACCTCCATCATGGTACGTGCAAGGTCTATGCTCTCCGTGATTTTATTGTTGAAAGATTCCCTAGTTTCGGAACACATACGACTCTGATAACACCGTCTTCTCGCCACAAGGTCGTCTCCACCAGGTCGAGTATGCGCTCGAAGCCGTGAAGCAGGGATCGGCGGCAGTGGGCCTGCGATCGAAGACCCATGCGATCCTTCTTGCTCTTAAGGTCAGTAGATGCTAATTACTTCACGACGACTCTTCACAAAGAATCCATACAGCGTTCCACAGGAGAACTCGCTTCATACCAGCAAAAGATGTTCCGCATAGATGATCACGTCGGCATCGCCATTGCTGGGCTTACTTCAGACGCACGAGTACTCAGGTGTTTATTGAGTTTTAGGGTGTATAGCATACATTCTGACTTGACTGCAGCAACTTTATGCGACAACAAGCAATGGGAGAACGTATGATGTTCAACAGACCTATGCCAGTAAATCGTCTCGTCTCTTCCATCGCCGATAGTATGTGCTAGAGTGGCTCTTGTATGGCTGATGCTCATATTGTTGCTTGTAGAGGCACAAGTGAACACGCAGGAGTATGGTCGTAGACCATATGGAGTTGGTTTCCTCGTCATTGGTCAAGATCAATCAGGACCCCATCTTTTTGAGTTCTCGCCATCAGGAAATTCGTATGAGTATTATGCCATGTCGATCGGTGCTCGCAGTCAGAGCGCAAAAACCTACTTGGAGAAGCATTATGAAAGTTTCGCAGATTGTATGTGCTGTATCCGTCTTACATCGTGTTCATGCCATTGACATTGTTGCAGGCAACCTCGAGGACCTCATTCGGCATGGTCTCCATGCCCTCCGCGAGACCCTCCAACAGGACAAGGAGCTTAACGTGAATAACACGTCGGTAGGCATCATTGGACCCATGGGTCAACATGAAAAGCCCATTTCGCCGCCAGGCAGCTTCCGCATCTTAGAGGGTGACAAAGTAGAAGTATACCTTCAGAGTATGGAGAAGGAGAAGGAGGAAGCACCCGCATCCGTACCTGATGCAGCACCAGCGCCTACTGCTGATGAGGATGTACAGATGTCAGGATAAACTAAGATATAATAACAGCCACCTTTCTATTTGGTCAATCACAAAAGCTGGGGTTCGAAAGACTCAACGACTGTCAGTGAGATACAGAAGTCGTGGTTTGGTTCAGATACATAATGATAAATGAGTGGTGATGTGTAGCTCCAAAAATGTTGGGTCATGTGTCTTACAGGCTAGAGCTCTTTGCCTGCATTCCAGCTTTCCTCCACATCTGTGCGGCTAAGCCTGGCCTACGCAATGATACTAGTAAGTGCACCATCGCGCTCAGGAGAGCAATACTTCCCGCCTGATGAGCAGCTGCAATGGGCACAGGGACAAGGTATAATAATGTTGCAAGACCCAGAAGAACCTGTACATTTGCCATGGCAAAGGCTGCCGTGACAGATGTGCGAGCATGTGGTGGCAACAGCGCACGGATGGCGGGTCGTCGACTGTAAGCGAAGAGCATGCAAATGCTGAGATACGTAGTCATCGCCTGTAATCGAACACTTAGAAGAATACAATATAGGAAAGAACGAAACGTACGAGAACTCGATGATCGAACTGAACGGTAGTGGGATTCTCAAAGATATTTCTCCACCAGATATCAGATCCATCGGCATTCTTTGCATAGGCGGCCGAGAATAAATCATCCATGGGGGGTGCAAGTCGGCCACCCATCAGCGGAAATTCGTTGTATAGCAGACCGGCATCCAGCCCAGCAACAAACGCGCCTGCACATAGACTGTAATTACACTGAAATGAAAGCCGAAATGAACGAACCTGATAATGCAGTCAAGAAGACTAGTGCACTCAACCCTTTGGACAATCGAGAAAACCTCTTCACAACAGGATTTAAAAGCACGTTCTGCCAATTCATAGTGCTGGACCCGTTCCACGAGCCACCTCTGGCGTATCTCCAATCTTTGATCACCGCTAGCCCAGTTCCGAGCATCCCTGCGTACAGCACCACGGCCGTTCCGAGATGAGCTGCCAAGCGGTACTGAGAGACGCGGGGTACTGCGCCCGGCGTGTCCATGATGGAGTCTTCTAAGCCTGATTTCACCATGTACCATCCAAGGAAACCTTGAAAACCGATGAGCAGTGCCATGCCCGTCAGTTGCATAGGCATCGAGGCAGTGAGCTTCTTCCGGAGACCAAAGTAAGCCAGAGGGACCACAAATGCAATTCCAATAAGGCGCCCAAGTACGCGGTGACCCCATTCCATGTAAAAAATGTTCTTGAATTCATCGAGGGTAATAGAGTGATTGAGACTGCAGTGGTGCGTTCACGAGATGATCCAAGGAGAAGGCATGAAAAGGATGCTCACAGTTTAAATTCAGGGGTAGCCTTGTACTTCTCAAATTCAACACTCCAATCTTCCACATTCATAGGTGGAACAATGCCCGTGATGGGCTTCCATTCCGTGATGCTCAGCCCTGATTCGGTGAGACGAGTTACTCCTCCCACCACTATCACCGCAAAAAACCATTGCTGATGAGAATAAGAGCCAGCGCCCAACTGCTGGTGGGGCAAGCACAGGTAATTGTGATGTCTGTGCGGCACCATGAAAGGCGTTCGCAGAGAAGAATCGAGGCTCGAGTGAATGAAGAACAGCCGGCTTTCGCTGCGCGACGACTGAATAACACCTCCGGTAGAGCCACGAGTTACAGGGAACTGAACTTGTGACTTCAAGGCATGACTTGGGCACTGTTCTTCTGGAAAAGTTGACCGGAGCAGTTGAAAATGTACGCAAAGCTCGTAAGCCAGATTGTGCTCTTGGACGCACCAAAGCGTTTACGAAGCTCAGCTGCATAGAAGGTTCCCTCAAGCCCGGTGCCTAGACTGGTCAATGCGAATGTTCAATATTGGTACTGACCTACTCAAATTAATCGAATACACATCGAATTTAATTTGTGCACAGCCACAATATGCTCGCCGACTGTAACTTCCGTCCACACCACCACCATGTTAGCCTTAAGGAGGGGACTGGCAGCGTCGCGAGCCCTCCGGAGGTTTTCAACCAAGCCCCATTTGATTCCGCCAGCCAACCTATCTGAAGGAGAGAAGCTAATATATGACAAATTGACCGACAAGTTTTTGCCAACTGAGCTAGCCGTGCAGGACATTTCAGGTGGGACTCTTTTGCGCACATTCGCATAGCCCAGGATCAGATTGATTGGCCTGACTGATACTATAATATATCAGGAGGCTGTGGTGACTTCTATGCTATCAAAATAGCAAGCGAAGCTTTTAAAGGCCTTTCAACCTTGAACCAACATAGACTTGTAACACGAGTACTGAAAGAAGAAATTGAAGGAATCCATGGGTTACAGGTCAGGCGTCGCCGTCATTACCAGAAGTTTACTGAGACATGATCTGATCACCCAGGTCAAGACCATCCCACCCTCATCAGAATCATAACTTAGGGCCTAGGCGGACAGTACTTCGGACACTCATTGTATACCCGATTGTATGGTGCATACGTATACAAGGTGTTGACGACATTTTATTTCATTTCAACCATAGAACAAATACACGGGACATCATTACCGAGAACGATCGCCTTCCAAGTTACGGATGCTACACTGCTATGGAAGTCTACGCCTTCGGGGCGCTTATTGTATTGTACCGCATCTCTTGAGAAGCAACGGGGTATTGAAATTACTCTAGCCCAGAATAGTGTTGGAGCAGTCACTTGACAAGCCTCCTCAAGGCCTCATGGCCGCTTCGTAAGAGTTAGAAGCGAAATGGCTTCGCGATTATAAATTTCGCGATTTGGGTCGTCCTCCACCTTACGAACACTTATTATCAACCTATTGTCAGATTCGATAAACCAAAAAAAGATGCATACCTCTTCCCAACTGAATTTCTTCTTCAACATTGTGAAGAAGCGTTTATCTGCCTACAGTACAGTGCTAGTACGGACAATTCATCAAATCATATATTTGGTACTCACCTTACGTCTCTTTTTGTAACAAAACAAAATTTCTGTACTGCCTCCAACGGCCATCTCGGATAAGGTCTGAACCAAAAGAGGAAAGGCAGGCTCAAAGTAAACACAATCTGCTGCGAGGATCAGTTCAGGAGGTGGTATGTCCGAGGGCGGCGTCTCTCCCCTGTATGAAGTCAACGGTGAGCCTTTTAAACAAGTCAAGATCATCTTACCAATTGAGTTCGTGAACGGAGACACAAGACTGCAAATTATTCAATGTGACATTTTGTTGCATGATACCCAGCAAGGGGCTGGAAGAGTTATTGCTTCACAGCTGAAATAAACAATAAGGGACGAACGCTTGATCGGTGATCCAGACTGTACCACCGAGTGCGCCTGCTACAAGACCAACCAGTCCCGTTCCACTCCCGACTTCAACAATCTTCTTGCCTTGGAGATACCCAGTGCCTCGAAATGCAATATAATTTGATAGGACCTGCGTTGCATCAAATGTCTTGCTCTAGCATCCAAGAAAAAGAACCTACCTCACCAGCTGGCCAAGCGATGCCACCACAGCCATGAGACGCATCAACCTTGAGTGTTATCGATACAAGGGGGGAGTCCACAGGAAACATCAATCTGATCGTCTCACCGATGATAGATCGCGGCTGCGAAGGTACGACAACAGTATCTTCGTCATCTCGAGCGAAGTCGCTGGCATCGGTCCTGAGATGTCGCAATGGATCTAATACGTCGAGAGCCTCGTCTAGAGCAATCTCATTTAAGCTTGCTACCGTGACTGGATCAGGTGGCAGCGGTGTGGGTTGGGTTATAACCATCATGACTGTCTGATATGATACGACCGGTTTAGATATTCAGGGACTTTCCTGACAAACGTTATATCGGTTCTAGTCATTTCCGGCGGTCCCGCTGTTTTTGGAAAACACTCTTTCAGGTACCGCTGTAACACGGGGACACCAACGCTCTTCCTTGAACTCCACAAAGTACGACATTCATCAGCTCGCCGTCCACTTTGGTGACCGGACCCACGGGAACAGACCAAAGTTGGCAATCCACACACACGAAACCAGTGTGATTGGCACCGTAGCGCGCACGAAGCCATGGCATATGTGATTATAAATTATAATCCTCTGATCACAAGTCGGTGTTACGCCAGTGCCGCAACTATTAGACAATTTGGGGGTTGTTTCGGCAAGATGCGTTTCCTCAGCATGGTGCGAAAGCTCGCTCGGCTTGGCCGAGACAATTATTGATCCTCACGACATCCTTTGATAGAACTATATAGCATTCCGATCCTCTTCATTCCCCACTTTCATGACATTTGCATAGATGCAGTCACCTCATGCAGACGATCTCGCACCTCTCCCTGTATTCTCTCGGCGGAAAACCTCTAGGTTGCGCGGACCGCGCCCATGCAGCTGGCTCCAAACGGGGATAACAATAACAGAAGAAATTGAAGGGAGCTGGTCATGGACATGTCGACAGCCTGACCTGTCCAGAGCATCAACATTATGCTCCCGCACCTCTGGCGGCTCTACTTCATCCAATCAGTCCAGTATTAATTCCGAGTCCTCGTCCGGCTCATCGTCATATATTGATGATACACAGAGTTCGCCATGTGATCACATGTCGTCGCGCAGACATAAACGTCGTTCTCAACGACGGAGGCCATCAGGTCCACGCCCTCCCTCCTGTCCACATTCTCCCAGTTCGCCCAGTTCGCCCATGCGACCCACACTTACTGTCAATACATCACTGCCACCCCCCGTTCCCCTTGAGAAACCTGTCCTTTCGCTACCCCCGGCAGAGTTCCCACATATAGCACCAACTGAACCCACGACACCCGCACCTCAGTTACCTCCAGCGATTGCGTTTTCACCCTCAGAACCGCTTGATTGGGATACAATCTTTGAGGTATTGGATTTGGAAAGCATCTCATAGCTTGAGCCTGGAGGTACGAGTTCTTCACCGGTATTGCAACGACAAGCAAAGAGACTGATTACTTCGTTGGATAGCAGTTTAGACCACAAATTTCTTGCACTCACTCATATAGCATACTCACACCTTCATCATACATTCATGGTCATGGACACTCCATTTTACGATCTCATGATTTAGTTTTTCTCTCAATTTAATAGGTGGTTCGTGGTGCTTTTCAGTTATATCTTTCTTCCACGTTACTTTCACAAGAACGTGGGTCTTGACCAAAGTCTGTACATTATAGCATTGGCACGTAATTGAGGAGGAACGACTACGATCATCTTTCTATTGGTGTGCCTACCAGGAGACTAAAAATAACTTGCGCGAGACCATCGTGCTTTTCATGTAGGGACTCGAGCCCTGAACCAACCATAATAGTTGTATTCTATGTCCCAAGAATACCACGTCACATTATTCTAAGGAACATACAGTCCATCTAGGGAGAAGGGTAAGTCAACGGAAAGTGTACGCTGCTTCCCAGACTCTAAATAATCGAATGTTGGACAGTTTGTGTACGCAGGAGACTGAATTATATCGTAGCGCCGCTGACGCGCCAGTTTCCCGGCCACTTCCGACTTCAGCTTCAGGCTTCGTTGCTGGTGAGCTTTGTCCCGCGCGTTGTCAAATCTTAATGACTTTTGTTCGACCTTCCGGTTGTTCAACATTAATATAAGCTGCCATTCGCTGACGTCTCCAGTAGCAATCACTCTTTACAGCTTAAGCTTAAGTCAATGAAGAACATATTAGAGTTCACGAATAAGCAGTCCAAAAAACAAAGACAAGATCACCGCGGAATAAAAAGTGCCCACTTGCGCAGTTTTGATTCTTCAATGTCCAACCTTGAAATCAATGGCAACCAGAGTCCCACGGGTGCGTTTGCAGAGAACAAATTTTTCTGCAAGAACCTCATCGTGGGAATCAGGAAAGTTCACTACCAGGCCACAGGATGAACAGCAGCCTCATGGTAAGCATGCCATTGGCACCTGCTCATACCCATAGACATTAGTATGTACATACCAAGTACACAGAGCAGCTGTTGAAATGAGACTGCGGCAGATCCCCCAACTGGATGGTCAGTTAGAAGCTCATGTGCGAGGCGCATAATTTAATAGAAATCATAGCAACTGCGCAGGAAGTGTCGTCGTGTGAAGGGCTCACCGGCACTGCCGAGATGCATACAAACCTCCATGACAGACCACTGGAGTTATCGTGTGCAGTCTTTAGTACAGTCCAGAGGTGGAGGTTCACCGCCCTGTATAGGCTATCATAGCCTTTATGATATCAGCTTATACTAGTATTGAACCGCCACAAAGACTGCTTACTGGAAATTCGTCGGCTGGGTTATTCTTGATGCTGCGGTGGATGGGAGACTACGGCAACTCATCGAATACTTACATGTGCTTATGTGCGAAACTCCTGTGACAATTGTTTGTCAAACATTTCACAAATGACACGACTGCCACACTAGGCGTTGACAGTATGTGGGCACTGGGTAGTTCTAAGGTGTGAAAAACGAGTGCCGCAGAACGACCGTGACCAAGAGTCGGTCGGGGGCATGATAAAGAGGGAACAACTGTTGTTCTGCTAAATATTGTCCCCGGGCATATGCCGAGGGAAGAAAGCTGCAGTGGCGCAGCCTCTCCTAACACGAGGAACTCGTGTACTTGTGATTGGTGAAGTCCATAATGCATTAATGATGACCTTGTCACGGTTGCAACTCAACTTAGGTCGGCATTAATGCAAATGTCAAAAGTCACGTGTCAGCCTAAGGCTATCAAGTTGAACTTGATCCGTGCAATGAGGCTTGAGCAAGTCTTATCCGTAATACTTTGACCAAGTACCAGGCCTTCCTTTTTTCAAGCTTAAGGTTTGATGTTTGACTGCGAGAGACTAGCTATGTTTGACTCAGTCTTCCCGGCTTTGACAGGATCCGACAAGCATTGTTTTATTTCACGAAAACGCGGAAACGCGCCCAAACTTCTACCTTGCGGATTCCGGAAGTTCGGAACCCCGGTCCATCCACTGGGTTCTAGTGTCCACGTCATACTGAACTCCTGGCGCTTGGCAGCGCGTCCATCGATATAAAGGAGGAGCCGCCACCAGTCAGCATCAGCATGCTTACCTCAGGCTCGTTGGAGACAATTAGCTCTGAACTTTCTGCTTCTGCTCGCCGTGGTTTCATGACTACATTCAGCCCCCGCCAAGAGCCTCGAGGCATCCCTGAAACAGATCACGATAAATTTATCGATCCCTCATTGTTATGTGATGCTTTGACTTCCTTGGAATTTACCGCGGATTGAACTTTTTCCGTCTCCTCTGAGAACGGAAGAGGTGTACTAGGTTGATAAGCGGGAGCGGGATGGCGCGTCTTTAGTGCACACGCACGCGTCATCTCCGATCGATAAGATCTTTGCGCAGCACCCTGACGTTTTGGTTCGAACAGGTTAACAGCTGATTAAAACCTTATCTACCAAATATGCGAAGCCGGAACGACGTTTTAAAGTCATTTTTGCAAAAATGGTAAGTTTTCGCATTGCCAATCTTGTCAAATCCAGCAATTCTTTTGGACGCCCGAGGTGTTCTGATCATTGGAATGGGTCTCCTAGCACGGTTTTGGGCTCCAGATGAGTTGTCTGTTAACAAATGTTGCTGCCGAGATCGTCCTCAACCTTGGTAAGACAAGAAGAATTCATATGGATTTTTGCACAAGCCTCGTCCAGGCTAGTTTCTCCTTACGCCGAGTCTCCAGGGATTCAGATATCTGAGATTGGAACAATATGTTTCATCCCTCTAAACTTTTATGCCTCACCCTCTTTCATGTTTCGCGCCATATCTCTGGCGGTATTGCAGCCGCGAACTCACTCACTGTCCACAACTTCTTGATATCAACCCCACCAAACAACCTCTCCCTATACCACACCAGGTCAGTATTTGATCGTAACCCCAACACAACCGACAAATCATCTCCTTTCGCACGATCATGGTTTACTACGCGTACGTTGATAACGTACATTCAAGATCCAGTCTTCGATGTCCGCGATACTGCGCTAAATCTTCTTCTGGATCAGCGACAGTTACTTCTCGCGATACATGGTTGCCTTCGCCAGCCGTGCAGTTGCCGACGAGTGGTGGCGTGGTGTATCCACTTCCGCTGATACGAAGTACTCGGACAGTGTCAGGCATGTTGCCCCCTAGTTCTTTACCCACGATGTCAGCAAAGCCAATGCCGCCGCCTCCATCACTGATACACAAGTTGCATCTAGTTTCTTTGGCAAAGTGTTTTTCACGCTGCTGCCAACTAATGGCGGATTGAGCGTCATTCCGATTCTAGATTTCGCGGATCATGTTAGCGGGAACTCGAGTCAATTTGTTGCAGGTTCTTTCATATCTAGCTCATGTTAGAGATTTATCATCTGCTCCAGAGTCTCTCCTAACGAGTACTGGTACTGTCCTGGATCGTCGACAGGCAACGTCACGCCTAACTCCAAATCAGTGACCTTGTAAACGGACTCGGGGTGATGAATCCCTTGCTGGAAAATGAGGATCATTGCAAGAACTCTTCAAGATGGATGATGAGGAAGAGTGGGAACTCGCTTGAGCTAGTATCATTTAACGTTGACTAAGCACTTGCATATGATGGAAGCTACGTCAACTCATTCTGTAACTATAGAAGTATACCAGATGACGTTCTCTGCTAGATATCATGAATCTTTCTGGCAGCCATAATCTCGCGACGCTAAAAGCAAATATCTGACACCTCTGCCGGGATTCTGAACAACTTCACTTTGTTCATTCAAAATGTAAATATACTCTGGACGCAGATGAGGAACTCATAATATGGTCACTCGAAGGCATCACAACACCGGCCGGCCGGCCGTTAAATTTAGTTGATTCAAGTCTGACACGGCGCATCGAAGTGCTGGAGGGACTGTCGATGGCAGCGCCGAAGGTGAGTTTGAGAAGCAGCTGGGATCGAGACTGATACTAGTGCTACAGACAGATATCTTGCGACAAATGGGCATGCTGTCTGCCGTTGAATTTCAGTGGCAGGAGGAATGCTGTCAAACCACTGCCACTTACACAACTTGGAGCGTCATACGCCACCGCTCAAAGGACTGGTGAATGGTACTAACTGTCAGCAGTGGTGTGCTAATCACTCAGGACTTCAATACCATGCCGCCATGTATCTCAATTGACGGTTAAGGTGTCCACTGGCCCGTCTGCACCCATCCTTCGTCGGACGCGCCGTGCCGGGCCTGTTCTTCTCTCAGGGCACTCAGCTGTGCCACGTTTAGGCGCCTCAGATAATGAAAACTGGTGGGAATGATGGCAACCTTTTTTTGGCCAATCAATTGATCACAAGAGATCAGCAGCAGACAAAGGCAGACAAAAACAAAGCCAAATTGTGGTACGGTCTGGGTGGTTCCGGGCTATCTGGCTTACCTGCAGAGCAGTGTACACTGCGTAGCTATACCACCACGTTGGTATTGCTCGTACTCACGACATTATTGAGCGGCCGCAGGCTGCAGTAGGTATGCTCGGACGATCGGTACGTGCTTTCCTTACCTATGTCTAATTCTTCCGATGTCAGGCTCCTATAGAAGACACAGCCTTGTACGGCATAACTCAACCAGAATTCTAATCAAACCAAGCGTGTTGTCTCATTTCACGTTCCTTCTAGAGCTCTGATTCCTCCCAAAGGCTGGCTTCTGTTTCGCATTCTGCCTCATGACGACGAACGGGGCCACGATCCTTTACTGGTCTACCAGGGAGACTATGCCACGCGCGCCGTGTCAAGATAAAAGGCAAAGAGCCTAAGTTCAAGTTGAAGCATCCTTTTGATCAATTTGATACGGCGACCTGGACCAGATTCGAATGTTCCAAATCTGCCCGAGTCTATACTATCATTCGACGGGAAATGTACAATTTTCACTTATTGCTGAATAGCATCACAACAACAACACATATTCGTATCGGATCTACTTTAGTGTGTACTTTGGGTCTCTGCGCATTGTTTTGTTGTGAGCTTGTTACAGCGGCAGTAGCGGAAGTTGAGATCTGAGATGTCGAAAGCACAATAGAAAAGCACAATTTCGTCACGCTATGTCACACGCGGCGCCTCGGCCAAGACACGCTGGTATCCAAAGTCCGACAGCCCTCCAAGCGAATGAGTTCCGCAAGCCACCGATTCTGTCGAATGCAACAAGGCGGAGACTCAACCAAGCCGACAGTGTGATTTCCTGATTTAGCCTGACTGTCACGCTGCACTCATAAATCGTGAATAGCACGCCGTGGTGCTGTTCTATTGACATTGAAACACCTGGAGTAGATTCAGAATGCCGTATTCTATATATGTTGAAGTTTATATGTCGATAAGTCCATGGGATCTGGGTGGATCATGAATTTAGTGTCCAAAAATCGCTCATTTTGGGTACACTTGCACAATGTTTCATCTCAGGAAGGCTCCACAGAGTTGATTTTAAATTTTTGATTTGATAGGCTTATTGAGCATATGCTAATACTTGTTCTCCAGCTGTTCCGAATGGAATATATGAGCTCTGGAGTGCATTGTGCATTACCCGTCGATTGTACATTACGGATCAGGTGATAGTATCATGATATTATCGTCCCATGCAATAAAGTTACAAGGCTGTTGTTTTGGCTGTATTTATGGATCTTGTATGTGGACCTTCCACGTAGCTTCCGTTGCTTTCGCGTTGATTCCGCCGTCGATTCGGTTGTAAGATCAGCTCGTCACGAAAGTTGAACTTGTACCAGAAAGCTGGGTAGACTCGGCCGGACCCGGCCGGACTGAGCCGTCATTTCCAATTTTCCAATCTTTCTTGAACGTTCCGAGACGTTCCCGCTAGTCGTCGTCTACACAGGGAGTACACTTGCCTAAACCTTGAGCAGGGAACACGCGTACACCATGCTGAACTAGCTTAACTACCGGCCAATGCTACTCTCACTTTGAGGAATTGAAGCACATAGCATCGTACAGGATCTGCCACCATCAAAAGATTCAAAACTGTCCATCACTGTCCATTTGTTGACCTCGAGGCTCGCTGGAGTCTGGGGACAGCTTGAAGGCTCTTGAAGGCGCCTTCAGTGCTGTAGCATCATGGCTCCACCGTGCCTCCACGCAAATTGAATCAAAGCCAACCCCAGATTTTCATCTCAGCTTGTATCTTCGCTGGTGATCTGGGCTATCGGCGCCCTGTTTTCGGTCATGCACGAGGCCAGGTACAGTGCACTTTCGATGCCGCGGCCGGGTCTTCGTGCGTTCGACCACAACCTAGTTTGAATTATACCATTCCAATCCGGACCACAGTTCCTATCTTCCCACCACCCTCGAGGTTGTGGTGCACAAGCCTACGATACTACTTAAAGCCACTCTAGCAGCATAAAAGCCTCTCGCATTTTGTTTCACCGAGATTTCTACTTCCTAAGCGTTTCCTTCATTATTGCTACAAAACATGGCATACTCCCCATACGACACCTATGACGACTATGACGAGTACGACTCCTACAGCCGTCCTCGCAAACATTCGCTTGGATACAGACCGACCACCCCTATTGGTGGCTACCCATATCACGATCAGCGGCTGGGCACAGCGTACAGTGACCCGATGATGTACGGAGAGGTGTCACAATCCTTATCCATGTTCGTTATCATTTACTAATGTTTAATTGTGAAAGCGCTACCCTTCATCATCCTACCCGATGTACCCGGGCACACCCAACCACCGCAGCATATACCGGACACCCAATCACAGCTCGCATTATCTCCCACAATGTAAGTGCTGGACTGTCTGGAATCTGGATGCATTCAAACAGGCTCTGACCTTCACCAGCGTATGATGATATGGACTACCGTGCTGGAACTCCCGGCCTCTATCCGCCTCTCGTGCAACCCATGGCACTGGGTAGACCACATCGGTCGTCATCACTATCTTTCATGGGAAGACCGCCAGCATTTGGGGACCCCTTCCGCAGAAACACCCCCCCTCAAGTAAGATTCAAACGGAAAGGCGCCTTCCGGAGCGGAATCACCCTTGGTGAAGCACAAGCCAATGTTCGATTGGCTGGGTACGACTCGTACACCTTCAATGATCTCGGAGTTGATCATCGAGGCAAGATCTATGTGAAGATCTCGGTGAGTACAGTATGAGTCTGTTCTCCGGCTAAAGCCTTAATTGTCCATCTCAAAGTGGCCTGGATATTCGGCACTCAATTACGAGATACCTGTTGATGGCTATGGGGGTCTCGTTGACCTTCAATCGTTGACGCGCAGAATTGGGCGTGCGGTTTCACATTACCTTCAGGTGATTATTCAATGGCATCTACTCAATATAGAGGTTTCTCATACACTATGTACATAGGCCAACATCATTCCCATACCATGGGATCGAATCGAGCTATCGCACATGGAAGAAGCCAGCATGGGTACATGGAGTCTCAAGATGACAACAGCCTGAGCGATATCCTGTCCTGTGCGTAGCCGCCAGAAGCCAGAAGCTCTCAGCGTACTTTATTATATATCTTTCAAGTCCTTGATAATCTATTCATACTGCAGCTACACTCGTGGATGCCTGGTGTATCGTCATCTCTGCGTCCTTCAAGCCCTGTTCAGTTGTACAAGAGATAAAAACATGTGTGTATCATATTACGTCACGAATCTTACGAACTTTTACGAGGTGTCGTCTATGTATTGGAAGGGAATGTATAATATACATCATCAACATCACCAAGCGCAACACATTATGTTCGCAGTTACACGAGTGCCGATCGCCGCTGCGGCCTTCTGTTGGATTCTTGCTTCTGATGAGGGGAGCTACAAATACCAAGGGCACGTTTCACTTTAGTCATGAAGGGTAAGTGGGTTTCCTTGTCCCTTTCCTATGACAACATATGACAACAAACAACGGAAATGAAGACACGTAGACTAACCATGACATCAAGTTCTTGCTTTGCATGCTTCATATCTTGTCCAGATGTCTTGGGATTGGAAAGTGCCGCGTCTGTAGAAGGGTCACGGGCACATTAACTCGGCACATCGGTAATTGCCTACGTGACAAACTTACTGTATACTCCAGCGACTCCGTTTTTGTCTCCACTAAAGAAGCAGAATCTGCGGCGAGCAGATGTGCGATTCCGTTCATGGTCATGTTCCTTTCTTTGGAAAGGATTCGTATTAACTGCAAGCGATTGAAACATGGTAAAGTTTTTGTAGAGGGATAACCCTTGCGGGACTTTTGGGATGTAGCCTTTATGAGAGTGGGCGCATCAGAGAACTGGTGAGAACGTTGTATAGTCTTATATACCATTACATGACAATCCATGCAGAGCACTAGATCCTTTATCTTCGTCGCCAAAAGCAATATATAAAGTCAACGTAAAGCCGTAACGCACCCGTCGGTTATGATGCGGTGCCATTCAGAAGCGAATCCACGTTCTGTGGTGTGGGATGCTCAGATCTAATATGCCGTCGTTTGGGGCTCGTGCCTAAACCTTACGGCGCGCAGCGCCAAACACTTACAGTGTTAAAACACAACCTGAACCTCAGCAGTGCTTCTAAACCTCGTAATTCATGTCTCAGCAGGCTTAATCCTTGACATTCCTGAAATCTTTTCTGACCCTTTCCATAGAGTATATCCAGTACTACTAGTATGCAGTATGTTTACGACTCTACTGCGCCTGTCACTCAAAAATGGAATGAATTGATTACAGATCACTAGCATTGAGATTAATATATAGATAATGGACTTAGGCCTGCTGAGGTTTAGATCGGATGGATGGATGCGTTTTAAGATTTCATGTGTTGGCCCTGCGTGCCGTCCTGGTTAACTTTTAGCAGGTTAGAACTTAGCAGTGTTCGGGTCCAACTCTGACCCTGAACGACAACGACATTTTAGAACTGAGCCCATCCCTTAAGTGGAACTTGGATCGTCATATCCCTCAATGGTTTATTCCAGTGGGGCTGAGGGCTACCATAGGCTGTCATCTTAACGGCTGGTGGTGGTGCCAGGTGGTTCAACTTACGGCTTATTTGTACTTACTTGTACTAGTAAGTAGGAATGATCTCATCAGTGGGTGACACTATTAATTTTGATCGTCCTCGGTCACGTCGCCGCAGGAATTTGAAACTGCTGCGATCCCTGCATGGTTTCGGATGAGGATGCAACCCTCGTTCATGCTGCGCAGAAGCAATATGCTTCTCTGAATCTCAAGCTACCAGCTGGAACTTTCACGATTCTGGCTGCAATTGCCTTGACTTCGTCTGATCCTTTAATCATTCAGCCAAAGATCATTGGATTAGCCACGGGATGCAAGTGCCTTCCAAAGGACAAGCTTCCCCTGCAGGGCGAGGCTGTGCACGATAGTCATGCAGAAGTTCTCGCTCGTCGCTGTGCCCTTCGATGGTTGATCGAAGAGATCGATAGGGCCGCCTCCGATGGACCGCACTGGCATTCTGCGTGGATATCGAAAACGGCAGATGATGATCGTTATCGTCTCAAAGACGGCGTCTGCATGATCATGTATATATCAACACCTCCCTGTGAGAAGCACTAGCCTTGTATGTTACACGTGTCTCATTTCAATCGATCGATGGCAAGGCGGAGACGCTTCTATGCGATTCCTTGCTACTCTCCAGGATAAGGAAATGGCTGCATTGAAGGACGCTGCAGTGTTCCCTCCTCTGGGCCCCAACGTCGCATCCAGGGGGCGAGATAATTACTCCCTTTTTGGCGTTCTCCGTACGAAGCCTGGGCGTGCTGACTCTCCTCAGACATTGTCGTTGTCTTGCAGTGATAAAATAGCACGCTGGAACGTACTCGGGATACAGGGGGCTTTGGGCTCTGCCTTTTTTCACCCGATCTACTTGACAAAGATAATCATTGGCGAAGTCCCGCCAGATCTGCACGACGTCGTAAAATCTGATTGTGAACGAGCGTTCTGGGGGCGTCTGCAAGAAATTCATGGTACATATGTTTGTTCGATTATAAAGTGATACTCACAAACGTGAAATATCTTACACAGGCCTTCCCGAGGGATACAAATTGACTCGGCCAGAGGTCCAGTTTACGTCGGTTGAGTTCGTCCATTCAAGGTCGGCACAAGAGCATTGTTCTCCTGTTCAAAGATCATGCAATGAATGTAGATATATATTTATGAATACCTTGCGCTGTCTCTCTCAACTGGTTTATCCTCAGCTTTAACTTGGGTCGCGGACTCTACGTCACCGCATGAGGTACTGATAAACGGCCTCAAACGAGGCGTCCCTCCAAAACATCGCTACAAGCCGATTTTCTGGTAAGCGCTGGTTGATCATCTTCCTCTGCAAGCTGTCTTATGCAATATTTTGGCAGGCCCAGTCTCTCAAAAGTCTCCTTGTTTCACCTGTACAGAAAGACGAGGAACATTGAGAACCTGCCGCCTGAAAGGTAAGGATCCAGGACAACGAGGAGGCAATCCCTAACACTCACAACTTGTATGTAGTAAAACAATGTCATATTATCAAGCGAAGGAGAGCATGACCCAGTACCAGATGGCAAAAACCTGTTTGTTAGGGGAAGGTCGGCCTTTTTCAGGGTGGATTCGAAGTGGAGCTCGATGGGAGAACTTCGGTTCTAGTAGCGACAACGGACAACAAAGTACTGACATTACGGATTAGACGCCATAAAGAAAACAACGAAATAGCATGTATGTAGTATAATACAACGTGATAGATAACTAGGGTATCCATTAAGAAGCACAGCGAATTGCAATATGTGGCCTTTCGAGGCGTGTCTAAGCCACAGAGAAATACATGAGAATTGGGCAGTCGTTGGCATTATGCCTATTGATCCTTATCCTTGTCAGGGGATTCGGCTTCAACGAGCAGTTCGTCAAGGGAGGTGGCTGGTAACGTCCGGACTATTAATAACGGCGTCCCGGCAAGCGATTCACCATCTGTAAATGTGGGGCTTGATCTACCAGAGCGACTAGTGCCGTTATTACTGCTGCTGTCCGCGAGCTCCTTTCGGAGCGCCTCTAATTCGCGTTCGAACCTTCAAAGGAGAAAAGTTAGATTCCTGTGCGGAGGACCCAGAGTTGAGGATGCTTACTTGCGACCAAATACCTCGATGTAGAATCCGCCACCGTTCCAGACGCTCACAGAGAATATAAACATGAGGAATGCTCCACTCCACAGAGGGCTATCATACAACAAGAACACCGCAGGTAGTTCTGTAAGGAGAGAGTATACTGATGGAGAATTAGCATCCCCGAGTCGTGGCGTTAAACTTCACACACCGAGTTGTCCCGCCATGAACGAAACTTCACGATACTGTGGAGGAACTGTCGACAAAGCTCGCCCAATGGCACTACGTTTGTCATTCAGAAGGAAAGAAAACGACGTCGTTCGCTGGCCAGATGCAATCTTGCTTCGACGATCTACCAGTACGAATTTCCAATACATCAACTGCCAAGAGATATCTAGATAACCAGTCATGTTCAGTTGTCAACATCGTCAACATGAATCTTACATATAGCACCGCTCATAACGAGAGCACGGACTGGATCGAGGTACGGGAGTGCCTTCAGCGCGGGGAACCTGTCTTCTGCATTCGGATAGAAGTGCCTGTCCATAGTGATGAATAATTTGCATAGATAAGACCAGTTGTAACGGACCGGATCACCGTGAATGTATAAGGCGCGTATATATGCACGAATAACGATGTGACTTTATCCGTGTCATGAAAAACAAGACTGTTTCTCCAAGTGATAACAGCACTAGCGAGCGAGCCGTGTGATAAACTGTAACAAGCCATGAACAGCGCAGCATTCGATGGGAAGAACCACATGTAGATAAAGTTGAGGATGGTGACGTAGTAGCAGAGGTCGAAAAGGAAATAATGCCACGAGCGCTTCTTGTATTGGTAGGCACGAAGAGGAAGAAGATATAAGCCTTGCACTGTATATGCGATATGGATCCATCTGCACCCAGGACATCAGTCACCACCCAACACAAGGAACTCCCAAGGGTGCGTACTGTGGACCCAAGCCAAAGAGCAACGCCGACACAAGGAGGGACATGACACTAAAGAAAAATGACACTTTGTCACGTGTCCTCACTACCTTGGCGGAATGCCATGAATCAACTAGATTTTGCATACGGGCCGAAACCTGTCATAGACGCATCAAACCGCGATGAACACCCCATTGTAGCTTCGAACGTACCTTCAGCTTGAAGTTTTTGACCTCGCGATCGAAGTTCTCCGCCAGCAGATCACCTGATTGCACGCGTTTTTTCAAAGCTTCCTCAGCTTTGGATTTCAATCTATCGCTGTGCTTTTGTATGTGCCGCTGGAGTAAGTCGAGCCGAGAGTCAAAGAATGTCTCCATTGTATCTATCGCAAAAGCAGGTTAGGGTTGGGATGGCCGTGACGAGACGACAGGGCAGAAGACTTGCCTAGCAAAGTAAAGGCACCAGTCTCGTCTCGTATAAAACGTTCGAAAGGTGCAGAGAAGTATCCTGCCCCGGTCGCTGGAGATTCCATTTTTAAAGTGGGCGACGGTGGACTTGACATCAAATATTGTAGAAGTCTGAGACCTGAGCTTTGAGTCCGAACAATGCGAGCGCAAAGCGGGTGGCAAACTGTGGCAAGCAGCAGTGGATGTCTGGACTCTGAAGCGCTTGAGGGCAGTGCGTCACACGCCGACATAAATGTATGCTTACGTCACCACGTTAGTTTTGCAGTCGCGACCTCGGTCGCGGTAGCCACCTCTCTTGGATTCGACTGCCTAGAAGGAGCAACTGTGTGTATGTGACTGCTTTTTCCTCAATGTCGTTCCCTGAATCCCTGTACCCGAGTTAGCAGATACCAGTACCAGTAGCGTAGTCAGCCAATCAACTTCGTTTATCATTTCCCCGCACTTGGGCAACTCTAAATCTTAACTAGTACTACTACTAGTAGAAGCCCAGAATCCAGATAAACAACTTAGGTTTTATGAACGAGCACCAGAACAGGTATAGTCTGTCCAGCATATATAGAATTCAGGATGCGATCAGGACAGGGAATGCGGTGCAATGCTCTATGTAGGTTACAGCAATACCTCACATCAACGAAAGGTCGCCGAACTTCTCTTTGTAACCTGAAAGCATTGTTCAAGCAAAACGAAATATAACACAAGCGAATGAACATACCCGGTACAGTCCATTTGCCCTTCTTGACCATGGTCTCGACGGCTTCCAGTATCCGTGGGTGGGCATTGCCGACATCCTCCACCTAAGCAAGCAAGCAAACAAACAAACAAAATCAGAACTGGATTCCAAGACCAAGAAGAGAAGACGCACCGTCAAGTCTTCGAACGGACGAGCCTCTTCGATGTTAGCGAGCGTTGCTTGTAACTCCTTCAGTTCCACGTCAATCTGGGCAGCAGTCGCTTGGGCTTTCTCAACCTGCATCGATCATAAGCTTAGTCACAGCACCACTACCAGCGCAGAGGTCATACCGCTTTAGCCTCAAAAGTTTCGATAGCTTTGACGTGGGCATTCACGTCGTACGTAACAACCTTGAAATCTTTCAACAGTTTCTCAGCCTCGTCGACGATTGCAGTGTTCTTCAGCACAGAGCGGTAGTGTGCGAGGTCAACGGTCGTGGGTTGAGATGCATATTGCGACTGGATGCGTTGAGCATCCCCGTGCCGTTTGCGGAATGCCTGCAGAGCAGCGATGGTATCTGCAAATACAAAACCTCCATCAGCCCAGCTGCATCATAATTACAAGTCGAGGTTCAGGTTCATGCCTTTTCCGAGCCCAAGTGTCGAGTAAATGCGGGTAAAGTCCTGCCAGCGGGGAAACGAGGATGAGAGCGCGACCGAGCACGAAAAAACCCAGACTTACAACCGCGGCTACTGCTGCTTTTGATGCCATGGCTTAGAGAAAGGCAGGAAATAATGCGAGTAGCTTAGACACTAGGTAGAGGCACGCGTTGGCTACCCACAAATAATAATGCTGCAAAGGACGCGAAAGTAGACTGCAACGAGCGGATGTAAGGCCGGGAATTGCCGATCCCGTTCATTCCGACTCTCGACGAAAGAAAATAGACGCGCGCAAAGTTCAAGCTGTACATGATAACATTGCTGAGTGCTTCATTTATTCAATTTCTAGTCTCCTCTGCTTTACACGAAGGTTCTGTTCCAAATTCATACATTTAAGGTTCCCAATAGCCTCGTAAAAGTTTGTGAAGTATGAACTTTAATGTCTCGACTCTCGAGCATCCAGGATTCCAGGATATCACAACTTAGGCTCGTCACCAGCCTGGCGTATACTACCACGGATACTCGAGTGGTGTACATAGCCAGGCTGGTCGATCTCGGAGTGGCGTAGCAGGGCGAAGCGAGGAGTTTGAAATTTAGCAGTTACCAGTCGCGCCGGTGGTACTTGATCGTATGTAGTACAACTTATGCGTCTACCGTCGTTCAGACTGTATAATATATCAAGTTTTGACCATCAGTTCCGTACGACCTTTATCGCTCGCTGCTCGAGATGCGATTGAAGATCTCCCGACGGACTTTACGAGTGCCCTTTCAACGACGCAACACCACCAAGTTATCGAGGCCTCGATCTTATTTCCCAAGAATCACAACGTCCGACTGACATTCTGATGTTTGTTCTCCTTCACAGCTCGCACCATCTGCATAGCTGACAGAAGAATGCGACGTAGCAACGGAGTGGTTTCTTGTAACGGCTCTGTCAACAACGTGTCGAGATTAAATGGGAGGAGTAGTTCGGGGGTGACATCTTTTGATGACATGTGAAAAATATGTTTCCATCTCGGTGTCAACCTCGTCAACAACCATTGCAATAGCAAGGGGTCGTAAACTGACACGAAGTTGCTCGCTCGTCGGTGCCCAACGCATTAAGAAACTGCACAAGCGCCTTGCTCCGAAAAAAACTTTCCCCCTTAAGTTGCCATGGAGGGTCTTTGTGAGATCGAGTGCAACATGAGGTCCATGACAGTCATCCGAAATCCACGAAGTATCTTGAGGACAGCGAGATTTTTTCCTTCCTCGTCCAGGCTGGAAGGATTGACCATCCAAGCCAAAGCGGCATCTGCCAAATTTCAAACTCCTCGCTTCGCCTGCCAAATCACTCCGAGTTCGACCAGTCGGAAAATTCTCACCATCTCAAATTGACGCATAGTCAGACTGGTTACGAGTCTAATCACAACTTCCTTCATCATCCCAGGCCTAGAAGCAACTACGTCAGTGTGACATCCAAAGTGATATATATACGCGGCCCGTTCAGATAACATGACTTTCACATCCGTATCGTTACTCGATCACCTGACACCCTTATCTTACGCCGCTGCCCTTATAAGAACGTCCAATACGTACGAATGACCTCCTGGACCTCAACCCTTCTCTCTAGAACCACGGGCACAGATCGAGGGCAGTGGAGCTCGTGTGACGCAGAGAGCCTGGATCGAGCTTAGGCCCAACGACGTATTTGTGAGTAAAGCAACGCCCGTTCCTTCTTTGACTAAATTTAGGTTTAAATGCTCAGCTTGCCTGAATTATAGGATGGACAGGGTTCTTGCTTCTTCCCTTGCTGCCGTTGAGCAGTTTCGTACTCTAGGACCGCTGCCTAGCATTCTCCTTGCCGCCGCGGCGATTTTTCTGACGTACAGCTTCGTTCAGTCGAGAAGGAGATCCTCGAACGTTGTTCATACGTCACGCGTCACCGAGAAAGATAGGAATGTGAACAAGAATAGAGAACCGGGCGGTATGTTTTGACGATTCTGGTATATGTCACGATGACGCTCACTTTAATAGACTGGATCGCGGAGGAATTCAATTATCCCGAGATTGATCCATGCCCCTTCCCACTGAATGACGTGCGCCCAGTACCGTATAGACCATTTCGGTATGGCGAATATCAGTAAGTGCTTTGTTTGTTTCCTTTTTTTGCCTGCGCTGCCTAAATGTTGACGCATGCGTGGCGTGTGGATACGATCCTGGAATATGATTTGTGAAGTCATGGCTAATGAATTTTGTCGTATTGCAGAATCACAATGGGTATTCGCACGATGCCCTGGAGTGAATGGATTGAACTAGACTCTACCTACCCGCACTGGCAGCGTGTGCGCAAGTTCCGCGTTCGCACGCGCGGACATGACGCCGTGCGCGTTCTTCCCGCCCGTGAAGACGAATCTGTCAAGGTCCAAGGCGGCGCATGGGCAGGTGTGTTATCTTCCCGAAATGGGAAGGGTTGAATCTCTGTTGATAAACTACAGCCAAGGAACTCGTGTATGAACTAGCAGAGTACCTTCCGCGGCGATACCCATCGAGTTTTCGAGTAACACGATTTCCGAACGATGTACCAGCACCGTCCATTGGTGGCATATCACTCGCTTGGGGACAGCAACAGCCCGTGCAAACCATCGAAGCGGTTGAGACAGGAGAGAAATTTGATTTGAGGGTGCTGGAGGGTCTGGACGGCGTTGAAATGGGCGAGGAGGCCATGAGGATCACTGCAGGGCTGTAAGTATCGTGGTACTATATCTGACATTTCTGACCTTCTGTACTCAGTATACAAGAAGACGTGGCACTGATGATCGAGGGTATAGGGCTTTTGCACACCTTGGGTAATAAATCTCAAAACGTTTATTCACACAGGGACGGACGGCAGGTACTATTTCCAGGCAGGTGCGATCTGCATTCCCGGTTAGTGGAAACAGCGGTTCAACTTGAGGATTACTCCTAACAACGCCTGCATGTTCTCAGGATTCTGGCGCATGCGGGACAAGATCGGGATGGCCCTGGATGATATTCATATTTCAGGAAACGTTCCACGGTGTAAGCATGGCCCGTGATATTGTTTGCTGTCCATGCTGATAACGGCGGGTGCAAAGTCAAAGAAAAATTGCAGACCAGTATGGAAAAGTTTTTCAAACGGATGCCGGTGGACAAGCCGGTGATTCGAAATAATTATTTTATGCAAACTTGCAAGCCGTCGACGCACGTGGCAAATGCCGACGTTGAGGCACGACTGGATGTCGAGGAAGAGAGCGCTTGCGATGTCGATCCAGAAGAATTAGGTTGGTCAGAATCGACGAATGGACCGGAGGATACATTTTTACATGGACACGGGCATGCTGCCCAACCTGCACCGTACCTCGCGCCGTCGACACTACGACTCCGATCGGAGCGGCAGACTTTGCGTCGGCTTCCTCGGACAGGAGCGATTGTTTTTGGAATTCGCACGTACTTGTTCAAGATCGAGGAACTGGTTCGGGAGCCAGGAGTAGCTGATCGGCTTGCAAGCGCCATAAGAAGCTGGCCTGATGATGTTGGGGTATACAAAGGGCGTAAGATGTACGCTGATGTGATACTGAAATACTTGGATGAATGTGCAGCGCGGGATGGGAAGCAAGTAGAGGGACGAGGATACCCATATTGAGGGTATGTAGGAGGGGTGGGGTAAATTATGCGGATCATATGTGAAGGGGGTGTTGCCACGGGATGACGAACATAGTACATGGCTAAATTAGGGGTGAAGAATTACAAATGACGTGTCGGATGTGCTTAAAGTAGGAAATGATTGCGTTTATCGAGCGTTTATTCGAACTCCGATTCAAGTTCAATATAACACGAGACTACGTCAGACGTCGTCATTCCTTTCTGACCTCTCCTCAAGAAAATTGGAGAAATTACGCACGGGCCACAAACAAATACCGGAGTAGTTGGCTTCGTGCCACAAAACGACATTTAGTAACAATTTTGTGTCGTCATCGTCGTTCGTCATCATGACCACTACAGAATCCAAAAACGGTGATACAATCAACTCCCCTGACGTCAGGCCTCCACAACAACCTCTTCCAAGACAGACTAGATCAGATTTTGACCTCGAACCAAACCCATTCGAACAATCCTTCTCCCGCCCCTCCCATGTTCGCCATTCACCCCGTTCAAAACGTGATTCACATAGTCCCGCTTCATCTAAAGACAGACCATCCTCTGCTGCCTCAAATCAAAATTCAAAGGATGGTAGGTCTACTTCCCCAAGACCAGTACTACCCCCTCTCGCTGCAATAGCATCCCCTACTACAGACCAGAGTTATGGTTGGCAATTCTCTTCATCTCTCGCAAATTCTCTACGTGCTGGTCCCCTCTCTCCTGCAATGCTAGCAGGCCCTCAGCAGGGTTCAGACTCCGCATCCCATATGCCTTTTGACACCTCATTCCGAACGGGTTTAACTCCCCGCACCGGCCTCACTCCCCGTACAGGTTTGACACCGGGCACCGGCTTGACACCCCTTGTCGGGGGCCCTGTCTCCTTCCCCCCTCCTTCCCCAAATACTGCCGCGTTCTTGGCGCTTATGAATAATAATGCAGGCGCTAATTCAAACGCTACTATAACACCAAACACTCTCAGCGCTATTACCGGTGTTCTTAACTCCTCATCAGCGCAGTATAGTTCCGTCACTCATGCTCCCACCACCAGTTCTCACCTATCCACATCCATCACTGCCAATCAAGAAAACAGTGATCCTCCTTACCTCAGCGCATCCTCCGCCGCAAGCACTGCTGCAAATGGCTTATATCTGCTTTCCCAAGCTCATCAGGAGCTTACCAAGCGTGAAGAAGCACAGGCACGTGCTAATAATGTTGCAAATGCAACAAATGGGAGACGTGGTACAAAGCGCAAGTCTTATGACGCAGCAAGTCCACCACCTCAGTCCGCTCCCACCGCTCGTGCCCAGTCTCAGCAGCATACCAGTCCCGTCAAACGTGCACGCGCTAACACTGTAACCAGTGTCAGCACAAATGGTCGTGGCAAAGCCTCTACAGACGATGAAGAGGATGAGGAGGACGAGGATGATGACGACATGCCACCTTCTCAGAACCCCGGGGGGCGGAAACAGACAAAGAAGCCCGAAACAGAGGAAGAAAAGCGACGCAACTTCCTCGAACGAAATAGACAAGGTTTGCCTTTCTTTAGATTGCCTCTTCAGGTCACTAAGTTACCGTGCAGCCGCCCTAAAGTGTCGACAACGCAAAAAGGCATGGCTTGCATCATTGCAGGCCAAGGTCGAGTATCTTCAGACCGAGAACGAGCGACTCACTTCCGCTCTCGTCTCATCGCGCGAGGAGATCTCGCGGTTATCTGCCCTCGTTGGAGGTGCCGTCATTGGACCGGGGGGACCGACTGTCGGTCCAGGTGTGGGCCCGCCACCAGTAGCCGTCAATGGCGTGGCCACCAATGGCCAGCCCATCAGCATGAACATGAATCTTGTTGCAAAGGGCGCGTCGGCCGCCACGAATGGCCGCGCGAGTTATGGGTACTAAATACCTTAAAGCTCGGGCTCGTGACTTCATCTACTTTCGTTTCATGATGTGTTGCGCTATACATTGACTCCGCACTGCTCGTTACGCATTTGGACCGTGTAGGATTGTCGTTAACTTTATTTCTGCATCGTCGTTGACACACGAGAAAGATGTCACTGCGGCTTGCTCTTTTTCCTGCATAGTCCTCGCATCATCCCTAGCATTTTATTTCTCACCAGTCTCCACCTACCGCCCGCGGTGCCATCCCTTGCATTCGCACCACTTCGACGTCGTCCTTGGCACAACTTAGCACATTGCCATACCCCTTTATCTCGACCTCTCGACCCTACACACACCGCAAAAGAAAATACAAATTGTACCCTCGCTTGTACGTTGTGAAGTAGGCGATATATCATACATACATCATACTTTTGTACATCCTGACCTGAATACATACAGAGGCATCAACGCACGCACATGAAATGCGATGTCCTCGGTTGTATAAGAAAATATCGAGGGATGTATTTCTTGTTCCGGACACAAAACACCCACCCCTGCTGTTCTACTTGTCAGCTACAGACCGTCAAGGTACACCATGCACAGATGCTGTATATTGATGTCCCTGCGCCGCATAAGTCCACGCATCGGACATCGATGCATCATGTGCCAGCATGTACCGCATGTCCGCGAACTTCCGATGTGGTTATCACATGCTATCCGCGTCCGTCTATCGATATCCTTAGAGGTGGTAGCTCCTCAAGATTTAAAAATCGAATACCAGTGAGTCGGTCATTTACAACCTTGTGGGGAATAATATAATTTACTGCGGTCTGATTGCGCCCGCATGCGACAGGCTGTAGACCCTGAGTCCTCAAGGCGTGAAGGCGCGATGACTTCATGCAGATTGTGACGAGAAGTTGGCGCGAGATACCCTATCAGCATCTTTCCGTGGACGTACTCGGCAGGGACGACGTACGTACATTCTCCGCCGAGCGCGCGCATTTACGTTTCACCGCACTTCTTGCCTCCCCGACTCAGCGTGAAAGTGACTATCTAATCAAAGGCAGATTGGGATACGTGAATTCTGTCGGCCAAACAGATAAGGCGGATAAGGGATTTATGTAAGGACTCATTTCATACTTTGCTGGATTTTTGACTGAACGATTCAAAGGCGGGCAAGGAGCCCATATGGACTAGTCAATAATCCGTCGTGAAGGAAGCGAAAACGAGCGTAGTAGCGTTGATTGGGCTAATGTTACAACGTCTAGGGGGCCCAGTATCCGCCGTACAGTTATTGCTCGACATGAGTACATTCATTCTTCATGCATGATCTTGTGACGAGAAATAACATTGTGCGAGATATGGGGCGGCGGACAGGTTTAGGTTCGTTTGTGCTTTGCACTTTTTTCGAGGTGTCGCGAGCTATCGCTGACAGGCTAGCATGTTTTGACCCGGATCACTTCACCGCCAAGTGCCTATATAGGGACTCTCGCCGGTCCAGGAATTGCTGGTTCGTACTTTTCGTAACATGCCATATTTACTTCATGCTCGATCTCGTTAACACAGACACGGACAGGCTTTCTACCTGCTGATAACGCGACCGACACACCAAGACCTCCCCACACTCCATGTACAAGAATCCGACCTTCGTGAGCTACATCCGGGAATCCAGCCAGGGTTTACGTCGGCCGTGACCGAGAGACGGGTATTGGCAAAGGCTTCCCATTTGTGTCCTACTTGCAATAACAAACCCCTATGTCCAGTCCCAATGCCCTTCCTCCCGAGGTCAAGGACAACTGGGATGAAATTACTGTACACGGTCGGGCGGCCCTGTCCATTGTCCCGTACCCTCAAAATCACCTTTGCCGTTTAGTTTTTCCATCGGGGTGTGGTTCCACGATGAACCGTACCCTACTGTTCTCTTCCTTTAAATTTTGAGCACCTACTTATTTCCGATGATCTCTTTTGCAATAGGGTGTTGATCATCCATGTGTTGTCGAAGTGTTCCGGTCTCATGAATGCCGTATCGAAGGAGCTGCTCCGTCTGGCCGTAGAACAGATCTCACTCTTGCCGTGCTATAGTAGGCTCGTGACCAGTCTGGCGTATACTACCAACGGATGCTTGTTGTAGGTACCTGTTTGCAGTTGCATCCAACCCATTATTAAAACATGAGATCAGATATCGAGTGGTATGAGCATACTAACATCATGAAATCATTTGATAACTTGAACGTATACTAATGTTACAGACTTGAAAACAAACAAGCATCTAGCAAAATAACAACGATTCGATACATAAATGGATACTGCCCAGCATTATACACCCTATCGTCTGTCTTCTAATTGTACACTTATGCTTCTCACCGCGATAAGGAGGAAATGTACGCAACTTCCGTGGGCGGCGTAACCTTGATATCTTCGTAGTCGTATCCATATGCGCCGTTTGTGTGGTTGGCCTGACTCTGTCTCTGAGCAACGAGCGCACAGAGAGCGGCTGGGACACATTCAGAATGGAGACCAAAGAGCTGATTTGGTCAGACTTACCACCCACACCACTCCCATCCTTGGCCATGCCAATATCGACACGGCTTTCCACTTCAGGACCAACGAGCGCCCGTAACGATGCTCGCAGCTTGGTTTGGAAGTTAGGATAGAATTCGACCAAGCTTATCACGCCCTTATTAGTAAGAATTGAATAGAAAAGGTACTGCTCCTACCTTCCATCTACCCCAACACCGATTCTTTTGCCTTCATCCTTCAACCCGGCGGAACTTTGCTCCCCGCGGTCCCACAGTCGTGCTCGCTCAGTATGGACTAGTATAGCTGCTACAGCCGTTGCACTCATGCGTGCAGCCCTCGATGCTATCAGAGTGCACACTTGCCTGACGATGTCCGCATCCGCGAGGGAAATGTCAGGTGGGGACAGTTCTAGCCGGTGCGCTAGTACCCCTTGTATCCGCCGTAACTTTTCCTCCTTTTGAGCTTCTGGGGAACCTTGTGCTGGCAGAGAGAATCGCCCAAGACATTCCCATGCCTCTTCGATCTCGCTGAGAACCGCAGTGTCCAGTCCCCATTGCTTATTCAGTAGAGCCGAGGACCGACCTCCGAAGAGGAGCGGCTTCGGAGCGGCATCAATCAAACTAAGAATCACGCTTCGGGCGATTTCCCCTAGATACATTCCCGAAATGAATTTCTCGAAAGCCTGGAAACGTGGGTTAATAGATTCGCGGTCCAACTTGTTGTCATATGGAGTCGTTGGCAAGGCAGATCGCTGCAGTTCGACATGAGTGATCAAAATGATGAGATAGAAGGAGTTAATTCACAGAGTTGTTGAAACCACCCCACTCGGTGTTCACAATCATTTCACCACCTGCAGCAACTGTAGGGTTCTGGCTTAATTTAGTGATCTTGGAGACTTCCTCGACATAAGCCCCATTAGTTCCTGTTCCAAAAATAGCACCGAGGATGCATCCGCCAGATGTATATGCTCGCGAAAGAAGAGCTCCGACGGTCTATCATGGAAATTCTCTCATCAGTACATGCGGTCACGTGTAAAATGGAGATGTAGATCCGATGAAGGATCGCAGATGAAAGAAATATTGACTGACGTCGTTGACGAGAGCTACACACTTGACATGAATATGTTTCCGGTCAAACGCGTCTTGAAGAAGCTTGACGACGTCCTTTCCAACGGCGTTCTTTGCAGAGAAACCTTTGGTCCAGGTGAGGAGAACGCCTGAATCGAGGGCGGATTGTTCCACAGGGAAGGAGAAGGTGAGGGCCAGGGAAACATATGGACTGTCCTCGTCGGCGTGAGATACGTGAGAGCCGTGGCCTTGAGAGGGGGTGTCCGTGAGGAAAGCATCCACGGAGTCGGCAAGGTAGTCTGAGAAAACATTGAAAGGCAGTAGCGAGGGAAAGCACAAAGGTCGCACCGAAAAGAGTGGTCACCTCACCAGTCTTGAGGGCCTCAGATACTTTGTATTTTTGCTGCCGGAGGGAGAAGGTCTTGTCTCCGAGCAGAGTGACCTCACAAACGCGACTGACAATCCATAAGGCAAATAAAAACATGATATGATTTAGTACTCACAGGTTTGTCCCACCAAGATCGAGGGCGAGGAATGTTCTAGGGTACTCAGTCAGGTGAAGTGATATGTGGGGTAATCCACATACCCCGTTTCAGAGCCATCTGGCACGCCCTTGACAAACGTCGGACTATCTGACAATCAGATCGGGAACAAGACGTAAAGCAGGGGAACGTGCATCATCGCCATGGGACGACCATAACTGGATAAACCATCAGAGATTTCTGAGAGGAATGTTTGAGTGATCTTGAAGAGACGCTGATCGTCGATAGTGAACTGGTTGTAGAGAGACTCAAGGATATCTTCCTTTGCGCTGCCATGAAGCGCGGTGGTGTGTGACATGGCAGGACAGGAGAGAAATGGAGGCTGAGCCTGGTTAGCGAAAGACAGCGTGAGCAGATAAGCTTTACCCACTTTAGTAAGAACGTCATTCCGAATCTCAAGGCGACCACTATGCTATTGGACACTAACCAAGTAGTTTGGTAAGTACGTATACCTAAGTTATAAATCTTCGCCAATCCTCGCTCAAATCTCAATCATATCCCTCGTATCGTACATTCAGTCTGCTGCACAACCCGCGGTGACCTCGATTCCCGAGAATCTCCGTTCGCAAGTTGAACATAGGTAGGCCGACTATTAGACCAGCCTTCGGAGCTAGTTCGGATTATTACTTCGCTTCGCACACCAGCAAACCATGTTGTTGACGAGGTTGTGTTCTATCATGATCAGATATCTACTGCGCGTTTATCGTTTTCATTGGCCCGTGTCTAATCAGTCGCACATCGCCGAGTAAGAGAAATCGAGCTCCAGCTCATATCAAGTCCATCTGCATCACTTTCTGAGAGGTTTAGCCTGAAAAAGATGATCTCCATATAATTACCTTAGTACTATGTAGGCTCTAAAGTAGCTCAGCGGCTTATTCTAGTCACTTGGGAACATAACCTTTTCCGGACGAGTCTGCTTTGTTAGGCAAGACTAGTATGTGCGTCTCGTGGTCGTTGGTAGCACCCATTGGAAGTCCATTTAATTATCATCGCCCATGGCTATCGACGGCCTGATAATACTAGATCCAGCGGGGTATAGTTCACCATCTTTTGTTTCTTGGTTACCATAATTACAAGATTTCTCATACAGACGTCCCATCATCCAGTCCAGTTACACCACTTATCCGGCAGCGTACCCCTTACTGCACATCGAAGCGTTAAACAACGCGTTAGCAAAGGTTCCGCGCGAGGGTAGCGTAGACCCGGTTATATACGTTGAAGAGCTATCGTGTTCCAGTGCGTGCTGCCATGTCGAGGTTGGCGGGATGAGATTCGTTGCGACCATTAGTGGAGATGGTGAGTGGTCAGCGGTTCGGTCATGAACGGCACGTTTGGGGTTTTCTCGGGCAGCAACTGATGATACTCTATCAGCGGATCCCCTCATTGCATTCGCCTTTCTCGACGCCTTCGTTGAAATACTCCAAGACTATTTTGGCATAGTCAGTGTTGCAACTCTCAAGGACAACTTTGACATCGTATACCAGGTTCGTGGACATGTTATTACGCTTTCCACTACTTGATGTTTACTCGTATTGAATATCTGTCTTGGACTCACAGCTTCTCGAGGAAACGCTTGATTCGTCTGGCCATCCACTGACAACCTCACCGAACGCGTTGAGCGATATAGTACTCTCGCCATCCTTAATCTCGAAGCTTCTCGCCTCGGTATCACCAGCTACTCCAGGAGTTCCAAGCGCGAGACAGGGAGGCCAGTCATCTATTTGATTTGCAATTGTTGGAAACTGCATTAACATCCTCTTGGTAACATAGGTTCTTTCGGTTCAAATGGTGCCAGTGGAGCTTTTTCATCGCCAATACCATGGCGTAAAGCTGGGGTTCGGCATAATCACAATGAGATCCTTTTTGATGTCGTTGAAGAAATGCGAGGCATCGTCGGAAAGTACGCTCGAAGTTCATATCAGCCCGTTTGTGCTGTTAAAACCGTTCAAATACAGGAATGGCACGACGTTAGTGAGCAACGTTTTTGGCAAAATTGAGAGCAATTCAAAACTTTCCGGGACACCCGACCTGACATTGACATTCGCGAATCCTAATGTGATGATGGAGTGCGCGTTTCATCCATGTGTACGGTGAGTGGTCTTGTGAATCTATCATTTTCGCAGCGTCATCCCTGAACAGTGATTCTTGACTTAACTTCAGGTTGCAGAAATGGACCCACGACAATACCTTATCTTTTGTACCTCCTGAGGGGCGGTTCATTCTCGCAGACTATCAGTATAGACCACCACAAAGCGCGCTCATCAGCAACGTGCCCATACCACTTTCCCTCAAAGCGAATATGGACATGGGAGAATTTGGCGGTACCATCGATCACTGATGTTTTTAAGCTACAACTGACACCGCGCAGGAACGTTCGCCCTCACGCTGACTTCGCGTTTGATAAAAGTGATGGAGAATCTAGAACTGAAATTCTATCTCGGAGAAGATGCGACCAGCGCGCAATGTACATTGTCAAGTGCAGGTTCTAGCGTAGGATCTGTGGGAAGCGCAGATGGATCATGGTCATTTAACTCGAGAACAAAGGTACGCTTTACCGGCAGTTCGTTCTGTCCAAAAAATCACTCCCTTTAGACACTCCGATGGGAGATTCTGAATATGCGGTCTTCGGGGAGCTGGATTCTTCGAGGTTCATGGACGTCAAAGTAAGCGGTTTAGATAATTTCACGGATCTGCGATGTTTATGTTTCTCCAGAATCAAAGCCCCACGTCCAGCACATGCGTTCCAAATACGCTTCGAGATACCCTCTCATAGCTTCTCTTCGCTCAAGGTCGATCGGTTGTCGCTCTCAAGCGAGACGTACAAGATGTACAAAGGAGTGCGGATGCGCAGCAAAGGGTCGATCGAGTGGAGATGGTAGCCAGCTTAGGACCCTGGCTACTTTGTATATTTCCAAGACTTGCACCATGCAAACTGTACGAGTCCCCTGAGAGCTGGCACAACTGCTCCCGTGATAAGTTGCTTGATTCACAGCGGTAAGTTCTGGGATGCTCGCAAATGAACATCTCCAGCATTTCGATGGCATTATCGGGGCGGACACAGGGCTCTGACACTTTTTCGGGAGTAATTACGCTCGGTAAGCTAATCTCCTTTCACAACGACCACAAGGGAGCTGCCTCATCGTCGCGGAACCTAGTGCCGGACCGCATTTGAAACAAGCTGGTAAGCTATGAAATGGGGAGCGACATACTAGCGACATATTCCCGAAATTGATTGCTGCCGCGTAAAAGAGTTTGGCGCTCAGCCACTGCAACTCCACAGCCGTATACCTCCTTCAAATCAGCCAGGTGATCATTCTAATTTCCCGTGCCGGACCTTGTAATAAGGGAAGGCAGTCGGTCCTTCTTGTTCAAGCGCATAACCCAAACTCTGGCATTCTGTCACAAAGATCTGGTTGACAGATGGGCCTGCAGAAAGAACGAGACGATTCTGTGAATTTATCCTGATGCCCTTTAATCGGGGCTCCGTTTGATTTCGATCTCAATGAGGAACAAGTATTGGCATGATGCAATAGAGAACAGTAGCAGAAAAAGCAGGCGAAGATGTCACCTGCTCAAGGACGTGCCGGCTAATTCGAATTAATCTTATCCCCATCAAACAATCAAGCAAGATTTTTACAACCCGGCGTTCGGCGAGTCTCGAGCATACCTCATTCATGTCATTCACAAGCTTGTAACACAGCATCTGTGAGCATACTTTTGTTCTACCTTGATGCATTTGGTAACCACAAACCTTTGAATAGCATTTATCTGTGTCACTATGCCTGCAGTTTCGAAGCTTGTGCCAGAGGAGACTGTATTCTTCCTCTGCGACGTGCAAACACGTTTCAGTACGCTTTGTTTTGAATCCACTGCGAATCGCTGAAATCGACTGTCGTGCCATTCGCTGATATGAATCAGAAAATCTCATTGTCGGTATTGATGAGCTGGTGTTGACGATCAACAAGATGCTCAAGATAGCAAAGGTATTATATACGTACCAACTCCCTATCATGCCTTTACTCACATAAAGATGCACAAGGCGTTGGAGATCCCCGTGGTTGTCACGGAACAGAATCCCAAAGGTGAGTACACTCTCGTCCCTCTTTGAAATCAAGTCACCGAAAAATAAAGGCCTCGGAAACACCATCCCCGAAATCGATTTACCTTCCCTAGGGCCCCTTCTCGTTGCTACTATCGCGAAAGGGCTCTTCTCCATGATGACGCCGGAAGTGAAGGCCATACTCCACGAACGCCCACAAATAAAATCTGTGGTGCTTTTTGGCATCGAGGTTAGTTTACCCTACAACGACTGCCTCATCAGTAACATCGTTCGATTTAGTCACAAGTTTGCGTGTTACAATCTGCTCTAGACTTAATTGAGGCGGGATATAATGTCCACGTGATAGCAGATGGCGTCTCTAGCTCTAACAAAGAGGAGATTCCTTTTGCACTGGCGAGGATTCGACAGAGTGGTGGATACATCACCACTAGCGAGAGTATGGCCTTTCAACTGCAACGTGCGCTTTTAATTTCAGATTATGGGGAGGCCTACTCATTGATTCCAGGGGATGCTGGTCTTTCCGGATTCAAACTGTTTTCGAACATCATGAAGGAAGAGAAGGATAACACGGTAAGAACCTCGCAGAAGATGCTACGACACCGCTCCTTCTTGTAGAGTTGTTTACCCCAGTTGTATCATATTCTCCGAATCGAAAAGGCAGGGCCTTTTCTCAGTCGGTCTGGCAGTGACTCAAACAAGAGTCATTTCGGAGAATCGCATGGACCACATTAGGATCTATCAAGACATCCATACGTGAAGATGTAAGGGTCCCCACATAATTGATGTTTAAACAGGTAACTTAAACTTGAAGTGACCACTGGCTGCGTCCTTTAGAGAGAAGGAACCTGGTTACGCCACTTGAGTTGCCCACAGTGTGCCGTGGGCAGGTCTGGAACTTGCACAGGATCGGCAGCGCTCATCCTGTCCATTTGAGACAGGTAAGGTGGTTGCAAATTCATGTTCCCGTTCATCATACAGACATGGTTGTTCATCGACATCTCCAGCCCAGTGCAGTCCGTTTCCATTCCGGGTGAAAATGTACAGGGGTAGATTCTATGAGCTCGTTCACCTCTTTTCTATTGTTCGAGACGAAATTGAAACATTAATCCGAGCGCGGCGTCCGCCTACCACTAAGAACCCCCTCCAAGTCCAACATTGCTCCTACTCGGGAGGAGGTCTCCATGGACAACTAACAGAAACGATACAGCTCTATAGTGACGACATCGGGAAAACCCTCCCGTGTAAAATTCTCAAAGTTTACAGACATTTTGTCCAACTGATCCAAATTGATGGATTAGAAGGGCTAAGAAGGGCTAAGAAGGCTATTGCTGACTTTCGATTAGCAATACCCTGTCGCGATTTTTAAAAAATTAGACATGTCTAGTGAGACCTTGCGATACCCCTGGATATCGATTGCGCTAGGTGATACTTGAGATTTCGCACTCGAGAATACTGGAAAGAACAATGTTTGATTACCGAAGGGTATATAAAACACTACGTGTATCATGCTGATAAACACAGACGCGGCCGGGCACCTTGTTAGAGAAGAAGCGGAGGAACTCGTTGAGAACATTTGCACATGCAGATAGAGAACGGGGATGGCGCTAGGAGGGAAGAGACGAAGATAACGACCGGGCCGTTGACGTCAAATCGCAGGTACTGCACGGCATTAAATTGGAATTATCCATACATTAACTAGACGGATGCAAGCTGCGCGTGTTTGTTGCCACCTTCTCATTTTTGCTTAAATTTCGTCACATCCTCAGTATAACCTACTTTCAATAGCTGCCAAGGAGTAACTTATCATAGTGCGATCTCATGCCGCAAGATACATCATATACTGTACTGATGAGGGAAAGGGAGGTCGATCGTATCCTCCATGCGAGTAACCTCGGATCGATCAGCATGTTGGACAGCCCAGTCCATGACGTTCTCAAATTTCCTGCATGCATGACGGGTGTTGAAGTTAGGGTAGGGTTTCGAGTGATTTGTTACCCAGTCCCACGTGATCATCACGACCTCGGCATTGCACATGATAGACTGCCTGATCAGTTCGACGCAGTCATCTAAATATGCCATGAGCAGGGCGTATATCGGGTAAGGAGGGAAATTTACCGAGATGCATTCGAACTACCGAGGGGTCCCGCTGAAACCAGGGATCCAACTTGTAATGGTCGGGCCAAGAGGACTTGCGAAGGAAGTTCTACAGAATCGTCAACCAAACATGACCGGGCGCTACGTGCAGCATAGTTTACCAGACAGCGCAGTTGTTGATGGACTTCCAACGATACCATGAAACCTCCACCGTTGCTTTGTGGATACTTGACCTTCGCTGGTAGATCTACTCCTCCAGCTTTACGCAGGTCATCAATCGTAACCCGGATTGGTGGCACTGTGATTTTATGGAAGTGAATAACGACCGACAGTACAATTGAATGCCATACCATCGTCAGAAACCCTGGCCCAAGCGGCATCGAGTTCTGGAGGAGGAGGGCCATGATAGTGGGGATCATTGATAGGTCCACCGTCAATACGATAGATAGAAGGAAAATCGACGGTTCCATTGAACCTTATAACAACAGGCTCGACAGCAACACTCGCTGGAGCTGCAATTGGTCAACATTTTGACCATCTAGCGCCATCTGACTACTCACAGTATATAGCAAGATGAGCGGGAGGCGTGCGTATCCATAGCGTGAAGGAGAACACGGATGTGACTATAAGCGAACCAATGCTCAACCAAGGCCAAAGGCAACGAATGCGAGGTTTGAGATGAGGTTTTGCACCGGGCCTGTCTACGTCACCAAAGATTGTCTCTTCATCAAGATCATCAAGATCAACAGGAGAGTGTGGAGAAACTCGAGCCATGTTGGCTCCTGTGGTTAGCAGCTGTGTCTACTGCTCAGAGCTGAATACGAAAGTCGGCGAGATGCTACGTGCAAACGTTTCACTGTGAGGCCTTGATGTGGAGGATGGATATCAAGATATCATAGTGTAAACGCGCTGCAGCCTGTTTTGAGAGCTGGTGCTGACTACGCAACAACTTGAAACGTGTGATCAAGGAATCCGACACGCTTCTCAAGATTGCTACTCACCAAATGTAGTTGATCAGTATTGAAATATGTTGTTTCAATGTCGTATCGATCATCTTCTCTGGGAATGGGATTTGCTGGCACTAATACATCCTTTCCAGTTTCGTTCAACTATGACTCACGACACATTGAACTTGCTGGCCTCCTGATGGGCTGTGATTGAGTTTGGCAGCTGAATCCAATTCAAACAATCACTTACGAACAACAACACTTCTCCCATGTTTACCTTGTGGGTCGGGCATTAGAGCAAGCGCCAAGTGTTAATGGCACAATGTAAAAATTTATTGTCCGTGCAAGGAGTACAAGCACCAGAGTCAGCTTCTGTGCGGAGTATACGTACAGAGTGTTGCCAAGTAGGACTTTGCAGAAATCTCCATGCGTTCTCCGCGAAGTTGACCGTTCTAGCTCCGCTCGGCTTTGCAAGTCCAATATTCAAATGTTGGCAGCCACAATTTGACGGCTAGCAACGGGTCCCGGTCAACTGCCACTCAATGTGCCCCCTTCTGATTGCTATCGACACATCCTCCTGTAGTAGATGGCTTCATATTTTTACCACCTCTCGGATTGCAAATCTCACCCATTGGACCGCCAAATTTTCACATGAAGTGCAAAGATCACAAGCACCAGCATACCATTATTGAGCATACATATATATGAGCCACTACTGAAACGAAGATGGACAGCAGAAGCTCTCACTTGAGCTTGCTTGGGACCACGTCTCTGTCCTGCAAATGGTCTGTCCACCGTACCTACCACTGCGCCCGTCCGTCGGCACGACTCGGTGGTCCAAGGAAGGCGAGTGAAATAGCAATGAGCTGGCGTCTCCAGAGATGAGTCATGTTCCTCTGGCATGATGAATTTCAACGCATATGGGCAACACGAAAACTGATTCTCCGTTAACACTGGTGCCTAGAATCTGGTACCAAGATTGATTTCTTGTCATAATGTGTCGATACCGAAAGGTTGCACGTATGTTATGCCAGCTCATCGAGATCTAATAGTACAGGATAGCAGAAATGCCAAGCAGGGTCTTAGTTCAGATCCATATTGTTGGCATTTCTGGGTCTCTGAGGTCCGCGGGCCGTATATTGCAAGTGCTTCAAAGTTTCTTCCTGCCTGTCCGATTCATATCCAACTGATCCCTCTTCTTCCTCCGTACGTTATGCGCAAGGAATATTCTGCTCAGTATTTTCCTGTCAATGGAGTGGACGACGGGGACGAGAAGCTTCTCCATAGGGGTACAGAAACTAAACCTCATTCAAAATCCCGCTTCCTAAGGCTTCGCGTGTCGCGGCTGTGGCTCATACATGGTGTGCTGATATTCTTGACGTTACTCTTCTTCACGCTATGGGCACGGGCACCTTCGAGGGATGACATACTCCTGTACTGTAGGTGGACAGATGACATAACAGAGATGCCTTCCTGACCCATCACAGCTCCAGCAAACGAGGCTATTGAATCCAAAGCCATTGTAAGATTCAACGGAAGTTGGGATCGTCCTTCAGTATATCGCGGCAGTCCGTCTCCAGATCTCGAAGCAGCTTGGAGTAGAGTAACTGCTGATGGTTGCATATCTTTGTTCCTATCGAGGTGATTACTGATTGACAACCTTTCAGGGCGTCCATTGTCTATAACGCTCGAACAACTGCTCAAAATGGGGGAAGAACCTGCCCCATTCATGGTTAGGTTTCCGGAAGAGTACGGCGGAAATTATATGGCGAGTGTAGAGGTCCTTCACCAGCTCCATTGCATAGTCAGTCGTAACAGGAGGCTACTCGATCTTCACTCACCCCTTATAGAACATGGTTCGCAAATCCGTCTGGGGTAACTATTACATGACAGATGATCCCGACTTCGTCCGATGGCGCACCCATCCTAGTCAGCATACTGTTACCTCTCGGCCTACATCCTGCCTGCTAATGTTGTACATCAGATCACTGCGTCGAAATTCTCAGACAGGCCATCATGTGCCACTCTGATGTAACAATGGTTACTTATGATTGGGTTGAGGGACTCGACGATCCTTACCCAGACTTCAACGTTCCTCATCAATGTAGTGACTTCGAGAAGGTCATTGATTGGGTAGATGGTCACCGTGTTTACATCCCTCCATCGCAGTTGATCCGCCAAGAGGGTAATGCTGACCTTCCTTACCTCCCCTAATTGTATTATAGGATCCAGGGGGGTATGATATCACATCACGAATGTAACTACAAAGACGTATAACTTTACTGTAAGCCGAGTTTCATAGTGCTGATAGGCTGTCCCACAATAAACTCCCTTCGAATCGGATATCTTGTAAAGTCGGAGACAGTCGCGACTTCTACTGGACAAGGTAGTTCTACGACCATCGCAAGAACTTTTTACAGCGGTTGTAGTTAATAGTATCACTCTCCCGATGGACACAAATCGGATCAACTTGACAAAAGGTATACATTGTGTATCACGGGGCATGACAGGGCATGACCCCAACTGACCACACATTAACAAAGACATGAAAAATGTGTAAGCCTAAGTCGAGACACAGACCAACTGTAACTATCCACACCCTTAGTATCACAGCAGGTACTCACCAACTCGACAGCAATCGCCTCGCAGTCCTCATCTACTGGATTTGGCCGCATAAACAACCTCAAAGCAAATGTGCAGTGCTCATCTTCTGCTACTAATAGCACTATCCCTCCAACTCCCACCATCATTGTCTCTGAATCAGTGGTACACTCCTCCGGGCCGACACTGGAAACCACGGAGGAACGCCTCCGCAAGGAACTCGAACTGGACGGGAGGGATGCCGAATGCGAGTTTTCTCGTTACGAAGATTCAAGTATACTACTTGAAACAGCTGGAGATATTGTTCGTTTCTGGGAGGAATGTGTCATATTTCTGCCTGCAATTCATAAGGTTAACAGGTATCATGTTAGAAAAAAGAACGTACATTCCCGCTTCTATTCCGCATCGCTATGGATGTCCTGCCCAGTGGTCAAGCATCATCTGTGCCTTCCAAGCGATTTTCATCCAACAAAGAGACTTGCACTCTACAGCGCAGCAACGTATCTTCGACGATACTTCAAGTTGAAGCACCATAAGTCCTGAAGTTTATTTACAAGCAAGACCACCTCAATTTACAGAAGACTTGGTGGCTGACGAGCGAACTGGTCCTGTGACACCCAGAACGGTTGATGAGTTACAGCTATCTTCATATCGATAGGCCAGAATCTAGAAAATTCACTTGGCCGCTTTTATTTATCAGTGGAGCGACACCAAACAAAGGCGCTTCATGCTAGCTACTTTTGTAAGTCACGTAAGTCGTCATCATTACTTGAGGAGTACTACTACAACGACTGCCGACCGTCACCATCATGCACAAAAACCGTCGACATATATATACATTTCAACGGAGACGAAGAGACGATCTTGCTAAAGTGCCAGAGAAACCAAGTGGAGCCTCGTCTGATGACGAGCATGACTTGCCTTTGACAACATTGTAGTGTTTTGCAAGGCGAGAGCTTCGTTACTTGACCATGAAGGTCACCTACGTACTAGTAGCATAGTACCCGCCATCACCTTGTGCAGCTGGTCGCAGATCGGTGGGTGCGCGCCGTGGTTCCAAAGTCTCATCAGAGCATTTGTACCGCCCCGCAAAAGCCCCAAAAGGTTAATGATTACCGTAAAAAATAGCTAGCAATCATGATGCCTACTAGTAGCATGAGCGCCTCTATTTGGTGTCTGAATCGCTCCAATAATAAACAAAAGCGTATAAGTGAATTTTCTAAATTCTGGCCTATCGATATGAAGAATTAGAAAATTGATTATAAATTAAAGGCTACGAAGCGCTCCGTTACCTCCGAACGTTTTCTACTGCAAATTACAATAAGAGATATTTGTTTGCTGTTGTCTTTTTCTCTTTCCATCTTGTAAATAGCGTTCGGTGTGGTGTATTGTCCGTGTGCGAACGAATCTGTGCGCAGGTCAAGCATGGCTTTTCTAACGTCGGCCCTCGACATCCGTTGAATGTCGTCGCATAAGCACAGGCCATGTATCTCTCCGGCTCTCCAGTATGAGGGATTTGAATCTCGGCGAATCTGCGATGAAAACGGTGACGCGGACTCTCGCATGGAGCAGATAAGCGAACAATGCACGCAAATAGGAGACGAGCGCACAGGGATAGCGAGCGCTTGAGCGATTCGGGGTGCATGCTGTGGAACCACCTCAGGTGGAGCAACAGACAAGCCTAGGCGTCACGCGAATTGCTTCCGCGGGATCAAATGTTCGTCCTTACACATGTTAGATATCTGCTGGTCGTGTACTTGTGACTTGTAAACAATTGTCGTTGTCGGCATGCAGAATCCCTAGCTTCCCATTGGCTGGACCACCGATCCGTATCCCTCCGAACTCCGAGTCGTTTCCAAATTGAAGGCACAAAGTCGCGGTGCCTCTTGGAAAATGTTGGCAGTTCAACTGAACGTCATGCCACGTCGTATTCCAGCAAGGTCGGACGGGTCAAGTAAACCGACGAAAACATATAAAAGAAAGACCTTTGAACTTTCAACGTAGGCACTAACGAAGCGAACAATTCCTCTAACCTTTATTCCTCTTAACTTCAAACATGCAACGCTCTCTCCTTCTTAATGCACTCGCCTGCATGTAAGCTATTGCAGTCGCATACCCCATATCAGAAGTGATCACGGATTCCTGCGAGTATTCATGACATCAGTAGCATTATAGTCATTAACGTACCATGCAGCTGTAGCAAAGCGCGACTCGGAGGATGGGGCCGTTGCGGCCTTCTGGCCGATTACCTACTACGGCCACTGCGACGAAGACAAGAAGCTCTGCAAGTATTCATGACCGTCAGTTAATACCACGATGCTGACGTACCTATCCAGCCGAGGATGAGGCTCTTGAGGCCTAATTTCCAATTACCTACGACGACGACAAGTCGCGCTGCGAGCACCAGGAGTGTTCAGCTAGTTGACAACATATCTTTACTTACATACCAATGCAGTAAGTATTACGCAGCCATAGCAGGGAAGATGCAATGAACAGTAAATCCGCCTTTGAAACTTAGAGATGCAGTACTACTTAATACAAGTTGGGGAGAACTAGAAGGTACCCACTATTGTTGAGCGAAAGTGGGGCCCCTTTTAGCAAATGTTAAATTTTATTGCGTCGAGTTTGACAATGTGAGCATCGTGCCATCAGAAATCTGAATCGCCATGAGATTACATCACATTGTTATACAAGGTCACTATCATATCACCCCATAATTGTGGCTGATGTTCTTTTTCAAAAATTGAATTCATTTATTGTCCTTCGGGGTCGAAGGCCATATGTCGGACATACTTAGCCTGAAGCTTGAAGCGTAGCCAAACATTGGCGGTGTGGGAGTGAGCCGAAATAAATCGTCGCCGCCATGGCAGTCATATGTGTCGCTTCGATTCGAGACGAGGTTCAGAGCAGGGAGAGGGGGTCGCCATTGCTACGAACGAGTTAAGGACTGTAGTCAGTGACATGGTTGAATGGTGAAGTCAATAGTTATTGAACCATAAATCCCCTAATTATCAGGATTCTTTCATGTTGTGCTAGGTCCTGGCAGACTGGTACCAGAGGAAGGGCAGTACAGGTATGAAAGGGGATGATTGATAAGTAAATTAGCTTGCGGTAGTTTCTTTCAGAGACGTACATCGGCTAGTAAGTCGAATTACTAATTTGAAAGCCAGCCCTTCGGATAGAGGGTACCTATCGATATACTGTTCTAGTACATACGACGAGGCAGGAAACAATACCAAGGACGCGCATACTGACGACGTATGGCGCCAGGTGAGCAGGATGCAGTCCGGTATGTATATATATTGTTAATAGTGTATTCACATAGATACATGAAGAAACAATTACCTAGAGAAGCGCAAAGGGCGAACGTGCCATTGACATAAACGTTTACTAGACGACATGATAACAGTGCACATACAGTAGCGCTACGTTAGCGCTTGCTGATGTTGTACCAGGGTGGTCTGGCGCAGGTCATAGGGAGTGCCTGGTGTCCTGGTGCAGTAGCAGGAGTCCTGGCTCGTAGTCGGTAGTCTTGCGTGGTGTTGTAGTCTGTCCTCGATAGATAGAGCCGCAGCTACCCGCTATAGAAGTTTGGCCTGAGGGTTTCCCTTGCAGTCACCTCCCCAGTACAATGTGTCGTGGGTTGCCCGTGGTTTTGGCCGTTTGGCATAGGGAAATTGCTGGAGGCTTTTGGATGATGAGGTGTGTTTGCAAGTGTGAGGAAAAGAACCTCGACACAAAGGTGGTGCTACGCGAACACTGTCGTCGAATCTCTGATGAGCATTGGGTGTCGGATCTTGATGACGTGGCGCGTCCACTAAGTGGAGATGGTGCTGGTGTGTGAAGGTGACGGCTAGAAGGAGAAGACGGATGGGTGCGGGAGGGGGTGCCGAGAATCGCCATAGAGTCAGGGAAGTGATGAGCGGAGATCGTTGTATCTGGTATGTTTAACTACGTATACAAGCTGGTCAGCTGTAAAATCATGATGGGGAATGACATACAAAGAGTTCAGCGTTCAAAACGATCAGCCACTATTAGAGATGTTTTAGAGCGCTGAACCGGAGAACCCAATTGTCGGAGAGCTGCGTGGAGGACTTGCCAGGCTGCCAGAAGTACTCTGCATCTCTGACAGCAACGTTCAGTCTCTTCCTGGATTAGTTACAGATGAATGGACGGCGTGAGACGTACACTAGAGCGAGCGCAGCGCCATCGCTGAGGTCAACGACGGTGGTGACTGGCTGCCGACTTCTGTGGGGTGCCGATTGCAGTGGAAGGGATAGTACGGAGATGTCTCCGAGATGTTGAGTGCCTTTAATACTGAGTCAACGGCTGGTTGGAAACGCAAATGTTCAGTAGTTCTACACAAAATTGTCAATAGACCTTGGCTGGCAATCTGCTGGCGTTGCAGATATGCATCTGTTTGAAGGCATAACCACGCACGAATAATTTCAAAGAACAATATCCAGCACATAAAAGCCAGCCGTCTTCCTACTATCTCCTTCAGAATTATTTGATACCACATCACACGAATCACAAACAATGCGTTTCTCCTCTGCAATTGTCCTCGCCATCGTTGCTGCTTTAGCATCATCGATCTCTGCAATACCCGCTGAAGCGGCCAGCACCGATAAATGTCCCAGATTTTGCTTTTGGGACTTTACATGCGCGGTCTGCCCTCTTGGGCTTTGCGTGAGTATCAGTAGTTTCCTGGATTTGGTGACATGGCTCACCTGTATAGCAGGAATATTTTATCTGCATAGTGAGTCATGTTTGTGTTCACATTGGTGCAGTATGGCCGTTGGCGCTGATGCTGACTCGGACACACGAGTTATTAGTGATTTGTAGAGTTGATCAACGCGCATCAGGAAAACATCAGTCCACTTCCAGCTCTTTGCATATTGGAGTTGGCGTGAAATTTTCGCGAAATACAGAGAATATCAGACTGAGATAAGACATGCAAGGACACAAAAAGAATATTATCAAGGGGCGTACAGATCAGTCCACAGCGCAGCCTCACTGTCAGTGTAATGTAGATGGGCTTATAGATCCCACAACTAGAAACATGAGTATATATGCGCACGATAGACCTTATAAAAACCCACCTACGGCCCGTAAACCGTACAGTTCCAACGTTCGACAAGATCTAGATAGGCACGTACTATGTGAAGAGAAATCCTGCTTCAAGCCATGTTTTCCAATCACATCGTAAGCATCTTGACTCTTGAATCAACTATTGATTCCTCGGCAAGATGAGATGATTGTCCTGGCAGGCCAAGTACATGACAAGTGCAGAATCGCGCCTTGTATTATATGCACCTGTAGAATGTATATTCATAAGTATGTGCGCACGATATCGATCGATGGCTGTCAAACACACCTGGTATATAGCTCCCCACTTCGACTTTCAACTCGTCAATCATTTTCATTTTCCCACTTGCACTGTGTTCATCTCTTCCAAGACATCTCAGAGGGGTATGTCGTGTATCTGGGAAAGGTGCTCTGACCAAATTACCATACCCACCGTGATCCGATTTTGAATTATGCGGCGAGGTGGTTGCAGTTGTAGTTGTCCAAAGCCCCCTGAAGCTCCCTATCAGGTCTGAACCCCCCTCAAAAATGCAACTTTTTGTCCTGCAGTTACAGTGACGGCGCCAGCCCCCGAGTCGCTTATTCCTGGCGTGTTTGTATCCATCGAATTAAACGCAAAACGTCCTGGACTTACCACGGGTCTGCTAGAGGCAGGGTTTCCATAGTGTATTTTGGGCGTCGGGAGGACGCGCCCAGTGACTGAGATCGGGTCGGGAGACACGGTAATCCCAGCGTCTTGCAAGAACGGAGAATTCTGATAATCCAGTCCCTGTACAAGCAGTCAATGAAACGCATGCAAAGATGAATGTATTACTCACAGAGCGCTGGTCGGCCGTAACCGAATTGTTGATGCCAGCACTAATGAGCGCCAGGCGATCCTGGGGGTTCTTCGAAGAAAATTTAACCATAGTCGGCGAGAATTCGGGAGGGAGCTTTCGCGCGTAACGTTGGTCGGGAGCGATAACGCACATCTCTGCTGGGATGACCTCATCGCAATCCTTTGATCCGACTTGAATACCGATGATGTTCGGATAGTGTAGTTCGCGACCACAAGCTTTCTTGAAGTATTCCTGCACTTGCTGTGAGAAGAGCTGTTATGAATGCGATTCATATCGAAGCCTACCTTGACCGTGGTGTTCTCGAACTGGAAGTTACCAGCACTAAGCCTCGAGTCTTTTTAAGGCCCGGCCGGTGGGCAAGCGTGGCAGAAACGCACTTGAAAAAACTTTTCAATTGGCGGAGCTGCGGGGAATCTGCGCGGAGTTCTAGCGCACGAACATCGTTCTGCTTTAGAACAGCGAGAGTGGCATCCTGAAAGTTACCCTGCTTGAACCTGAAGTTTACATGGGTGTTAATGTGTAGTAATTGAGGCGGACTTGCTTACATGACCGCTGTCGACACATCAATGTTCACTAAAACCTTTCCGATGGTAGGGCGAAGACTCCTATTGTATGTTGGTCAAATATGCGTCGCCACAGAGATACTGAGCTTACTGGAAGTATCCACGCCATAACTCTAAACCTCCACCCAAGCTCTGTATGCCAGCGTCTTTGGTAAAAAACGCACGTGTATTGTCCTGTAGAAAAATGAGCATTCATACCCAAATACTGATAAAAGCGCGACGCACAGATTAGGTGCTTGTCGGATGATCAACTGCAAGACATTGATCGCCGTCAGGACCTGGGCGGTCTGCTTGGTCTGGTTTCCGTCGATGAACGCTTATAAACCACTATAATTCGTCAGTAAGCGGAAAATGAACAAAAAAACTCGCTCGATAGAAATACATACTTGAAATCGATCGGATCGGCGGCGACCTTCTTCAGCGTTACCTAGAATATTCCGCGGGTTGGGGCAGACTCATCCACTCGGGGTTTGTCAGACATGTTAACGTCGAACTTTTTCAGAACCGAAGGTAGAGATTGATTAGTAGTTCCGACTCGAACGCCTTAACTCTTACGGTTTGAGAGTCCCTGCCAGATTATGGAAGCTCGCGGGAAGAGTACATGATAACGGTTCCGTCAAAAATGCAGCGCGGGGTGAATAGTTTTGGATCCGTGTGGTTCTGGAGACGTTCGAACACTTCGATCCTCCTGCGAGGGTTCTCGACGTCTCTTCCGCCACCGGAGATCGTTATATTCAAGTGAGGCACCATCATTGGCCACCGGGGTACAGATACTCACAAACTATATGAAGTTCAACCGCTGTGTCATTGTAGTAAGAGTGAAACTTACCTTCGGATTGAAAATACCGAGTTCTCGTCGGCAGTTTTGATATGACGAACGAGTCTGTTAGAACCGGTTGTGGTACGCCCTTGCCTCGAGTAGACATCTGAGTGTAATATGTGAAAGAATTCAATTGACTTGACTGGAGACTGAACGCAGGAGAGAGGGGTATATATACCTGTGGATTATCGATGATTATTTCACCAGTTGTCCAGCATGTCAACTCAACCCGACCGATTACTATATGGACGTGATAGCGACGGTATTGATCAGATAAATTGATTCCTGGGGTGTCCTCTGATGGGCCACATGCTTGCGATAACGTCTGTTTTGTGTCCATCGACAGCCATCGACTCGTTAAACGCAAACTAGTCTTTTCATTTCATCTTTGGTAAATGACTAATCCATGCATGGTCAATGCATGATGTTCTTCGACTCGTAACCGAGGACAAACAATCTTTTCCTTTTACCACGCCTTGAACATTCACTCATGGATGGATTTTTCAAGGCCTATCTTGAGTAACCATAGCTAACCGTTTGGCACCAGAACAGATTAGAAATCTGCTCTCTTGTGGTGCGGATTCGAAACCTGCGGACATGGACAGTTCTTCGGAGGTTCGTCTAAACTTGGCCAGGAAGTTCTGGCCCAAGTGGTTAACACAACATAATCAAAATTTGTTTCTCTTGTACTTCGCAGGTTCGAAACCTGCCTAACAACAGGGTTTTTTCTATCGGAACACGCCTTGAAGATTCACTCACCCTCGCCAAAGTGGTTACCACAACGGAATCAAGATCCGTTTCTCTTGAACTATGCAGATCCGAAACCTGCCGAATAACAGGGTTTTTTTCCCTATCGGAACACGCCCAATTCCTCGGAGGTGCATCTCAACTCAGCCCTGACCGAAGTGCTTACTACAACATAATCAAAATCTGTCTCTTCGACTGTGCCAGTGCAGATTCAAAACCTGCCAATGAGTTTTTTTTATCCAAACACGCCTCGAAGATTCACTGATGGACAGTTCCTCAGAGGGTCATCTCAACTTCGCCCTGGTCAAAGTGGTTACTGCAACGGAATCGAAATCTGTCTCTTGGACTGTCACACCAGTGCAGGTTCAAAACCTGCGGACGAGGTTTTTTCTATCCGAACACGCCTTCAAGATTCACTGATGGACAGTTCATCAGAGGTTCATCTCAACTTCGCCTTGGCCAAAGTGGTTACTCTAACAGAATCGAAATCTGTCTCTTGGACTGTATCGGTGCAGGTTCAAAACCTGCCGACGAGGTTTTTTTTTATCTCAGAACACGCCTTGAAGATTCACTGATGGACATTTCCTCGGAGGTTCATTTCAACTTCGCCTGGCCAAAGTGGTTATTACAACAGAATCGAAATATGTTTCTGTCGGACTTGCGCAAGCTCGAAACCTGCCGACCATAAGGTTTTTTTCCTATCGGAACACACTTTGACATTTACTCATGGATGGATTCCTCGGAGGCTCATCTTAACTGATCTTAACCAAGTGGTTGCCACAACAGAATGAAAATCTGTTTCTCTTGCAGTCGGTTCGAAACCTGCTGCCAACATTTTGCAGTGTATAGATCCTCAGAGCTCCGTCTTAACTAGGCCCAGTCATTGCGCCGAAACCTCCTTTTTATGTGATAGTCTGTCCATGAAATAGAATTCACCTTCATGCCTTGTGCGGATCGTCTCATAAGGTATATCCCTGAGATGTGTACGTGGACTTCTCGACTTGACCGCCGCTCTGCTCTACCACATGCAGATGACGCCGGTCCCTTCTCGGTGTATGCGTGCTGTGTCTGACTTCGATGTGGATGGAGGTCCAACGAAGCCGTCAGAGTCAGCCCTCAGCATGGCGTGCTCACCCTAGCACCCGAAAAGTTATCGTTGCTCTTTTGGGGCTCGTCATAACATGCGCAGGGTGGGCTGCAATCATCATTTGCATTTGACGCAATATTTATAGTGTCCACTATCGACAAATCCTAATCTCCGCTCACCATACAAACGTGGTCGTTCTTTTTCTCTGTCCCCCGTTACAGCTACATCATGTATTCCATTCCGAGTGTCAATGTACAAGGGTGGATTCTGGCCTTTTTCAACATGGCGATCGTCCAGGGACCATTGACAATTGGGTTTCATTGCTTAGAGCTCATCACGAATGTGATTCGAAATGAAAGACAGTGGAGATGTGCCACTGGAGGGGAAGGACTTAGAATGACGACGAACCCGCTGAAGCTGTTTTTCACTGATCCACGTTGTCTTGTGCTTTTCTTCGCGAAGCCCTTACTACGTGAGTCATTCACGTCTAATTTTTTAAAATCTCTGTTATCAAACCGATTACTATCGATGATATAGACTCGATGTTTGGGATCTCACTCGTTTTAAATTTCGGCGGATCGAGGGAGACAATCAGTGAGCTGTGGATGTACACATGCATAGCCCAGGTTCGCATTCGCTGTCTGAGTAGAACTGCTATGATATCTCGCTCACACTCGTGCAGATCTGGAACTTATGCATAGTGCTGATTATATTTACTTATTTCTTCACTTTCATCGCTGCGCCGACCACACGGCCCCCGGCCAGTCGCATACGGACACCTCCAGACACTCAGCAGCCTCGTAGACGAGTGGTCCCTTGTGATGTAGTGGGGAAATAAGAAGGACGGAATTCGGTATTGTCGTGCTGGTAGGTACTTACATTATCACGATGATGTTATATTGACGCTTTTACCTAGGGACGAGTGATGACTCGCTGCCAGCTGTGAAGCAGGACTGTGTTTATGCTGGGTCTTGTGTCGGGTCCCATCCGTCCCGTGAGATATCTTGGGCCTTGCTTTTAGTAATTCTTTTGTAAATAAAGGAGCTAAAATCGTGCCAGACGAGCTCAGCAGCCATGTGCGGACAGATATGCCGTTGAGGAAGAGATTGTGATGCTACCAGGGGCTCGGGATATCCGAATCGCAGGTGAATCTCACAAGCGTGTCATAATGCCGGACATTAGACAGGTGCACAGTTCATGGACGAGACAGTCTTCCTTGCACAAGTTACTGTTGATCATCGCATTTGACATTTTTTTCTTGTACGAAACTAGATAGTATTTGCAAATTGGGCTCAGTCACAAACCCGTGCCAACATACTTCACCTGAAACCCGTTCTTCTGGGACTCGTTCGTTAATCCACGTACTTGAGAGTTCATCCCCTGTTAGGCCCTTACATAGAACCGGAACCAGACCGAACCAGACCTTCCTTGAAATGACGTAGAGCTGTACATGATCTTATCCTAGCCTCCGTGGGAATCTATGCGGCCAGGACTTGGCCAGTGACAGTAATCGCCCATCTGCCTTGTCCACGACTCCAGAAGTTGTCCACGACTCCAGAAGTTACTAGTTGACGGCAGCGTCTGCCTCGCTTTATCCGTAAACCTACAAGGATGTTTGGGTGGCTGTTTCACCTCGGCTTAGATGCATTCATCATTAGTGCATTCCTCGCTGGCATAAGGCGCTCAACCGGCCTCACGTACGTCTACCATGTTGCTGATGCGAAACGTTCTCATACTACTGCAGACCTGCACTGTCTCAAGTTCCAAACAAGGACATTCGCCGTGAGTCTCAACTGAGTGACCTGACCTGAGAGCACTTGTTCACACGTTGTTCTTGACCAGAGCTGCTGCGGTCGTATCTTGAAATTGGTCTGTAAACTGTCCCAGCATCAACTCTTTCATCTGCTCATGTATTTTAGGTGAATACGCATTCGACTTCGCAGTCGTTGTATTTGGGGTACGTGAAGGACATTCTATCATCGTATCTCACACTGCACGCCACTGACGACCACGTACAACAGCGCTCCAGTTATTTCGAGAGGAAGCATTGAAGTCCTTGAATTCCATCTGCATTTCTCCTGCCAATTCGTCATAACAAACCGCACTCACTACTTTGTAATATTTTACTCCGACGGACACAGAATTTGCGTACAGCCTTAAGCCTAACGAGTGGGTTGCAACATAATTGTGTACTTGCGCGGCTCCACCTAATATTATACACGTTCATCCGAGGAAATTATATACGAAGAAGTGTAGCACAATGGAGCCAAGAGCAAAGTCTGCGAATGCTCTGGCAGAAAATGAGGATCTATGCAAAAGTAAGAAAGGATGTAAATACCTTTCAGGCGAGACTTCCTTGAACTCGGATCTGTTTTCGGGGTTGACTTGTGCGCGGAGGGACGCGGTCAGAACAAACTGGCCTACTGAACTTGCAAACCTGTGACGATACTCAATACATGTCTGACACACTAACCGGCAAACTCACCCGGCAAGGAATGCATTGAAAGGAAAGTTCGTGACAAGTACGCAATATACGAACTGCAGCACCCCACTAAGCACGATGAACGCCAAGAAAGCGTCGATGAATTTGAGGCGGTCGGGGGTCTGATCAATATATGATTTCCACAACGTTAAAGCTGCTACAGAGGTTTCTGACGACGCAGGTGAGATTTTTGAGGATGACTTTGGGCCAGTCATGTTGAGCGAGTGACTGCTAACAAACTGCTTTACTTGAAAGTGACGACGACGTGGAGGAAACAGTCTCGTCCAAACAAAGAAGGCCGGCGACTTGAAAAGACCCCGACCCGTCGCGTTCAAAAAATAAGTCTTTCACTAACTTGCACGTCTCGTCCAAGGCCGAGCTACCTTCTACATAATCTGTAGTTGCCATTCTTCATCATGAGCATTGCTGGTCTGCGAGCGTCGTCTTCCCTTACGAGTGCATTGTCCGCATGGAAGAGCACGAAATGTCCCAGGCAATTTTGGGGTGCACGGAGACACCTGCACTCTCGGGTAGAGCTCGACTACAAGGTTGATGAGGGCCTTGCAAATTTTATGTCGCCAAGGACGCTTAAAATGGTTTCCGAGGAGTACCAGCAAGGTCTCCTCGACCGGTTGAACGAAATGTTCCCTGGTAAGTGAGGTTTTATGAGCAGCTTGCTTATGATTTACACATGTACAGATGCTGCTGACCAGCGAAAGAGTGTCACGCAACTCGTGATCGACACTGCTAGCTCTGGAAAAGATGCCCTTGGCTTCTCCTATGCAAGTCACGCCCTCAACAATTCCTTCTTCCTCAACTGCCTTGTACGTTCAACTCCCCCCATCTCGTCATCACACCATACTAATTTACTTGACAGCGACCTCCAAAAAGCGATGAGGACTACGAAGATAAGATCCACAATCTTCTCATAGCCCCATCCATCCGCGCCCAATTCGGTAGCTTCCCGCATTTCATCAACAACTTTTCTTCCGCTGCCAGAGGAATGTCGGGGTCGGGATACATCTGGCTTGTCACGGACGCCGTAGGCAACCTTGCAATTCAGCCCACCTTCGCGGCCGGCACACTTCTCGTTCGCTCGCGTACGTGCACGGAAAACCCTGCTGGTCGTCATGAGGTGCTTCACGAAGGCAGGTTCCGTGATGGTCCACAGCCAACGCAATTAAACACAGGGCTGGGCAGCACACCGACATCACCCACGTCAGGCATGTCCAAGAGCCCTGCGCCACTGCATCCCTCTGCCCCCGTACGAACGCTGCACTCATCACCGTGCAGCCACTTAGACGGCGCGCGTTCTTTCTATGATAATGAGCCCGCAGATCGGGCGCTTGACCCTTCCGCGAGGAGCCTACGTAACCTGGGTGAAAAGATCTACCCCCTGTTCTGCGTCAGCATTCACGAGCATTGCTGGCTTCTCGACCATGGAGTGTGGGGTAAGGAGAAATATATGAAGGAGTTCTGGAACGTGCTGAATTGGGAAACGGTTAATGAACGGTACCTGACATTCACCAGTACGAAATTTGGTCCTCAGCCATTGCGAAAGTAGGTGGATGGAGAAGCAGGAATTTAGGGTGTTTTGGCGTAATTCACTGCTCAATCTACTTATATCTGTTACATCCATACTTATACCGTCCGTTTAAACTTTTCCGCATAGTGGAATGCTATTGATTTCATGCGTTGATAATCAATTTGGATCATCGTATCTTTGATGGGCCTTAGACAAACCATTTCGAAATGAAGTGTCCAGCGTGGTATTATTGCGAAGAATCTTACTACTAGTATTGCGAGGACGTATTCGGAATGTACCTGGCAGTAGAAGCAACTAGTTTCTCCATTATGATAATCTCTGCAAATATGTAAGTGACTTGAGAAAATACTTAAAAAATCATGTTTAAACAAGCAAAGTCATCTCGCAAGGCGGTTTGATAGGACCCGACACGAGACCCAGCATAGACACAGTCCATCTTCACAGCTGGCAGCGACTGTTCGCTCGTCCCTGGGTAAAAGCGACAATATAGCCGTATCATCGTGACAATGTAAGTACCCGACCAGCATGACAATACGGAATTCCGTCCTCCTTATATCCCCCCAACGTCGCAAGAGACAACTGGTCTACGAGGTTGGGGGATGTCTGTATCATAGCGGCTGACTGGGGGCCGCGTGGTTGGCGCAGTGCAATGAAAGTGAAGAAACAGATAATCATAATCAGTACTATACATAAGTTCCATATCTGTACGAATGGGCGGCACTGTGAGCGAGGGTTTGTAGCTGTTGAACTTGAACAATAAATGCGAACCTGCGTTGTATATTCACATATTATAAGGACGGAGCGTTTGCAGCTATCTTCATATCGATAGACCAGAATTTGAAAAATTGACGGTCCAATGGGTGAGGTTTGGAGTTTGTTGTCATGAGGCGGCGAAAAAATATGTTCATTGAGTATGTACTACAGGAAGATGTGCACATACTGGTCAGAATGCCATGATGAGCAGGTGTAACCACCAGATGAGGCACGATAAGCGGCAGTGACACGGCCCCGCCGCCCCGGCGTTGCCAGAGCGGTTGCCATAAAATTGTAGCTGCCGGCAGCCGAGGACTGCAAAACCAGGCGGAGTTGGGACCGTCAATTTCTAGGACTCTATATAAATTACAATATAATGTCCGAGCAAGTCGAAAATATTTGTTACCGAAGATGTTTTGCATGCGCATCAGTGCTGGCCACAATATAGAATATGATTGAATATTATTATGAATATATTCGAATACTCTGAATATAATACCTTGGCCCCGTATTCTCGGTCCTGAGGAATACGAGTGAATATGTTACAATACATTATGGTCGGTGTATTTATCCATATTCTGAATACGGTACTAACATATGTATTGGATAGCCCATGAACGAAATGCATTATGCATAAGTGTCGGGGATGAACCGTACAGTTTATCTAAAGATTTCCCACCCACCAAAATCTGTAAGTGGAATGCTGTGAGTCTGACTGCGCTTCGAATCACAAACATGGCCATATCTGGCAGCATGGATCAGCTTTCACGGTTACTTCTTGAACTTCAACATGCAATTACAGGCCTGCCATTGACTATGCCAGAAGGAACAGAAGATGGCCCTCTTGCTTCGGCACCACATGGACAAAGCCTTGGAATCTGATTACCCTTTGCTAGGTGCCGGTAGGAATCTCAGCAGTCGTGCTCAGATCTTGCTCGAACACCTTTATGGGACTTATGAGACCGACGACGGCACTATAAGAAAATCAGCCGCTACTCCTGCATCAGCCCCAGCCTCACCATCGAAGTCTGCCCTCATTGCAGCTTTGACCATGTCTAGTGGTGGTTTCTCTACAGCGCAGAAAGAAGTAGACATCTATCTATGTAAGTGGTCTCTACCCTTGTTCACCTGAACAAATGACCAATCCGCTTCAGTGGTGGAAGGTGAGTAACCTTCTCGCATAATTCCTAACAAAAATGTCTTACTGTTGTCTTCGCAGCAACACGAGACGACATTTCCTATCCTGTCGTGCATTGCTCGTGATGTTCTCGCTATTCCCGCCGTCAGTGTCGCCGTCGAGCGCCTGTTTTCTAGTAGCAAACACACACTTTCCGATTCGCGCTCTTCGATGACTGCAGAGACTGCTTCCGCCGCTGTCATTATGAAGGAGTTGTTGAAGCTTGGCCTCGGCGACGGAAATCAGTACCTCGATGGTGTTTCTATCCATTAAATATCTCGGGGCGGATAGAGAATATAATATGATTAGAATAAAATACGCCGTCGAGATTATTTTATTCATATTTGGACAGCACTGATGCGCATCGCCGACATCAATGAGCCAAAAGCATTCGGAAAGATGTGTTTAGAAGACCGTCACGAATGGATGTCTTGATGGTCTTGATGCGGTCGTTGCGATCACCACTCTTGCCTGTGACTGGGTAAAGATCTCAAATGGGAAAATATAATACACAATCATAGTGAACAACTGCAGGGATTTTACAGTCTACAAGACAGCGCGGTATTGTAACAGCTTCTGCAGCGTTCTTACCGTGTTATCCTTCTCTTCCTTTATGACGTTTGAGAACGATTTGAACCCGGGAACACCAGCATCCCCTGGAATCAATGAGTAGGTCTCCCATAATCTGGAATGAAAAGCGCACGTTGCAATTGAAAGGCCGCACTCTCGCTCGTAGTGATGTATCCGCCACTCTGTCGAATCCGCGCCAGGGCAAAGGGGATCTCTTCTTTATTACAGCTAGAGACACCATCTGCTAACACATGGACATTATATCCTGCCTCGATAAAATCCAGAGCAGATTGCAACACGCAAACATGTGACTGAATAGAGCGATTTGAATAATGAGCCGGCCGTTGGTGGGTGAACTAACCTCGATACCAAAAAGCACCACGGATTTTATCTGTGGGCGTTCGTGGAGTAGGGCCTTCACTTCCGGCGTCACCATGGAGAATAGCCCTTTCTCAATGGTAGCAAGAAGAAGGGGCCCCAGGGAAGGCAAATTGATGTCGGGGATGGTGCTTCCAAGGCCTTTCCTCTTGGATGATTTCATTTCGAAGAGGATGTACGAGGATGGGCCCACCTTTGGGGTTCTGTTCGGTGACGACTACGGGGATCTCCAACACCTTGTATACCTCTATGTAAGTGAAGGCATGATAGGGAGTTGATACGTATGTCATACCTTTGCGATCTTGAGCATCTTACTGATCGTCAATACAAGCTCGTCAAAGCCGAAGATGGCATTCTCTGATTCGTGAAAACAGTGAATGATATGACAGTCAATTGACGCTGTTCACAGTGCATTCAAAACCAAGCGTACTGAAGCGTGTTTGCACGTCGCAAAGGAAGAATACAGTCTCCTCCGGTACGAGCTTTGTAATTGCGGGCATAGTAACACGGATAGGTGCTATTCAAGAGTTTGCGTTAGTGCCAGTGCATGGGAGAACTTCTATGTTTATATACCGCTACAAACAATGAAAATTATTAAGACACGGTGCCTTACAGCTCGAGCTGTCCTTGGGGATTGATGCAGATGTACGGAATATGGGTAATGGGTGTGTTACGAATAGCTGTTAGAGTCTGTCTTGATGTGGAAAAACTTTGAACTTGCGGAGCGGCGTTGGTGACCGATAGCTGTCCGGGTTTGTTTGATATGACACACCCCTCCTCCGATCTCCTTCCACTTCCGCTCGCTCTTCCGTCCTCCCACTGTCCTCCGTCTCCTCATCCGCCTTCCGCTTCTCTCACCTAAACACCCTCTCGCCTTTCCTCTATCTCATTTGCTCCTCAATACCATCTTCTTCGTGCCTGTGTCTATCCTTTTCGAATACATTGGACTTTTCAATGAACTTGACCAATGCCATGATTCCTTTCTCCGTGTCCATAATTTTGCTAGGTACAAGGTTATGAGGAACTTCATGTAGATGTCTGCGTTGATGCATGAATAAAGGACACCCGCATGTGTTCGAGTTTGGCGCAATTCCCCACAAGGGCAACTAGTGGGTTCGGTAGGTATGAACGATGCGTAGTGTTCTCCGATAAACCCATGACCTGTGCGGCACTGGATGAGGCGACCTTATACTTCACGGGTGGTGGTGGTGAAGTGTTTACGGGGTAGGAGAGTGTGAACCGTCCGGTTTGAGCAGCTGGTCTCCAAATCTCCGTCCGTTTCTTCAGCAGATCCACCTTTCGACGACGCGCATTGGCACACGATGCGGCAAGCGAGTCAATGTGACGGGCGGCTTCTTTTGCAAGATCATCGGCGCGGTCATTGCCTTTGAAATTGTGATATCCTGTTGTAATCTCGATGCGAAAAAAGGGACGCCGCCGCTAGGAATTCTTCGATGGTTTCGACGAATGTGTAAAGCAATATATTGTGAGGGTCCTGATGCAGTTGCATATGCGGCTTGACCACGAACTTGTTGTCCATGTAGGAATGAAGGTGGTTCCCTTCCTTGCGAAGCGCATTGCTTGCATTGACGCCCGTAAGAGAGCCAACATTTCTGCGTCATAGACTTCTGTCTTGGGGCCCATTCCCTCTCGGCCCCACAATACTTTGCGTCCTCTGTGGTACCCAGTCCATCCTGCCCCTGCCCTTACCTCTTGATCGACTGATAATCGAGATGTTGGAGTATGAAAGGAAGTTTGAGTAGTCGGAACCGCGGCGTTGTTGAACAGGTTGGACATATGAATTTACATAAGTGATAGTGTTCGGGATTCGCCGAAGCCGATCCTCTTCGCACTAAAGGTCTAAATTTGCTTTGGAGAGTCCGTCTTCATAAAAATGCTTGGAGTGAGTGCTCGTCGGACGACTTTGTTGTCGTACTCTAGACAATGTCTCCCTCGTCCTGCTCGTCTTTATTCGACTCCTACAAAAACGACAAATGCACCTGCTACCGCATTCGCCCAAGTCCCTCTCCCCCATCCAGATTATCCTTCTCTGTTGGCCCAGAGGGAAGTACCAGCAAACCACCTTGTAGCCATGAATGGCTTTCTCAAGCGCAGAACGCCGTACACAATCCTGCCAACCCCCCTTCCAGACGACCGTGCTTCAGCTTTGAACAGCTTCTACTTCACTGATTCTCCAACTCAGGACCAGCTCGCTGTTATGGATGCATGTTTGCATAACCTGTATGACGTTCCACGTGCAAAGCAGATATTCGATCAACTTAGAACCAGCAAGTCTCGCGAGCCCTTGCTCGAGTCTCGCATATACAATTCTTTCTTGGAAGCTTATATCCACATGGCATTTGTCAAGGAGCCCGAGGATAGAACTTTGTGGGTCGAGGACGCGTGTCACCTTTACGACCTCATGGAAAAGGGCACAGATAGAGTCCACCCTACTGCGTCTACATATGCTATCATGCTGTTGGCGTGGAGACGGTACGCTTCATTCGTCTCTTTAATTTATTACCCTGCCCACTCTTTCTAGATTTAATCCCGAGTCCGACACGCCCGTTCACCTGTCCGACTTGCCCAACCCGACGACCCTCCTTAGCAACATCGTAGAGCGAGACATTTCACCCACTGCCGTCGTCGCTGATCGCGTTTTGGCATCTTCAGAAGAAGCCTCGGATATCATAAAACTCCTCACTAAATCTGCAGTAGATCTGAATCATCCTCGCATACTAGCTGAACTCGGTCAGGCAGAATTCCTGGGGAGTCATGTCCCAGACCCATTGGAGGGCGTCCCGGAGGTCAAGCCTGTCTTACGACTCGCTGTATGTATTGCGTTCTCTCGTTTGCATTTCGCTTATATTTCCCCAGACACCGTCAGAAGAAATCTTGGACGAAAACGGAAATGTAATACCTGCGCAGCCTCAGGAAGAAGTTCCCTTCAACCTCAATAACCTCCGCAGTCACTTGGCTCAGGTTACCCTTGCACGACGCGTCCTCCCAGAAGACCTGGCTTCCCGACAGAAACTCCTAGAAGAATCTGTCTACGACGTTGCAGTAGAGCGCCTACGTCACGAAGCCAAACTTTTCGACGAGCTAGGTCTAGGTAACCGGGAACTTCATCGTGCAGATTTGCAAAAGTGGATGTGGGACTGGCATCAAAAGCTCAAGAAGCGTCTTGAGGCAGAAATACAAGAGATCATCGCTGCGGAGGCAAAAATCTGTAAGCATATATACGCCTGTCGGATATTTATATTGACCGCTAGCTAGCTCAAAACAAGCAAGTTCAACAAATGGGCCCTTTCCTCTCCCTTGTCAAACCCGAAAAACTCTCCCTCATCACTATCCTTGAGATCATGCGCCTTCAAGGCAGTGGTGGTGTCTCGGATGGAATGAAAACTGCCCGTGCACTGCTCACCGTCGGGCGCGCTGTCGAGAATGAGTACAAAGCTGAGATGTGCAAGCGCAACCATATCGCCATCCCTTCGCATGCACGGCCAAGCGAGTTCACAGGTTATTTCACGGGCCTCGGGTACAAGGACTTGCACGCGCGCCGGATGACGGCTGCAAAGTACATGGAGGACAGCGAGGAGTGGACGTCAGAGTGGACGCAGGTACTTAGGGTGCGCGTCGGGAGTATCCTCGTAGATTGTCTCATGGACTCGGCGACGATTGAGCGGACTGCTGTTGATAAGCGCACCAACGAGGAGATGTGAGTCTGCTTGTCTCTTGCATGTTGCATCAGTTGAAACCTCTCCGCAGTAAAGAGAATCAACCAGCGTTCTACCATGCGTATGAATATGTGCGCGGGCAGAAACTTGGTGTTATTCGGTTAAACCCCGTGGTTTCAGAACGCATTGCAAAAGACGGCTTGCGCGAAACGCTTCACCCGCGTCACCTACCTATGCTCGTCAAGCCCAAGCCGTGGCTCAACCACGACCAGGGTGGATATCTCTACAATCGATGTGGGTATACCCGTCAGCCTCTATCAACGGCTCGCTAACATGTTAATTCACTAGCTGCCGCCATGCGTTTCAAAGACTGCCAAGAACAGCAAACTTACCTGGAGCATGCAACCGCGCTCGGTAACGTGGAGCTCGTGTACGCAGGACTCGACGTTCTCGGTAGCACGCCTTGGAAAATCAACCGGAACATCTTCGACATCGTACTCAAAGTCTGGAACTCTGGTGAGCGGCTGTGCAAGATACCCCCAGCAGTATACGACCAGCCAGAGCCAGAAAAGCCCCCGAACATGAACACGGATATCAAAGCCAAGAGCGTGTACGGGACGCGTCTGAAGGCGTTCATGCAGGACAAAGCGAACAACCATTCTGATCGGTGTAGCGTCAATTATAAGATCGAGATTGCGCGCGCTGTAAGTTTTTATCTTATTGTTTCGCGCCAGCAATTTGACGAAAAATGAAAGTTCCTGGGTGATACCATGTACCTTCCCCACAACCTCGATTTCCGGGGACGCGCGTACCCCATTCCTCCCCATTTCAACCACATTGGCGATGACCTCAGCCGTGGGCTTCTTATGTTTGGTGAAGCGCAGCCCCTCGGCGAAAAAGGCTTGCGGTGGCTCAAAATTCACCTTGCAAACTTGTACGGGTTTGATAAGGGGAACTTTGACGAGCGCGTCAAGTTTGTAATGGATCATATTGACGATGTGTATGATAGCGCTGAAAAGCCTCTCGACGTACGTCTCCACCTTCTTATTATGATGCCTCGGTGCTGACGCGTCGAACAGGGCAACATGTGGTGGGTGAAAGCTGATGATCCGTGGCAATGTCTCGCAACATGCATGGAACTGCGTGCAGCGCTCGAATCAGGTGATCCACATGCATACATGTCGTCCCTCCCGGTGCATCAGGACGGGACCTGTAACGGGCTACAGCACTACGCCGCTCTTGGTGGTGATGTCAAAGGTGCTGCGCAAGTCAATCTGAGCGTGACAGACCGCCCGTCGGACGTGTATACGTACGTTGCGAACATGGTGGAGAAGGTACTTCAGGAAGATCTGAACAATGGCGATAAGTATGCAGCTATGCTTTCTGGCCGGGTTTCGAGGAAGGTGGTTAAGCAGACTGTGAGTGATTGTTTCGTTGATTGATTAGGGAATTGTGAGCTGATGCGGGGAGGCAGGTGATGACTACTGTGTATGGGGTAACTTATATCGGCGCTCGTGAGCAAATTGAGAGGCAACTTAAGGATAGGAAGGATATTCCAGAGGAAGAGTGTTGGGGTGCTAGTGCTTACCTTGCTAAGAGGGTGTGTATTCTCTTTCATTCAATAGCCTTAGACTTACTTGTCTATTCGAAGGTGCTTTCTTGCATCGGTGATCTGTTCTCAGGAGCCAAAGCTATTCAAACCTGGTTGAACCTCTGCGCCCGTCTGATCTCCAAGTCTATTCCAGCCGAGCGCGTCCCAGACGCATTGCAAGCTCACAAAGGTCGCAAGAGGCAGGGTTCTTTGCTCCCTAAGAACCGTATCAGGAAAGAACAGATGTCGTCTGTCGTGTGGACGACTCCCCTCGGCCTGCCCATCATACAGCCCTACCGCAAGACGAAGCGCAAGCAGGTTATGACGGCTATTCAGAGCGTGTTCATCTCCGACCCTAATGCGCCTGCTGAAGTGAACGCTGTCAAGCAGGCGTCTGCGTTCCCGCCCAATTTCATTCATAGTCTTGATGCTACGCATATGATGTTGACCGCCCTCGAGTGTCGTGTAGGTTCCGTTGGCTTCGGATTTTATTGTTATTGATGAGCGTGTTTATAGACTCAGGGCCTAACGTTTGCGTCTGTACATGACTCCTATTGGACGCATGCTAGCAGCATCGATAAGATGTCTGAAATCATCCGAGACACTTTCATTGCGTTACATTCCTCCGATGTGCTCGAGAAATTGGCTATAGAGTTCCGGACTCGATATGCATCCCACAAGGTTCCTCTCGCATCGATCCGCAGCGGACAGCTGTTGAAGAACCTCCAAGGTGCGGGCGTGCGTATTGTAGCTTCGTCTGAACAGGCAGATGCGCTACGTCAAGGCGGGTTTACGTCGTTTGACAACATCATTGATGTTTCGGACAAAGAAGCCGGATCCATCGCCCAAATTTCAAAGAAAACGGAGACCGAGGCTCCGCAGACTGAAGCTCCGAAGCCTACGCAGACTGAGACTCCGAAGCCCAAGACAGGAAAACGCGGACGACCCGTTAAAAACGTGGTCATGATCGAAGGCGCCAAAAAGGATGTTTCGGCAGTTATGGACCACGAGGAAGGTGATGCTGACTGTGCGGGCGAGGACGACGTTGATTCGATTCTGGTGGATAAATTCGTTGACTTGGGCGCTGTGCTTCCACCTTTGCCGAAGAAGGGTGATTTTGATGTGGAGACCATCAAGAAGTCGCAGTACTTTTTTTCATAAGTCGCTACGTTTCGCTGTTCTTGTTTTCGGTCCTGCATGCTTCATTATTCCGCAATACGTACGCCTTGCATTTGCATATCTATCGCATTATCTTATCTGTCACATAGACCTACTTATAACGTGGAATACTTAATAGAGATTACTCGCCTCTCATATGCGGTGTGAGACTGTACATCGTGGTATGTTCACTCATTGCAGAGTAATTTCGAAATATGGATTCTACTTAATTGTGCCATGCGGATCAAGGCTATTACATCAAGGTAACCATCAGGGTAGGCATGCAAGAACAAAAGACCGCAGTTCTACGAGTTTGCGAGCTGGCTGTATGGTTCCGCCCGAGAAATTAATGAACTCGCGAGGGAAGCGCGCATTAGGGGCGCGTGTTGGTTTCCGCATTTGGACAGACGCTTTGCACTTTGCAAGCTGCTGACTGCGATGGGGAACAACAATATTGCCAGCTCATGGCTGCTCATTCACGCATTGTCTACTGCGGCGATCTAGAGGATATACAGGGTCATCCCACGAGCACATTTAATTCACAGGTAGCATTGCCGAATCTCAGGGTGGGGGAAGCGGAGTTTTAAACGTGAACGTACTTGGATGGTGGAAATCGGTTCAAGTTGGGGTTTGCTGCTCGCCATCATCAACAACCTCGACGCCTGCCATTCCGACGTCTTAAGCGTACGGGTCCTTACTTTCTTTTAAACCTCACAGTCTCTTCAAGTTACACTCCTTCCGACGTTATTATGGACCAAACCTTTGACGCTTTCGACAAAGTTCAAGAATCCAATATGGCAGCCAAACAGAGGGTTAGTGGACTTTTGGTTGCTTTGACTTATGCTCATATTTGCGTTTAGTTTGAGTCGTTCAAGATGGGTGGTGGCTCTCCAGCCAATAGTTTAAACAATTTCATTCCAAAGCATTCACACGGACGATCTCGCTCTCGCAACAGTTCAATCTCTTCTCTTTCAACATTATCTATTTCTGCTTCCGCACCTTCATTCCCCTCTCCAGTTGAATTTTCTTCCAATAATGTACCTTCAAATGCACCCCCTTCAAAGCGCCCGAATTCCCATCACAGGCGTCGTTCTTCTGTTTCAACTCGCCGCGAGTCGGCAGAGCTTATGGGCGTGTCACTTCCTGACCTTCCAGCAGCTAATTCAGATGATAACGTAAATCTTGGCGACAGGGATTCTATTCGTCGCAGGGCGCTCTGGGCTCTTGAGGGAAAGCCTGACCTTGCTTTCTCCAAGGTCGAAATTCCTGATATCACGTCCCCTGATTTGACAAAGCCTTTTGAGTTCCGTGAGTTTTTCCTCGTTTGATCCTACGTCTATATTTACAAATGACATGTAGCAACCAAGCCGTCTTTCCCTCCTGGTACTGGTATCAGTGGGCATGGTATTAGTAACCTCATGAGCAAGCGTGATTCATTCGGCAAAATGTTTCCTTCTACTTCTACCTCCAAAGATCAGCTTCAGACACTAGTTGAGGAGGAAGAGGAAGAGGAGGAATCCCAAGAGGAACGTCCCGCTCAAGTTGCCGAGGTTGTCGAGGAACTGGCGGAAGTTCCCACTGTTCCGCTCGTTACTTCAGCCTCTACAGTGACAAAGTCTGCTTCACGTCACCGTCCTGCCAGCCTCAATCTCAGGCCTCTCTCTCTTGTGTCTGGAAATGCTGCCAGTTGCACACCCGGAAATCTCCCCACGCCCACTCTTACGCCGAATCATCTGCCCAATGGTCTGAGATCTCTCGCCTTGACATCCGGCTCTGACACCTCGCTCACGAATGCCAAGCTCACGAAAAGCAGTACGAAACGCCACTCCACCACTGTCACATCATCATCTTCCGGTTCCTTTACTCTTGCTTCACGTCGCTCTTTTTCGTCCGAAAGCTCCTCACTCTGCGATAACAACAGGAAACGCAGCAGCATTTCGTACAAACGCTCTGTTGCCTCCATTCCTCGTGGTGTGGGTGTTTTGCCCACACCTGATTCGACTCCCACCGACCGTCGGTTTTCGGAGTTAAACGACGTCGAATGTGTTGCAGAACAGCCCCTTACCACAGCCGAGCAACATTTTTTATTTAGATCTCACAATGTGCTCCTGGCTCGCATAATGGATCTCGAGCGCACGCTACGTTCGCGGTCAATGTCCCGATCACGTTCCCTTTCCATAGCTTCGGAAGCTTCGGCAGCGTCGTCCGAGCCAAGCGACGAGATGCTGCAGCTAATTTCGGATCTGAAGGCTGAGCGTGACGAGCTGAAGAGAGACGTAGATGGATGGCGCATGCGTGTAGCTGATGCAGATAAACAAGCTGGCGTCCTGGCAAGGCGAGTTGAGGCTGAGAGAAGAGAGGCCTGGGTGGCCCGCTCGCGGCTTGGTCTACTGGAAGTCGAGAAACGTAGCCTGGATAAGGCCCTCGGTAGCAAGAATGCCGAGCTCCAGGAATCAATAAGCCAGAGCCAGCAATTCAAGAAGGAACGTGATGGCATGAGGGGGGAGCTGGACAGGTTGCGTGCTCGTCTCCGAGATGTTGACCATGCAGTTGATGAGGTCATTCGCCTCCGCGCCGCACTCGAACAAGAGCGAAGCAGGCGCGCGGAGCTGGAAAAAGTTCTGGACGACGCCGGATTACTTAATACACCCACCATTCCATTTTCTGTTGGTGGGCAGGACAAAGGTTCAGTGCCTAGTCAGTCTTATGGCACCCGTCCTCGTGGATTTGGCTTCCAGTCCATTGACTCTGACGGCTCTTCAACTGATGTCGAGTCTGTCGACCAAAGCTTCACCAAGGCTGAATTGACCCTCGATGCTGTCACAGAGGAAGATGAGGACGAGGATGAGGACAGTTCCGACTGCGACTTTTCTGACGAGGAGGATGAGTTGGCTGGTTACGAAGATGCAGAAGATTCCGACCTCAGTTTCCAGAGTCCAGATGGCTCGTCCATCGGCTCCGGGGATGAACTCGACATCATGCCAGTCACAGTCCTGAACGAGGCCACAAACCGACTTAACTCATTGTCCAATGACGCTCCTTCGAGGTCTTCGCATTCTCGACACAATTCACTTTCTAAGACGTGGACGTTCCCCAGGGGTCAGCCTGTCACAGTCAAGCGTGATGTTGATGAGGTTGACCGGTTCTTTGGATGCCTCGATGATGTCGAAAATTCCCCCCCATTTAGTTCTGAGGAGATGGGCAAAGTGATGTTCACGTCGACATTCGGTCTTTCCTGCGATGATGACGATGAGCTGCCACCCTTTGTCATCCCTTCAGACGTTGGCACTATCGTCGACCTTCCGATGTCGAGGAGCCTTGATATTGTGCCGGAAGAAGACGAAGACAATGAAGGCGAAGCTGATGACGATAACGATGGCGAACTCCTTGGCGAGGAAGTCGAGGGCGGGATCCGTTTCACATTCAACCCTCCGCCAACTGCCTGCAGTCCTCCACCTGTCATCTGCATCACACCTCCGACAGAGTCTGAGCCGACACCTGTTGCAAGAAAACCTGTCATGATCTGTGAGCCTTTTGATGATGAGGAAGATGATGCTTCTCCCTTCACTTTCCCCCAGTCCAGGGTACAGGAGCCGATCACTCCGCCGACCTCTTCGCCGCCGACTTTGGAGGGCAGCAGCCGTCCATCGAGCCGGACAAGTAACTCGCCATCGTCAATTCCTCGTGCAACTTCACTGCGCTCGTTCATGCCGCTTACACCGCCCTCTTCAGCTACACCGCCCAGAAGGGCGTCTGATCGTTTTAATGCACTAGCGGACTATCCGGCGACGTCATTTATGACCCCTCCATCACGGCGCGACGGGGTCGCCCCGTCCTTCATTCCTCAACCAGTCTCGCCATCGCCATCCAAGATTTTCAGTCCTTCGAAATCTCGCGTTCCTGTTCCGCCGATGCGCTCCAAGGGTGCTACAAATGGTTCGGGATTTAAGCCTCACCTTAGATCATCCATGAGTGGGTTCTAACTTTTTCTCTTTGGTTTTCACAGCCAACGGAACTCTCAGATACTACGGTACCTCTGAGGAGATAGCAGAAGCAAAACTAGATACCTCCGACACTTGTGAATACCCTGACCAATATGCCTCGACTTCATCTTTATCGTCAATTATGTCTTCACCGCTTGCGGCACGAATTTCATTCCAGACACTGTCAAATTTTATTCCCCTCTCGTGGACGCCGGGTGCGGCTGCGGTTGTGTCGCGCACCACGCCTAGGACCTCGACTGATGATGCTGCAGAGGCAACATCACCATTCATTAGTGCCTGTCCTGGTGTACGACGCTCGATCGAAAGGAGGTTTGTTTCTAGGGATCAGCAGTTGGAGAAGCTGAGGAATCGACTGGGCAATAACCATATTAATGGCATAGGACGCTGTCTTGCGGTAGCTCCTTGTGGTGCTTGCAAGGGCGCCGACATTTTCTTGTGAAGAATCTTGCCAGTACGTTCCCTGATATATGCCTGTCCTAGTCGTATGCTTCTTTCCTTTCTATGTCCCCCCTACATCTCCGATTGACGTGTCACATACTTCTCACATCCCCCTCACTTTTCTTTGTCGTGTTATGACTGCCCGTAGAGGGGCAAGTCATGTTATCATGTGCCAATATTGTTGTTTTTGTATTATATTATTACGTATCTTCTAAGAATACTTGAGGACAGTCTTCATTCATGCCCATATTTTTATTTGTCACGTCTATGCATTTCTTGGATCTCACTGCGATCGGATATCGAACGATTGTGAGATTGATCCCCGACTCCCAACGTTAGTCGCGTGGAAGGCTATTGTCGAACACGGTGGATTTTCCATCTCCCAAAACCTCTGCGGGCTATAACCGTGTTTGGGCCTTTTTGGTTACATTCATTTGGTACCAGCTTGTCAAGTTGTCTTTGTGTTCAGTTCTCACTGAACCCCTTTTTTCCGTTATGCATGCCTCGGTGGGCCACTCCTACAGACTCCTACATGGTGTCTTGAGCTTTCCATTATGGGTGTTCTAGAGTTTCACGTTGACCTCTGTTGACATCTCTATCCACTGGTGGGGAGGCGCAGCACCACCAAAAAAAGTGTGACATTATGTAATCTCATCTAGATGGACGAGGGTAGGCTACCCTTTGCATCTTTCACTTCTTGTAAACGCTTGCGCAAGGCAAAACTGTCCTCGAACTTAGCTAAAGATTAAATCAACCTTTGCATCTTTCACTTCTTGTAAACCCTTGCGCAAGGCGGGACTGTCCTCGAACTTCAGACCAGCTTCAAATGCCTCGACAGCCTCGTCATATCGTCTTGCACCGTGCAATGCAGCCCCCTTTCTCGCATAGCCTTTGGACCACGACTGATTAAGCTTGATACACTTCATCACCGCATCTAAGGCATCAGTATGCCAGACCCGAATCTGATGGGGCACACCTGTTCTGCGTCCTCTAGCGCTGTAGCCCACTCATTCTTGCCAGCTTTTGCAGCACTCCGATTTGAAAAGAGGACATGGTTCGAAGGGTCGATGGCGATGGCAGCTGTGAAGAACTCGATCGCTTTGTCGTAGTCCTTGGCATAAAAGGCCTTGTTGCCCTGGTCTTTCAGCGCATTTACCTGTACAAGTGTTTGCTCGCGTTAAGTTGACCGGTTAGACAATGATTTGGATGGTTAATACACACATCCGACATGCTCGTTGAATTGAGGTTGGTGAAATTCTTGATTAGATGGGTGTTGTGGTGAAGATAGATCTTTCAGACTATGTATAGTCTTTCACCGCTTGTTACTTCCCCTCTGTCCTGGTACTTTAAATTAAATCCAGTGCCCGTCGGGTCTTGCCGCGAGAATCGAAAAGTGTGTTCTGGCCTCCGGCTCGGTTGTCATTTTTTCGTTTGGTAGTGAATCCTGACAGTTTTGGTCAGTCTGTCGAGAATCTAGGTTGGCACACCTCGGGGATATATCTCATGTTTCTGAGACGACCCTCATGCATGAACGGGAATTCCTTTTCATGGACAGATTATCTCATGAAAAGGAGGTTTCGGCATAATGACTGGGCCCTAGAGTGAAGATGAACCTCCGAAGATACACCGCAAAAAGGTTGTCAGCAGGTTTCGAACCAACTCCAAGAGATACAGATTTTGACTCTGTTGTGGTGACCGCTTGGCTAAGACCAGTTATACGGACTTCCGAGGAAACCACCCACGAGTAAATGTCAAGGTGTGTTCCAATAGAAAAAAATGGTCGCTGGGAGGTTTCAAACCTGCGCAGTCCATCGGAAAGAGATTTTAATTCTGTTGCTGTAACCACTTGGCTGAGACCACTTGGATGGACCTCGAAGGAAACCATCCATGAGTGAATGTCAAGGTGTGTTCCAATAGAAAAAAAAATGTCGTCGGCAGCTTTCAAACCTGCGCAGTCCAAGAGAAACAGATTTTGATTGTGTTGCGGTGAAAGGCCAGTTAAGACGAGCCTCCGAGGAAACCATCCATGAGTGAATGACAAGTTGTGTTCCGAGATAAAATTGTCGTCATAAAGTTTCAAACCCACAGGCCAAGGGAAACAGATTTTGATTCTGTCCGTGGAAACCACTTGGCTAAGACCAATTAACGTGAGCTTCTGAGGAAACCATCCATGAGTGAATGTCAAGGTGCGTTTGGATAGAACAAAAACCTCATCATTGCCAGGTTTCGAACCTGAGAAGTCCAAGAGGAACAGATTTTGATTCTGTTGGGGAAGTGACCACTTGGGTAACACCAGTTATGATAAACATCTAATGAAACCGTCCATGAGTGAATGTCAAGGTGCATTTGGATAGAAAAAAAACCTCATCATTGCCAGGTCTCGAACCTGAGTCCAAGAGAAACAGATTTCGATTTTGTTGTCGTATCCACTTGGCTAAGACCAGTTAAGTTAACCTCCAATGAAACCATCCATGATAAATGTCAAGGTGTGTTCCGAGAGGGAAAAACCTTGTTGGCGGCAGGTTTCGAACTTGCTCAGTCCAAGAGAAACAGATTTTGATTCTGTTGTGATAACCACTTCAGCCAGGACACTTGCTTGATCTGACCCTCCTAGGAACTGAGTGAATGTGATAAGATCATACGTCGGCAGGTTTCAAATCCACACCACCCAAGAGAGCAGATTTCTAATCTGTTCTGGTGCCAGTTGGCTATGGCTACTTAAGATAGACCTTGACGGATCCATCCATGCGTGCCGAATGTTCAAGGCGTGATAAAAGGACAAAGATTGTTGAGCAGGTTTCGAACCTACACCACTGACCAGATTTCTGTCCAGTCACGCTAACCACTTGTCTAAGATTGATCAAGGTGGACGTCTACGAGTCGAAAAACATCATGCATTGACGGTAGAATCACATAGGATTAGCAGTCATTTGCTGCAAAATGGCTAGTTTGCGTTTAATTAGATGGACACAAAGGAATTAGTAAATTAATTAGCGAGTCGGGAACTGACGCCGACACCGTTATGCTGTAACTTGAAGTCGGTAGGTCCCGGCTGGCTGGTAAGCGTGGGAACAACGCGAGAGCAATCCGGTTAATCCAGAAACCAGCTTGAGGCTTCAGCAACTTCAACGTTAACCACCATGGTAGCACCCCGAGGATCACGCACTTTCATGCGCAACTGGTTTGCCATCGAGGTACTTTTCCCATAATTTGTGCTTGCGTGAGCTGACCGGTTTACTGCGCTCAGGCAATTCCTATGTGAGCTCGTATCTCCGCGTTGCTAAAGTTGAATTTTATTGACGACTAAACAGCTACGCCGTTATTGGTTTGGCCGTCGGAGGTGCAGGCTGGTATTTGTCCCGCCTCGCTCGTGGCCCTACGGGTACGATATATCTTCATTCCGACTTTATTCGCATCTGCTAACGAACGAGTGAACAGTCGTTTGGACGAAGAGTAACCCTACTCCCTGGAACGACGTCAAACAAGATGAAAACATCAAAATGTTGGATGTTAACTCGAGATTCGCAAAGAGGTGCGTCGTATACTCAGTGCATGGGATTCTAGAGCTGCGCTAACCCATTGGTATTGTTAGCTGGTCGAGGGACAAGCTATAACTTAAGCTCGTGCTGGAGGAGTGATATACCTTTCTTTCAGTCGTGCTCGTTGTCATAATACAGTTTGATTATATTCTGGAATCTGTTTTCCTCCATCATGACAGTTTCATGTGATCATGTCGTGTATTTCGGGCCGGATAATTGCTTTTAGTTTTTGGTCTTGGGACCAGATAGTGTTAAAAGACAACTTTGAACTGATTGCAATCATCTCATTCCCTCATTTGACGATCTGCGCCTATCTATCGAGTGGTATGGTGGCCCACTTCGACGCTCCTGATCCTGATTATCCTCTTCCTCCTTTTAATGAGATACCAGATGATGATGCTGACAAGCCGAAGGAGGCATACAAGCTGGTAACTCACATGCTAGATATCTCGGCTCCGTTCTGACTCTCGATCATCAGACTGCGACGTTGAATGGCTTCCCTGCGATCATCTTTGGCACTGCTACGTTTTCCCGTATCTATAACGAAGCTGATCATATCTCCGGAGTGACACCCTTGCGAGCTGCTAGACTGGCTCTGCGGTATGTGGCTTGCACGATACGGAATGTATTTTCTGAGAAGCCGACAGCTATGGTTTGAATGTATTCGATACTTCGCCATTCTATGGGGATTCCGAGATCATCCTCGGGAACGCTCTTCGAGCTTTGAGAGATGAATTCCCTCGGGATTCGTATACGTTGGTGAGTGTACTCGTGCAATGGTGCAGGAGGGTTAACAGTGACGCATGTAGGTCACCAAAGTTGGCCGCTATCCTGCCGGATTCGATTATACCCCTGAGGCTATCGAAAGTAGTATCGCGCGCAGTCTTCGGCGCCTGCACACCAACTACCTCGACGTCGTATACTTGCATGATGTCGAATTCGTTGCGGACGAGAAGCTCCCTAGAAGAGAAGGAAACCATGTTGCCGCTCTAGGGCAAGAGAAGGAACAATATGGGTTGAATGAAAATCAGGAGGGTGAGATCTACACGGACAAGGACCACAAGATTTTGTCAGCTGTCAAGAAGCTTTTTGAGCTGCGAGATGACAGAGGCGTCATCAAGCGCGTTGGGATCAGCGGTGAGCGCACTATAAATCTAACACTATCAATTTTCTCATAGACGTGAATCAGGCTTCCCACTTCCGACCCTCTTACGTCTCGCAATTCTCATCCAGAGACGCCTCGGGAAACCAGTGGACCTCGTGATGTCCTACTGCCACCTCACCCTCCAGAATAGCACCCTCGAGCAATTCAAATCCGCATTCGGGCCACGCGCAGGAGTGAAACAAGTTATCACTGCCTCGCCGATCGCCATGGCTCTCTTGCGGCCTTCGCCTGTTCAGGTGCACCCAGCGCCACTCGAGATCAGGGAGGCTGCGAAGAGGGCTGTACAACTCAGTGAGGAGTGGGATGCGTCTGGGACTGGTCTCCCCGACTTGGCGCTGCAGTATACGTTTGCACGGGCGAGGGAGATTGGGGTGCCTGTCGCGGTGGGGCTTAGCACACTTGAGGAGGTCCATACGAGTCTAAAGGCTTGGCATGAGGTGGATGCTGAGGGGTTAGCGACGAAGGAGGAATGGGTTACTCGGGTTCAGAGCGTGCAGAACTTGTTCAGGGATGTACAAAGGCTGGACTACTCTTGGGCGACACCTTGATTTAAGTTGGTGAAGGTGGGCAGGCATGTACAATTAAGTTTGCGAGAACAGTCAAGGAACAGTAGCTGAAAGTGTTGATAAAGCAAACGATATTTGAACTGGTACAAAACAAGACAACTACAGTAGTGTGATTTAGACATGATTGCATGACCGCGCAAATCACCGTGTCGTCTTGATAATTCCTGCGTTAATGAGTTTCATAACCTTCTGGCGTACGACAGGGTTTTTCATGTGATCTTGTAATGCGCCAGGATTGCCTTGCGCTTGCTGCAAAATTTGCTGCATCACGGGGTCGCCCATGATTTGCTGCAAAGAATTTTTGGTTAAAACCACAACTATATAGCAAGATCGGATGCCACTCACAGCAACTTCGGGATCCTTCATGGCTCGCTCAAGGGTCTGTTCCTCCGTCTCGTCGGAACGCTGAGTAAACAAGGCTTGCTGGATCTTGAATTCCTGAGCTTGAATCTCTTGCGCGTGTGCATTGGCGGTGTCGACCGACGAAGCGGCTTGTAGAGCTTCGAGAGCCTTACTATAGTCGCGCATTGTTTGCAGAATCGTAGCTTTCCGGATATATGCCTTGACTGAAACAATGTTCAAAAATGACCTACAAAAAATTAAACCCAATCAAAACTCACCGAATGCGGGATCGACCTCGATTGCTTTGTCGGCGTCCTTCAGCGCTTCAGCCAGTGCCATGAGTTTCATGTACGCTGCTGCCCTGTTGTTGTATCCTCTTGCATCGGAGGGATCACGCTTGATACTCTCTTCATATAATTTCACAGCCTTTGCAAAGTCACCACCCTTGAATGCAGCATTACCCTCCTCGCGCGCAACGGCAGACTTAGCGGGGTCGATGTACGCCTGCCGCTCGGTCTCGGCGATGGCTTTCTCGGTGACTTGGAGCTTTGCGAGGATGGTAGCGTCACGGTGTTCAGAGAGTGACTTTTGGAAGTACTTCTTCGCGGACACTAGGTCGTTCTTTGCGGTGTACGCAGTCCCGATACGGCCAAAAATTTTGGCGATAATTTTGTAGTCTGCGCGGAGCTGAATCCTCTGTTAGAAGACGTCCGGTACATGAAAGGGAACAACTTACTCCTCGGCCCTCGTCAACAGCCAACTCGCACGTTGCGATACATTGATCGTACTCTTTCGCCTCGAGATATGCAGCACCAAGATTACCGAGGAACGTGATATCCTTTGGCCACAGATCCCAGGCCTTCTTGAATTGTTCTGCGGCTTCGGAAAAGCGTTGTGCCTTGTAGTACTCTGTGCCCTGAGCCTTTGCGGCGAGTGCGTCTGCCTTGGCTTTGGCCTCCTCAACATCTTCATCTGTCATCTCGACATCTTCGGACTTAGGGGCTGGTGCTGGTGCTGGTGCCGGTGCCGGAGCTGGAGCTGGAGTTGGTGGAGTCTTCGATGTGGATGCAGATGGCGACCGAGGTGTTCGAGCCTTTGGGGGAGGAAGCTTGAAACCAGGTGGGAGCCCATCGGAGCCATCGGAGCCTTCGCCCGAGAAACCTTGCATATCGATACCCATGGCGACACCAAGGACGTCGATCATGCGGGGGTCTGACTGGAGTGCTCTATGGAGAATGGTTGAGTGCTGCCATGGAACAGGGGTTTTTGAGCTAAACGTACGAATCAGCGAGCGCGGGGTTTTGTTGGAAGAGTTTAAGCTGGAAGGGTCGTTTAGTTATATTGAGCGGGATGTTAGGAGATGATCTACCTTTTGCACGAACGCTGGGTCAGCGAGATGTTTTTGTGTTCGGGGATTAGTTGCCAGCTTGCCAATGAGGTTTGGGTCTGCAAGCATTCTTCCGAGGCCGAAGGACTCAGATCCATCCCTGCCTGGATTCAGCAGCACGTCCGTCAGCGACTGTTTTCATCTGGATGGACGAGGGCAGCCTACTCTTTGCATCTTTCACTTCTTGTAAACCCTTGCGCAAGGCAGGACTGTCCTCGAACTTCAGACCAGCTTCATATGCCTCGACAGCCTCATCATATCGTCTTGCACCGTGCAATGCAGCTCCTTTTCTCGCATAGCCTTTGGACCACGACTGATTAAGCTTGATACACTTCATTACCGCGTCTAAGGCATCAGTATGCCAGACCCGAATCTGATGGGGCACACCTGTTCTGCGTCCTCTAGCGCTGTAGCCCACTCCTTCTTGCCAGCTTTTGCGGCACTCCGATTTGAAAAGAGGACATGGTTCGAAGGGTCGATGGCGATGGCAGCTGTGAATAACTCGATCGCTTTGTCGTAGTCCTTGGCAGAAAAGGCCTTGTTGCCCTGGTCTTTCAGTGCATTTACCTGTACAAGTGTTTGCTCGCGTTAAGTTGACCGGTTAGACAATGATTTGGATGGTTAAGTTATACACACATCCGACATGCTCGTTAAATTGAGGTTGGTGAAATTCTTGATTAGATGGGTGTTGGGGTGAAGATGGATCTTTCAGACTATGTGTAGTCTTTGACAGACTGTTACTTCCCCTCTGTCCTGGTACTTTTATACAATCCGTATTATCACTAAATTCGTCATGGGCTTAGAATGGGCCAGAATTGAGGAACTTTCTAGAATCTTCCAACTTCCAAGCGCCCAAAATCGTTATCTTAATCTTATCAGATCAACCGTCCACCACTGGTACTAGTGTCTCGGAAATGTCGAAACTTCACGCCGTCTGCGGTTTGTCTATGACCTGGAAGGCAGTCAAACACACTGTTTTCACAATAGGTTCTTTGCCATGCAGCGGTACATACTCAAAGAAAAGGACCCCTACGAGTCGTGCACTAATATATTGCGCTTCTGATAATTTGTGTCTTCGCCATCTCTTGTGCGTATCATGATCAACCTGGCAGTTGTCCAGGGACCGTTGACACTTAGGCTGCATCACTCAGAACTCATCGCGAATGCGATTTGAGACATTAAACGGTGGTGACGCGCTACTAGGACTCAGAACGACAACAAATCCACCGAAGCTGGATTTCACCAATCCGCTCTGTCTCGTACTTGTCATCGCGGGATCAGTGCCGCCCACGAGATAGAAAAATTGGTTATGGCAAGGGTGATCGTGATATGGACTTCTGAGACTCGAATATTCTCTGTTCAAAGCTAGCGCTCAAACTTGCATACAGGAAACCCACCAGTACTCTTGCATTAATATTGCTTTTTTGATAATCTGCGTCTCTTCATTCCTCGCCATACTTTATGCGTATCACGCATAGTGATACAAAGAACTTAGGCCAGGCCGCCAAAATGCGACGCAGGGGCATGCAAAATCCAAAGATCTGCCACATTGTAAGGGTCCACTAACAGCACAATGAGCGACCTGGGTCAAAATAACTACTACCGTAGCTCGTCAGACGTCACCATTTGATGTGCTGCACAACAGAGCTCCACCGTCAGTCCATCCCGCACATCCTCGCTCTCTATTGGTTGCGAGATGTTGCGAGATCCACATCAAAGCATCTGCAACATTTGCTGGTGGCTGTCATTACATCGCACTTTGGGTGTAAACGAGTCCCTTTCGTGGGGTTTCTTCCCGGTAGTAATACACAACAGGAGAGTGGATCAACAACTTTTGACATTACCAACTTGAATACGTCGCGTGATGGTCATGGAGGAAAGCGAGCGATGAGGAGATGAACGCGTCAGAGCTCATTAAATGTCTGTCCTAGTATGTGAGTTTGCAAACCATCTAAACAAGAGTTTACGAATATAACAGTATTACTAGATGTATTGACGAGAACAAGCGAAGGCCAGCGGTCGCCTGCTGTTATTTTGCGAGTGACAGCTCCCTAGATGCTAAGAATCGAGGCTGGTTAGCCGGACCCATTCATGCCACATGGAGTCTTACGGACTCGGACATATGAACATAATTCGAACCAATACACGTACCTTCAGGCTGAAAATTCCAACTATGACCGCCAGAAAATCGAGCGATGTCCGTTTCTGAAGGCCTTTGGAGCCGAGACCCATCGAACTTCGGATTCACAAACGAGAGCCAAGCTCGACATCGCATCCGCTCAGATAGATGGGTCGAAAGGTCTGTTGGGAATTGTACCATCCATCGACGGTAGGAACGCGAACCGGCCCAAGAGTGGACTCTACAGCCACACCACGATGATTGGCGACAGTTCGCGGCACATTGCAAGTATGCAGAAAAGACAACGGCACAGTCGATTCAGATTTCGCATCATCAACACGAATAGCAGCTGGGATATCGACGAAAGATCCGAGGACTTTATAAGGAGGCATAAATAGTCGAAGACTAAGAAATCAAATCAATACGCGCAGACGAAACACGCCTTGTTTGCATATTAGCATCAGTACTGGTGTTGAGGAATATGGACGGAACGACCGACTTCGTTCTACGTGGTCTAACCGCGGGAGACAAGTACTGAAGTGGATGTAAGCACGGAGTCACCTCTCACCCATCCAGGATGACGAAGCTACCGACTAAAATTGACGTATGTGTCTGCATGGGTGATTTAGATGAGCCGTGCTTCTAGCTTGACATTAAGGTTGCACTGATATTGCATTCAATGCGAGGTGCGAAAGCTTGAAGAGTGGTTTTAATTTTTGGGATGGGGAGTTGCCAGGCTAAAACAGTATCATCCGCAGGACTTCCACAACCTTCAACTTCTGCACGGACAGTCGAGCACCAAGTATTGGTACTTGAGATCCTCTGTCGGGGATGAAACCCTGCGGTGCCAACGCTTTATTTGCAGATTAGCACTTGTATTGGTGTTGAAGCGGATGTAAACACTGGCAAACGCACTCAAGATATTCATTCGGGATCGATGAGTGAACATGCCTGCGCGAGTCAGTTATAGTGGATGAACTGTACCTCTATCTTGCCGTTGTTGTACTGGGGGGCGTTTAGTTGACATTGCGTTAAGATGCAAAAGGATTTGAAAAATGGTTGGAGGTACCAAGTCGACTCGCACTCGAATAGAAGACGATGCCACATAATTGTCGATGTGACTCGAGTAAATGACTTTGCTGGAGTACTTACATGTGAGAGAGGCATATGCGAAAGCAAGATGACTGCACCACGACAACTGAAGAGAGGACCGTCTATTCGAATGAACAGTTTGGCACATGGTGCACCGTGGATATCGATAAAGCTACGACGTTAACTTATGAAGAAAAAGGTTTTGTAGATAAGTGTTGCCGTCGAGGCGAGTTAATACGTCCACTCTCAAAGGACGTCGTACTGGTCACGAGTCTACACTGGGCAAGAAGCCGAATGTACAGCCACACGGTGTTGGAGTTGCCACGGTTATTCGTGCGAGAACTCACCAGATTTCACCGGTACCATTAACTTGCATTCATTCGAATTCATTCATCACTCTCCTTAAATCCATCGCATAACATGTCGAACATCACCGGGGGATTGGTTAGTATGTATGACAATGGTCTTATCCTTAAAATCAAATCTCATGCATAGACTTGGATATGTTTATAGTAATACAAGTATTCGAGAGGCTTGACTGGCTTCCGAGTCGATCGCCACCATCACCGTTGCCGCGAGGCAAAATGAAATAAATCCTGTGTCGATTCTGGCAAATCACCGGTCCACTGCCATGAGTCCATCATGATTCATGATGTTCCATATACGCTCAGGAGCTACTATGGTCATCAGGCGAGAATAACATACTTACCTGTGTATTCATAATGTGTTGGGCGTCCCGTCTCTGTCTCTCCTCATGGCAGCTTCCTCCATACCGACAGAACAAACTTGGGATCCAAACAGTCTTCTTGTATACGACGCACTCCCTCATCGCCAGGACTTTAACTCGTTGATACATGATGCGCAGTCCACTGTTGAGTCTAGAACCGATTTCTACGACCGCAGTCTAACGAGTCGCAAATATGCCCTCGTTGGAGTGGCGTGCTCAAGTATCTTCAGCTGCTCATGCATCGTTACAGGTATTGTCACTTTAGCCCATCATGGAGTTTCGGGAGTAACCGTGACCGACATGGTCTTCATTGAGCCTATCAATGCAATGATCCCGATAACTCAGTTTGACCTCAGGCAGAGGGAGATACTGACCCTGATACTAAACTTGATCGTCACACTATGCACCGAGTCCATAGGTTTCGTACACGGCATCTCATTGCGCTCTGCCTTAACCTCAGAGTCTCGACTTCATTTCAATACCAATCTCCGTCTTCTGACTGCAGCTCGTGGATGGTATAACCCCAATGGTGCCCTGCTTAATGGTATCATGACCGTCCTCCTCATTGTATCCTACACCTCATCCTCAATTGTCCTATGTTACAACACCGACTTCGGGTCGTACAGCTCGGATGTAACGGAGTCTATCGCCATCGCAGGGTTACCTCTCCTCAGTTTGGGTGTCGCACTCCTTCTTCAGGTGGTGATTACATTGTCAGGGATGCGGGCTGTCAAAATCTTGACATGGAGCTCCTCGCCTTTTGACTTGACCGCCGCACTGGTCCACCATGCGCAACTGACCCCGGTTACTTACCGGTGCATGCGTTGTGTGTCTGACCGGGACGTGGATGGAGGTCCAGCGAAGCCGTCAGTGACACAGCCCTCGGCGTGGCATGCTCATCCCAGCATCCGAAAAGTCGTCATATCTCTTTGGGGGATTGTTATAGGATACGCAGGATGGGCCGCACTCATCATGTACATCTGGGACAAGTACCCCAGCACTAGAATGTCAACAAACCCTCCGCTGCCAACGTGGTCGTTCTTTCCCAACAGGAATCCCAGTTCTATCGCGTATATTATTCCGGACTTCAATATGCAGGGGTGGATCCTGATTTACGTCAACCTGGCAATTGTCCAGGCACCATTGACACTTGGGCTGCATTGCTCGGAGCTCATCGCGAATGTTATCCAAGATGAAAGACAGTGGAGATGCGCTACTAGAAAGCAAGGGATTCGAGTGGCGACGAACCCGCTAAAGTCAACTTTCACTCATGTAGTGTGTCTCGTACTTTTCCTCGCGAAGCCTTTCCTGCGTGAGTGGTTCACATCTAATTTTTTTAATCAGCATCGTTGAACACCATCGACAATAACAGACTGGATGTTTGGGCTTTCGTTCTTTGTAGATGGCTTGGCCGGTGACGAGACGGTAGAAAAGTTTGTTTTAGGCATGTACGTTGCCCAGGTTCGCACTTACTGTACATGTAAAACCGCTACAACATCCTCACACACTCTTACAGATCTGGAACTTATGCATAGCGCTCTTTCTAATTGCCTGTTTCTTTACCCTCTTCTCACTACGCCGGCCACGCGGCCCCCAGCCAGCCACATATGGGCATATCCAAACGCTCGCCAACCTCGTGGATGAGTGGTCGCCCGTGATGTGGTGGGGCCACAAGCAGGACCAAATCCCGTATTGTCATGCCGGTAGGGTACTTACATGCTTACGAGGATCATCAATTGAAGGTTTTGCAGGAAACGAGCGATCATCCACTGCCGGATGTGAAGATGGACTGTGTTTATGCTGGTTTCGGTATCGAGTCCCCCGCATCTGTCTCGTCACTCTCGTGAGAAGCCACCGCCTTTGAAAACACATTTGTTGATTAATCTTTGTCGAGAAGTCTACATATGAGCTAAAATCATACTAGCCAAGGCCGGCTACGTGTGAGGGTTCGCGCGGCCAGCCATGTCATCGAAAGAGATGTTTGTGAACAAATCTAAACAAGACTAATGGTGTGGGGATTCCTCAGGCTCGATGTTTCCGATACTACTCCCACCATTGTCGCGTAGGACTGGGGCGACTCTCTTGCTACACAAGTTAGTACGTACTACGCATTTGAATTCTTTGATTCCACGAACATTCTCGCCCCAAATTCCAATTTCATTAGCCCACCCTTCAAATTCGGAGATGAAGCCTTCTCGAAACCTATGCCTCCTCCAGCACGATAAGACAACCCGTCTCCTATCCTCATGGCGCCTTTTAGACTTATACCTACTTGAAAAGAACGGAACGTGATGGCCGGACCTGAAGAAACTAACGTACACTTGCGTTCCGACGAGATCTCAATTGCAATTTTACGTCCATGATTTCGGAACTTGATATTTGGCGCCGTTGAAATTGAATATGCATAACGTATTTCCCCCGCAGTCACGGTAGCCTCGACACGTATCCCAGGCCTTGTCAAAAGTCCGTTCCCTCTTAAATCATGATGGAGCGGTAGAACATATGCAAAAGAAATCCAACCATCCTCCAGAGGATTTTCAATTCATGGATACATCGAATGCTAGTATACAATACACAAAAACGCAATAAGTATGTATGTAAGAAGAACCAAAAAAACTAGGTAACTAGGTAGTAGTAGGTATGTTGTACATCAAGCGAGGGATCGGACACGTGCACCAGGGTCGTCGCGCGGTGGGTAAGATCGGGTAATGAGTTTGCGTTGGGACGGGATGGGGGGTCATCGTTCGATGGAGTTAGATGGGGGGTCAAGCTTCAGCTTCAAAGGACAAGACCGGAGGGTGTGGGTGTGGGTTTGGGTGTGTGGGGAATAGTCATTTAGTGTGGGGAATGGGAACTGTCGCTCGGCGTCGGTGAACATGTGTGTGTGTGTGTGTGTGGGGAAGGCGATATCACTCGATGTGGGGAATACAAAAAGTACACGGTGTTTAAATCATGCGGTCGCCATTCGATGACACAACCAAACAAAAAAAAGAAAAAGAACTACGCGTATGTGATGGACATGGGATGGGGTGGGATGCGCATGCGAGATACGTATATGAGCATGGGAGATAATTAAGAATGCAGCGTCGGATAGCCAGAAAGTGCGATGCAAAAATGCCAGGTAGGTAGAGGTTTGGTAGAGGTATCTAAATCCAAAATGAAAATGAAAACGTACATATGGCGTCGCATTGTGTTGCGGCGTAGTAGTCGTGCTTAGTGTCGTGATCGTACACAGCGAGCAACGAGGTGGTTGATTACGTGCGTGTGGTGCGCCTCGCTGCTAATGCCCATGTCCAAGTCTTATCCCCTATCCCCTGTAGGCCGCTGCATCACATCTAGAAACCGCGCCCACTCTGCCTGGCTTAACGACGCTCCCCACATCGAATCTTCATCTACTGACGTCGGGTATGTATAGGGGTATGACGAACTGCTCCCTCCTATGGTGCCTTGCGCGGGATAGGGCCGTGCATCGGGGTAGGGCGCTTGATGATGTTTCCCGTCAGATGGAGGTGGATACGATCGTACAGAATCCGAATATGGTTGTGTTTGTGATGGCGCAGGCGGCGGTGCGGGGTACGGATTTCCAGACCCAGACGCCGTCCCTGACCCTGACCCTGATGGCGGATACGGATTTCGCGCAGGCGCGGGAGGCGGCGGATCTGGATACGTACTCGGCGTCGTCGAAGCCGTAGCACCAGAAGCAGGCACCGTCCTCGAAGCCCCATCCACATACCTCGTACCCTCATACGACCCCCTCACATCACTATACCCCCTATTCTCAGGGTACGGATAAGGCGGGGACGTACTAGGCGGCACGTACCGCGGTTGGGCCGTATGCGTGTGAGGCGGGTAATCCACGCTATTCCTCCTCGCGCTCGCGTTTGGGCTTCCGCCAAAAACCGCCACGCCATTATTAGGACTCCCAGCTGTGTACCCGCCTCCTGGGCTGCCTAGGTAACCACTTGGACTGCCGCCCGAGTAGTTGTGGGGGCTATCGCCCGCCCCGCTCCGTGACGAACGTGATTGGTCGTGATAAGGGAATGCGAGGGTTTTGACGAGCCCGAGGACACGTCCTTTAACACTTTCGCGTTCGCTTGCTTCCATGTCTGCGAATCCGATTTCATAGAGGGGTTGGAGGGCGCCTAGGATATCGAGTGCGCGGTCTGCGACTGCTTGTCCGCGGCTTAAATCAAGAGTCCCGAGTGCTTTCTTGATGTTTACGCGGAAGAGGCCAGCACCTGGTTGGTTCGGATTTGAGATGAGTTGGAAGGAGAAGAACATGGCGGCGCTGAATACGTGGAAGGGGCCCCAGGACATGTGGCCTGGTACTGCTAGGCTGGCGTTTGCGAGAAAGTCTGGACGGGCGTGATCGACAAGGGTGATGAGTTTGTCGGCACTGCCTACTGCTATATCGAGGCTGTTGGCTTGGCGTTCGGATTTGGCGGCGTCTTTGGGGTCTTTATCGGATTTGTCATGCTTATCTTTGTCGTTTGGACAGGATATGGGGGATGCGGAGGCGTATGGTCTGTGGAGGGTGAAGCGGATGTGGTAGTAGCTTGTTCGGATGATGACACTTTGTACGCCTAATCTTCTCGTGACGGTGTCCGGGCTTGCGAGGGCGCGTGCGATTCTGAATTCGTCCAAATCGAGCTCCGGGGGTAAGGTGTCCATCCAGTTGGCGAGTGCTTTATCGTGTGCCATAATCGTGTCGTATGACACGGAACGAAGCGAGACGGCACTGTCCATGATGTCGCCTAGGATGTAGGCGAGGCGAAAGAGGGCGAGATTTGGGGCGTAGAGACGTTGTTGTGGAGGGTTTGTGGATGTGGTGGGGGAAACGGAGGGAAGTTGGGTATCAAAGTGGTGGGAAGCTACGGCAATAGGACGACCAAACATGAATGCTTGCCATCTGGGAAGAATTAGGCATGTACGCAAGAGAAACGAAGAGGCGTACCGTTCGAGTAATATGATATGCCACCATGCCCAGCGCTTTCTCTCTGCAAGCTCCTTGTGCATTCTCCACCTAGATGGGTCGCGGTGTAGGCCCATTGCAAGGCCCATGCTAACTAATTCGGCGCGAATTGCCCAAATTTCCTCACTATCTGTCTTGCTGAGATTTAGATAGTGAGAGCGGATGAGGAGACATTCGACGAGTTCAAGAGTGTACGTTCTGGACTCTGCACGATGTCGATCGAGTGCCGTGCGCATGACGTCGTAAAAGCGTTTTCCGAGTTCTTCATGGTTATCTGCGAGATGTGCGATGAGGGGGTCGCGGTGAGGCAAGTAATGAACGGCGATAGCCATGATCATGCAGACAGTCGCGAGGACGACTCTATCTGGAGAAGAGCCGCTCTTGAAGCGAGACCATGCGGAAGTGAATGCGGATTGGTTTACATGACGGTAAATCCAATTGCAGTATTCAAAGTAGTAGATTACGAGTGCGTCGATTGTTTCGAGTGCTGGGAGGACCTCTAGGAGATCTCTGTCGTATTCATGAGTGGAAGCAGCGATTTCGTCTGTGACGAGGCCTTCTAGGGAGGGGTGTCTGTCCATTGGGTCGTCTGAAGCACGTGATTCGTTCTGGATCGTGTGAGGAGGATAAATGGATGTAAGGAAGAACACTGACCATTGTGAGGTGAGTGACGACAGAGGTAGTGCCGGCGTAGAAGCCGCCGTGTCCCTGGGATCCGATCATGCCGGGAGCATTGTCGCGATCGACGGTATCAGAATCTTGAGGCTCTTTCTTGAGTGGACTTGGAGGACCTGAAGATGGAGGGTCGAGTGGACGTTTGAAGGGAAGATTTCGATGGTTTGCAATGATAAAAGTTTCGAGTAGTGAAACACTGTGTTTTAGACGAGTTATTTCTTGCATTGGATCCACTCTAGAAGCGTTTCTGGTTATGCATGAAGACATGATACTCATTTGAATGAAAAAAAATCATACTGGTCATCTGGACGTAGGTTCAAGTCTGATTCATGACCACGAGCATCCTGGTAGCATAATGCGATAGTGCCTTTGTGGTGTTTAGTGCGTTTTTAAAACATAAAATGGTTGAACTGACCTCTTAGAACACAACTCGAGCACGGTCGGTTCCTATTGTTGTCAGTAATGATAGCATTGTAAATTATGGTACTAACCTATCACACTTGAGTTTTGAATTTCTACAAGGTTCGCAATTGATAGCTTTTCTTGCTCTCTTCGTTGGTGGTCTTTGATCATGTTCGTTAGGAGGAGGACTTGTTCTTGACCTAACATTTGTTGTTGATCTTGGTTGAGTCTTTGAACGTGGTTCGTCTGCCATGGACACTTGAGGGAGACAGAATTGAATTGAAATCTGAATTGAATCGTTTTCACTCGGGTTTTACACTCATGGGCAATCTAACCCTAATCCGCCCCCGCATGCGAGGCACTTGACTGCCATAATTGATCATATTTCCTAATTTAGTTTCTCTTTCACTAGATTAGGATTCAATTTTACCAAATTAAACACTCCGCCGGGGCCCTTTCCAGACAGAAATTTGCTTCCGCCGTCACTTTCCAATTTGGTTCCGACAAGTACGCTCTGATCCACATATTTCTAAATTAGGTAATATAATATCTTCTAAAAACACGCAGCCTTGTGCATTATTTGATCCTGACCGTTAAGGTAGTACTCGACCCCCCCAAATTTTCACTATCTCCGCCGCATCGATCTTGCCATCAACGCCGTCTAGCCGTGCTGACTCCGTCAAGATCAAATAATTTATTCTAATTATTTCCCCTTGCACCTAATACAGCATGTATCTCAACCCCCCCCGACCCTGGTAATAGGATATCTCTATCGCCCGTCGCAATAAATCGTTTCCCCTTCCCAACATGTGTTCTACAGATCTCCAGTCTCGTCCCTCCATATACTCACTCAGCCTGATTCAAGTTTCTACCCGAGTTAGCCCTCTCCACTCACGACAGGTCAATCAGTACAAGTTCCTATCCTGCTCTGCAGCCGACGTGATCCCCTTCATCACCCACCACCTCCCAGAATAGCTGCCGCCGGGAGAAGGGTCCTGAGCCTCCTCATGCACTTTGGGACCCCCTGTCACATGTTACCAGCTCAGACATCACTACGCCCCTATTTTACTCCGCTCTGTGAATGTGGATCTCGGGTGACTCGTTTCGACTTTGGAACTCCAGATCTGAGACGCCAGTCCATGTAAATCCTCCGTATGACGGGACGGTGGATCTACGGTTTTTCAACAACTTTGCGTCACTGCGATCTGCGTCCTGTGTCGCAGTGGAATGTGCATGACAAGATCTGCGTCAATCGTCAATCGACTTGAAATTCCATTATGCGGTGTCAGGATGGTGGATCTGCGGTCTTTTAACAATGTTTCACTACAATCTGCGCTTGTACAATGTGCACCCACTGGCAGGATCTGCGCACTCTCCATATGTCACAATGGAATACACATGTACACGACAAGATCTACACCAGCAATACGCGCCATCAATCAAGTTGAAATTCCATCATGCGGCGTCGGTTTTGTTCATGCTGCATGTACACGTGTTCGAAGTTAACCTTGAACTGTTGTTGGGATTTTTGGATATTCTAGTTCCAGATTCCTCTCGTGCTCCGCCACCCTCCTTGCTGTGCGCACTCTGCTACGGCCCCGTGGCTTCGACTTCCAAGTCGTGTTTGCTTCATCTTCCATTCGGCTGCATGTGCCGGTACCCATCGAGCATGACTCGACGCTATGCAATGCATATACACACGTCGTCGGCAGAACGAGATTCTTTGGTCAGGAGTTGCGACGTGCATCCATGTCGAATTCAATGACGGTCTCTTATTTATTCTCCTGCTGGCTTTTTACTCCACAGGGAGGTTTTTTACATCAGGATACCGAGTAGATCTGTGGCGGCATCCTATCTACCCATCTGGCATCAAACTACCACTTACACGACCCCCAAAAAGTTCCACTATCTCTACCTATGTACACCGAAAGAACCAGACGCACTCCACCATTTACACATCGCATCATCAGGCTGTTCTTTCAATTGCCGGCCTTCTCCACCATTGGTGGCCGTATACTGGCATGTCGCCGGTATTGCAAAAATCTCTTATCTTCGCTTGTGCTTCTATCAACATGCCATTGGTCATTGTCGTTCTGCTTCTTGAGGCTGTTACGCTTCTTGCTTTCTGTTTTTTTTTGTTACCCGCCATGGGTTCTGCGCTTGTTGTTCTTGTTCTGCGGTCACAATACCAGTGTGATATATCGCTGATTCGCTATTGGGTCTTGATGCAGACTTTTCACGTTCATGCCGCTTGGGGTTCCAGGAAATGGCGTGCTCGTCGTCTTGTTTTTGTTCTGCGCTCACGGTCACGGTACCGCGACATATCGCCATTGGGCCCCAGTGCTGACTCTTGGCGTTCGCGTTCATATCGTTTGGGTGATGTGACAGCGGCCCGGGGGTCCGCCGACTTTTACCTTCTATCGTCTGCCAATAGCTATCTTGACGCTGAAGCGTATGATATCTACGATAAGTTCCGCAGTCGATAGAATACTCAAACAGAACTAAAACGCGTATCAACGCCACCACCAGCACAAGAAAGGTCTTATTCGCTTTACAAGCGCCCATTTAACCCTGTCAGGCTGTATCTGCGCTCGTATTTCACCACTGGCAACCTAGACCCTCTTGGACCTCCACCACCTGAACGGATCGGGATCAGACTTCACTGACCCATCTTCCCACCGTGACGTGCGATCATCGGAGGGAAAATGGAGAAGATCGCGGCGCCACTGACAGTCGAACGTTCAGCGTTCAGTTATTTGTCATGGATTTCGGTTATACTAGCATTAATCCTGTGCTGAGATGTCATTTTGCAGTACTTCTTCTTCGGACACTGTGCTACTCGTATACACGGGCCGGGCGGTATCTCGGGACCCGGACGTGGAAACTGATCGGAGCTGGACCTGGATCGATTATGGATACTTAGCGGCGCCGGGCTATCTAGTACTCGGTCCCGATTTCTCATCTCACTGACGCGTATGTATACTCAGTGGGTTCTCGATGGTGCGACGCACTCACGCACGCACGCCTGCATGCATGCATGCTGGGAGTCTATCATTCTCTACCCGAGAGAGAAAGATGGCATGTGGGTAGAATTGGATATGCACCCACATCCCTTCCATTTCTCTCGGTAGTATGAAATTGGGTGTCTACCATAGAAGCTTCTGATGGAGGTTAAACGACTCGGATACTGACAATGGCACCTCGATCACTGTGCGACACACGCATCAACGCACGCTGTCAGCAGTCTACGCAGCTCAGGGTGGACAAGGTTCCGTGACGGTACTCTCACCCTCCGATGAAACTAGGGTGTGTACTGTGGGAATTTTCTGAATCTGAGAAAGGTTAATCTGATTTTCCTTCTTTAGATGATTGTAGCGTCTGGTGATGGGGATGCTGTAATGATGGGTATTGGTGGCGGGCGTTGGTGGGTGACCGGTGATCACCGTGCTGGTAGTGGGTTTTTCTGTTGTGCGTGTTCACAATGAACTCATGTGAGCTACCAGGTGTTGATTGGTGCTGAATCATTTTAATTGGAGATATAGAAACCTAGCTCTATTCCAACTCAGCTTGGTGGCGTAAGACGTGAGGCTAGTCTCTCCAATCCAGACCTTGGCCCGATCGATGGTCAGGATGAAATCCACAGTTGATCGTGTCGACGTCAGTCTGTTCAGGGGTTCACTGTGGTCTAGTTCAATGGATACATTTTGTTAGATGATCGACTTTAGGTTTGTGGTCTATGATACTACGAGTCATGTGCAAATTGGGGAGATGAAGGCCTAGTTTCTGTTCCGGCACGGTGACTGCAAGACATAGGTCATAATTGGATAGAGACCAATTTTGTACAATCCAGTCATTGTCGCCCGATCAATGTTGGTCTCGACAGTCCATGTTGATCGTGTTGGTGTCTGTCCGTTCGGGGATTAGGTTAGGTTTAATGGGAAGATCTTCGTCGGGCATCATTGTACAGTGGTGAGCTCGGAGTACAACTTTCCGAAATCCTTAGGGTGGCTGGATTTCAGGGTTCCGATCGAGTCTGACGGGGCTCCTGTCGCATTGAACAAACCGAACTACGCGGCAGCGGACGAGACAGAGACTGTGTAGGTCTTCACAATAATATTAATTTAATTCTAATCAAAGTTCAGGATGAATCCGGCAGTTGATCGTGTCGACGTCTGTTCTTTCATCAAACCACCACAAAGTTGGTGAGCATTTGATCATGGTCTACGAAATGCAAATGGTCGAGCGTCCCGACGGGGACGCTGCGCGACGACACTCAAGGAATTTGAATTCCAGATCTGATGACAGGGACCGTAAGGTCACCGTATCGCGATGTCAATTTCCACTCCACGTTGACCTCACTTTTATTTATCGTCGTACTATGGAGCACACCAAAACAACGAATATCACGGGTAACACATGGAGCTGGTTACCGATCCTCGTTCAATTTTCACGAAACGTACATCTCTTCTCGCTAACTTGATACCTACCTTCGGTACAAGTAGCTGCAGATTTGAAGGACCTGCAAGTGCTTCATTAGGGCGACTCCTATTGGTGGATTGGGACTGATCATGAAGGGTCTTCGATTGATTGTTCCGTTAAGCCCAGTACTAGTATAGTAAGTGATTGTCAATGCACGACTGAACCAGCTCGACGGCCTGTCATTCATTGAATTTTTTGCTCGAGAGCACAGGGCCGTGCATCCCAGGATTCCTATCGACTCCTCGAGTTTCTCTTTCGAATCAGGTAGTGGAGCAAGACATTTCATGAGAGATGCTCTCAACCTTCGCGGCCCTATCGTAAGTGGTCAGACTGCCGCACGCACATAACCGTCACACCAAAAGGTAGAATACTGAAAGCTCATTAGTAAAGTAGTGGAGTTCGCAGTAGTCGCCAGCTTTCAGTTTCCGCGTCGCGTACTGTGCTGGGATGATAGCGGGATCAGAGGGAACTTTACCACATACAAGAGGCGCGTATTTATTCTTATTCTTTTTCCTTTCTTCTAGGCGAGCGGCTTCCTGTTCGTCTTTGAGTAGTGGTTGCCGTTGCTCCTCGTCTTCTTCCTCTCTTAGATGTGCATCCCTCAGATGATGTTGCCTAAGGGCCCAATGCTCCTTGTCGGCACTATGCTAAAGAACGGGCTGCCTGCTCTTCGGTAAAGCCTTCGTCGACTAAATGCTGTCGCGCGGCTTGATATTGCTGAGAAGTAAAACCTGGACTTATAGCCTCGTTCGGATTTTCGATGAGCATATAATGAGCTTTGAGTGATACAAAAGACGTAGAATAATAGCCAGTGCTTAGAATACTAAAAGGATGCTGCGAGGTGGGAAGGAGCAGGAAGCGCTGCGCCACCTCGCTTATTCGCACGTAGACTTAGATCTCTGCTAACCTCGTGCCTCGTTTAGTTCTGATAATTAACGCAGCAAAGGTAGCACATTGCTAAAGGTACCGGGAAGGGTGTGTAACCTGGCCCACAGTCATAGTTGGGCATAACGCACGCCAGGTCCCAGTTGCATAGATCATACTGTGGCTTTACCCCAGTGGCAGCGACAAGGATGGCGAATTAGGCGAACTGAATCTTCATGGTATCTAGATTTAGTATATGCGTCAGTGATGACCGTCAGCGCTGGCAAACCGCCCACCTTCAAAATTTGGTTGTGAAATGTACGCAAAGGTGTTGATAGTGGCACGTCCAGGAAGAGCTAAAAATGAAATGGACACGATGTTCGAGTCGGCCTTGCAAGTCTTCAAGTGATTACTTACTGTAAGTGAGGCAGTTATCTTTGAAGATTTGAGACTTACCACGTTCAATTTATATGCACCTATCCGTCAAGCCTGGAGTTTTGCCAGGTCACCATCCGACAGCTGGCACGGTGGTGACCGGGAGCTACTTGAATTTATCTAGCCCCACCATGTCATCCTGAATAGTTCCAACGCCAACTTTGGTATACAATATGCTATACAAGCGGCAGGTAGAGTGCGAATTTCGAAATCGACATAAAAAGAGTACTTAGTGGGAAAGACACAGGTTCGAAACAGAGTGCTCGAGGAGGAAGCACCAGGGCATTTAATATTCAGGAATCCAGCATAGAGCTACGAAATTGCGCAGTGGGTCCGCAGCTAAGCATGTAGCCATCAGCCTGTGACAGCGTCTCAGTAATACTTGGGCAAGGGATACTTACATTTCAACGAATAGTCAGACGGATTTTTAGAAGTGCCACCACGGCATGACGGCAACTGAAGCTGAAGGTGTATGACAGAAAGGGGATCATCATCATAGCACTATTGAGCAAAGTTTCCGCATCCACGAATTACGGTACGACGGCGCGAACGAGTGTTGAAATGAAAGCCTGGATTCTAAGGGTATGGCAGTATTGATGATATTAGGTGTGCAAAGCCAATGGACTCGGTGCACGACTCGTGAGGCCTTGAGGGGCGGATTCAGCGTGCGAGCAGGTTAACTGCTTACTAGAAGAACGGTAATTCAATATTCAGCCGCAGTGACGATGATGACTCTGCTAAGGGGAGCTCAAAGTTAAACCAAACGCCTGGCAAGTCCAACGTCCAACCTCGTGACCGAAATGAGTATACCTGGAACCAACAGAAGTAAATAAAGAGTGAAGCCACTATTACTATAATCACTGTCAGAACAAGCACGGAGTCGGGAACTGGCGCGTTGTATACTTGCATCTTATCTCTTTACCACATCATCAATCATACGCTCTCCCACGTTATACTGCTTGTCTGATCAGTGTTCGCCGTCGACGTGACGGTGTTCCAGCAGCTACTTGTACCGAAGGTAGGTATCAAGTTAACGAGAAGAGATACACGTTTCGTGAAAACTGAACAAGGATCGGTAACCAGCTCTGTGTGTTACCCGTGATATTCGTTGTTTTGGTGTGCTCTGGTACGACGATAAATAAAAGTGAGGTCAACGTGGAGTGGAAGTCGACATCGCAATACGGTCCCTGTCATCAGATCTGGAATTCGCGATTCCCTTCAGTGTCGTCGCGCGGCGTCCCCGTCAGGACGCTCAACCAATTGCATATCGTAGATTACACAGAGTATCAGTTGCCAGTCAACATACACATTGTAATAAGACTGGCATCACAAAGCCCTACATAAATCGCACATCACGAGACATCTCGACATCAACAATCAGGGGCAGCAGAGGCAACCCAGCATCATCCACACCCGCTGTCACAGATGAGCTCAGTTCTGTCTGATAATCCCCCCATCTCTCGAAGTCTGAGTCAAAGTAACTGTCAGGCAGAGCACTGCGACTATAACTGTTTGAGCCATGATCAAGTTCCTCACGACGCTTCTTGACAGATTTCCACTCATCGAACCACGCTCTGTGTCCTCCCCATTCGATAGGCTTGCCTTCCTCATTACCATGATAAAAATCTGGCCCAAATGCAGTGACCTTGACAAAGGGGTGTTCGTAAGCAGCCAGTTGGTCCATGTGTGGCAACGTTTTTGCAAAGGTGTTATTGTTAAGCTTCTGAAGGAGGAAATTGACGTCGGCTTCGCTGATTGTCCAAGGAGAAGGAACAGGTTGGACCTAGACTGATCAAATTAGCTTTTCCAGTTTAAGTATGAGAAGGAAAGTGAAGTTCCTCGCCAGGGTAGCACAAGAATTGCATCGGCCGAGGAAATATGTAGCAGTACGAGTTGGAGAGGGGCCAAGCGGGACTTGGTGTCAAACTGCCCTCAGCAGGTAATGATGAGATGGGCACAACGTTCATGTCAGTGGAAGAGAGAGCTCCTTGTCCGATACAGACAACTACAATACTCGGGAGCTTGCTTCGTCTGTCTGTTCCAACCCAGAGAATAACTGCAGGGCGGACTGCTGTATCCCATTTTTCAGGGGAGAGACCGGGATCCCGCCAGAAAAATGGGTCACCCACTCGAGCACTGTAGCCCTCGAGCGTTGTGCGAACGTCAATTTGGCAGCATACGATCTTTCCAGGGCGGAGGGGAATGGTATCCACACACGTGAGGGGACGTGACTGTGATAGAGAGTCTATAGAGGAGCGCTCAGTCAAAAAGATGTCCAGTGAAAATCAGCAGACCTGACGAAGCCTCAGTTGGAATATCCCACTTGATCATAGCAGAGTCCAGTAGGCCAGCTAGTGCACGAGTTTCTTGTATTTGTAAGCGCAGCAGCTCATAATCCGGTAGTTGTTCGAACTTCAAGTTGCGTGCATAGTCAATCACTTGGCCAAAACAAGGTAGTTCATTGGGGGCCAGGTCAGTGCCGCTATATTGCCGCTTTTTGATCCGAACCTGAACTTCTCGATCCTTGCTTGTTCCATGCCGAGTGTTGTATGTCCATGGAAGGTCTCCCCGAGCAAGACTGGTGAGCACATAGCCAAGAGATTCTATATCATCACGTGGAGCTGGTCCTACAGTCTTGTCAAGTAAGAGAGTCCCATAATACTGGGCCAGCTTACGAATGTCACGGTGCATGTTCAGGCTGACATACTCCAGCGTACCAATGCCGGGTACATCCATGGAGAGGCTGGATTGGGCCTCGTGTGCAATAGCTCGGGTGAGCCCATAGTCGACCAGGTACAAGCGCTTGGGATCAGTGGGGTGGAGGATGATGTTCCTGGGTTTCAGGTCACAGTGGACAAGTTTATTCTCGTGTATGTGTTCGAGAGCTGAGATCTAGCGCAAGATCACCATCGGCCTACTGATGGATCAGAGATTTCTCATGCTACATACCATCTGATCAGCAACCACTAAGGTGTTTACTACTGCCGGTAGAGGATGGCGTGCCCGCACTTCATCAAGGTTCATCCCAAGGAGCTGCATAGCAAGATACTCGAAATGCTCCAATCGTCCATAGGCAAATACTCTTGGGATGGAAGGGTGTCCCTGTAGCCGCCGCAGAACCCATTGTTCGTGATTCAAAAGGGTAGATTTAAGTGCAATAGATGCTCGAGACTTCTTGACAGCCATGATCTGACCAGTAGCTACTCGAGTGGCCTTGTACACCCGTCCCTAAGAAAATGTCAGGCATAGAATAACGGAGGACGGCATAGATGTACAAAGCTTCCCTCACCTAGCAGATGATCAGCTCGGAGACGCCATAACTCTGCAATGGTTGTAGTATTTGATTTCCCATCCATCTGGATTCTGTGATGAAACAAGACAGGAGGAGTGCAATGACCTTGCGGAGTATGGTGTGACCATTCGATTTCTCGTGTTTCCTCTGGGCCAGGTATTTTTCAATTGCAACGTCCGTTGGATCTGTTCTCACACTGACACAGTGACCGTAGGATGCAGCCCTGCCAGCTTACATAATCACCTTGCTTGCAAGGTCAGCGCTCATTTGATTTACCTACTCACTTACAACATCTTCATCCACGTTCATGATTATTTCTCTGGCATGTCTTATCAATGAGCTGACGAGGGTACTTACTATATGTGGTGCCTGAGTTACATCAGTAGCGTAGTTAGCCAATGAAAATCGTTTATCGTTTATCATATGGCATGCGACGGACTATGTGCCAATAATAAACATCAATAAATCATCAGTCTCCCTGTTGTTGAACGCCATCATCGTCATAATCCATCCTGTCGTCGATATTATGAAGCTAGGAGATATCAAACACGATCCTTGTGTCTGCGTATATCCAGCTGTCATAGCAAAGTGCAGGTGTGGAGGAGCACTCGGTTACGCCCTGTGCAGATCCTGCAAAGCTTACGACTCACCACACTCCCCCGCTGCCAGATGCTCCACCTGCTAAAAGAATCCATGCAAACACGCAGAACTGAGGATCGAAACGACATATTTCATCGATAGCGCCTGCGGAAACCAGTGTCCTACGCTGTAGTTCCACATAAGCCTCTGCAAGTCAGTTAACTGGGACATCGCTGACTCGGTCACGCATACTTTCCACAACGTCGGCATCGAATGGTCCTCATGCGGGTCCTGTAAAGACTACCGTTCATCATACTTTGCTGCCACCAGACCTGCTAAGAGAATCCATACAGAGGCAGAGGAGTGCAAGCACAAAGGGAAAATAGTACTAGTGTCATTGTATCACACTGAACGTTTACGTTTATATCATGAATCATAAATTTCAATATTTGTTCGAGCAAGCAAGGTCAAAATCGGCAACGCCGATCCCTAGTAGAGTAAAGGATGAATCGATCACGCGCAGATCGTTGTATCCCATTGTGATTTTACACCTGTAAAGCTTACACACAAAACGAATTAAAACTATACAGCCTTCACCTTGATTTGTTTATGAGAACATCTCTGACCTCGCCTTGTCTCTTCAGATTCTGACAGAACATATCTCATCTTATCTTTTCTCTTTGATGGTAATATTTGTCACACGCGAGATTCCCAAACGCTGTCTACAACCACCTAGTCTGCAAAGCGTTTCATTCTCACTCTAGCGTCGCCGCTTTCACATGAGATCAATCTTGACGAATATTACATCCGTCTCCGTCTCTCCATCTAGTAGACCTCGCGGGAATACAAAGGCGTACCGCTGCCGCAGCACTGGAAGCACTGTTTGTCAGGGAACCAGTAGGGCTTATAAAAATTCCCGCAGTCAGCGGTTTTCGCAACGTCGTAGCACAGGGGTACGCATGAACCATGGGCAATAGCCGGCTTCACCCCAGCGACAGCGGCAAGGATGGCGAGGTAGGCGAACTGGATCTTCATGGTATCTAGTATATGCGTCAATGATGACCGTCAGCGCTGGCCAATTATCCACCCTCAAAATTTGGTTGTGTGGTGTACGCGAAGGTGCTAATAGTAGAATGTCCAGGGAGAGCTAAATGTAAAATGGACAAGATGTTCAAGTCGCCCAAGTCTTCAAGTGATTACTACTTACTGTAAATGAGGCAGTTGTCTTTGAGGATTTGGGACTTAGCACGTTCAATCTATATGCACCTATCCGCCAAGCCTGGAGTTTTGCCAGTGCTGGTCAGCGTCCGACAGCCACGGTGGTGACCGGCAGAACCTGGCAGCTACTTGAATATATAGCCCAACTACGTCAACCTGCCGTTAGTTCCAACGCTGACTTATAGGGACTTTGGTTCACAGTATGCTATGCAAGCGGCACGGGCGAGCGGTTCAGCCGCGGCAGAGCGAAATCAACATGAGAAGAAATTTTTAGTGTGAAGGACACAGGTTCGAAATAGAGTATTCGAGGAAGGGAGCACCAGGGCATTCAGTGCTCAATACCAGCATAGAGCTACAAATTTCGCAGTAGGTGCGTGGCTAAGCATATAGCCATTAACCTGTGACAATGCCTCAATACCCACACTTGTGATAAGAAAAGAGCAATCAAACTTATCTTCGAATGGTTTGCGCATCTAAAACGGCCAGCAGGAACCGCGACCAATGGAAGACATCTTCACGTCGGGGCATTCGCGAATCCAGAGATACAGACAGGTAGGGGCCCTCTAGACTAGTTAGTACTGTCCGACATAGGCTACATTACGCCAATGGACAAAAATTGAAATAAAGAAAACGTCTCAGTAATACTTTGGCAAGGGATACTTACATTTCAACGAATAGCCAGGCGGACTTTTAGAAGTGCCGGCGACATGATGGTAAATCGAACCGTCACGGAGAAAGAGTGCTGTACCGGTCATTAAAAGATGAGACGGCAACTGAAGCTGAGTTGCATGACAGAGAGGATCATCATAACACTACCGAGAAAAAATTCCCCGCCCGCGAATTACAGTGCAACGGCGCGAACGAGTGTTGAAATGAAAGTCTGGATTTTAAGGGTAGGGCAGTATTGATGATATTACGTATGCAGAGCCAATGGACTCAGTGCACGATCTGTGAGGGCAGATTCAGCGTGCGAGCGGGTTGACTGCTTACTAGGAGAACGATAATTGGGCCACAGTGACGAGGATAACTATGACGTAACCGGGCTGCTTCAAGGACCTAGACCTGAACGGACCGCTGCAGCGACTACGATGCTTTAAACTGCGGTCATCTTTGGAGTTTCTGACAGCGGCGATGTGGCCACACACCAAAACGCATGACGGTTAGGCAGAGTCCAGTATTGTCCGCCGAGTTGGTCATGTTGGTAGGAAAGAGAAAGGTAATGAAAGGTAGAGGGCAGTATATGCAATACGTCGCATGTTCTCGCGAAACACTACCAAGGTGGGTCCCAAAACCTATTTTGGAGAATTGAGAATGTCAGAAGGGCGTGAGCAATGAGCACCTTCAAGTTAGGAGTCATTAATCCAAAACAGTCAATACAACTCACAAAAATAAGGTTATTTAATATTGGCATAGATATGATTCCAGCATCGGACACCTTCGAGAGGAGTGAGATAGATCGTTCGGACGAACCGAAGTTGAGACGACGCATCGTGAGGGGAAATATAACCAGTGTCAGATCTTCTCTATCGACACTAGGTGTCTGGACTGATGCATAAAAAATAACGAATGTGCATCCCCCAATGGTTCAGTCAACGGTGAACGAACGTTGAGCTTTACATCACTGAAAACCAACCAGCATGATATGACAATACACACCTTATAAGTTGGGCGATGTCTGATTTCCCCTTATATGCCTATGTTGTGGTGTATATAACACTTATCAGATTCGTGATGTGTTACCTGTTTTATCTTTTGTTTTTTGTTCGGATGAATCAATGTAAACCCATATCGACCGCCAAGCTAGTGTTCCAAGTTCTACATTGCGCATCTAAGATACAAATCAAATGATTGCGTGTTGGTCTGTTTCTTCATTTTGCTTCTCGTTGATAAACCATTATCACCCCATGTCAGATTCCAAGCTAGTGTTCTAGCATCTACAATCTTCGGTCAACAATACTGGACCCAGGCGAGAAACAAAGGAACGGCACCCAGCCTGAACCCAACCTCGAGCTTATTGCAAACTATCTCAATGCAGGCAGCGACAGTGGTCTGTGCCTATGCTAACAATATTCTCCTGTAGTATGAGGGTCCAGGACTTCGTATTGTGAGGCGCACATTGACTCGCACTACTGACTCGCACTACTACACAGTCAACAGCCTACCATTTTCCATCCAAGGTTTGGAACCATCCTTAGTTTAGCACGGGCTCGGAATTAGTCTCATTCAGGTTTCGCATTGTGTGTGTGGTAAGAGGCTATTCTGCATTTGGCTTTTCTTCAAAGTGAACTGATACGATCCGAGTCATTAGTCATTTATCCTGAACCGACGTCCAAACTGGATAGTGTCAGTTCTCCGTTGTTTTTTGTTGTCCGCAACTAACACCGAAGCTTACAGCGTTACCCGGCTCCGACCCTGTTCCATTCCTCTTTTCCCATTCCGACACAGTTTGACCACCGGATCTCAAAACGAAAGAAGTATGGTTTCAAACCGGAAAAAACGACGGTCGAGTCACGCGTGACCAATCGTTACTGGTCGTGACCCGCCCATCTCCTCCTGGGCCCATGCCATACGGGCCGTCAGCTCAAGGCACCTCCGATCTGGATCCACCGTTGCTCGCTTGCTCAGCCCTCTCTAGCCAACCCCTGGCAACCCCAACCGGTTCTATTGGGGGACCCAAGAGAAAACAAGAGCGCTAGGCCTAGTGCGGAACACTGACACGCCATGCATCACGGAACGGCAAGGGGCGGAAATCGAGGATCGTAGGTGGTTTGCGTTACTCACCGAAGGCATCGTGTTTTGCTGACGGACGGATGTAGTAAAGGAGTGTGCTGTGTGGTTGCAGAATCGATACCACTGGCAGGATTTCGAGGATGGAGTGGTGGGGGAAAAGAGAGCAATGCTCGGAGGGTGAGTCCCATGTTATATGGTGCATGAGTGTGCTGTCAACCTTCCTTTCTTCTGCTCCCCCGAAGTTTGGGCCCTTCCTGCAGATCTCTAAGTGACATCTCTGTTCGGATCCGCTGCGGGAGCGTTGGACCGGTGGGATCGGGGCGATTTGGCGACCAATTGCAACGGTAAGTAACACGACTTCGATCTTGCTTGCCACGCACCTAACTTGAAATAAATCTTGCTAAGGGCCGACGACTCGCAGAGTGCCGCCGATTTTGATATGACGATCGAGTGCCGTTGGGCTGTTGGTGAGTCACTGTTCTCGGAAGAATGTGGGCTCACGATGTCACGCAGGTGAGACCGTCTTTTTCTGCCAAAGAAACCTCTGGTGGACGGTCAGAACTGCCTGCAAAGCCCAGGGGGGATGAGGGAAAGCAGAGCCTGCCAGACGCGAAAAAGACGGTCCTCATGGGCGCTAAGACGGTCGCATGTGAGTCATAGGACGGTCCAGCTCTCTTATCAAGTTTCGCTCTGTTATGTCAACCATGAGGCATCCTTCTACTGTCCCGCATGCTGATTGTTTGCATTTTGCATATCAGAGACCCGCCAAATTGCAAATTGGCCTGGCAACAAAGGGGTCTCAGCCCTCTTCAACTCAGACGTTGACCACTGACAATGGCAACTATCATCGACGCTGTCCAGAGCTTTCCAGGTCTGCATGGCCTGCTCATGCCTGCTACTGTCAGCAGTCCTGAAATGGACGACATCACCGAGGACTTCACTGCGGAACAAGAGACTATGCTCGCTGAACCATGCAAGAGCAACACGAACATCGATACGACATTGCAGTCCACGCTGATGGAGGCCTCAAAGGGTGTCACAGAGGGCACCAATGCTGAATATAAGAGGTGCGGGAGGTTCTTTCTTGTTAACGGCCAAAGTGGCACTCATCCTTGACAGGCTGATGAACTCGTGTGTGTCCTTTCTCAGAGGCCTCCATCTCTTGGGGCCGAGCGAAGATTTTTCAGCAAAAAGCCACGGTCTGATACACCGTGGTTGATCGTGGCCTGGATCATGAGTGCGTGAGTGGTATGGTTCCATCCAGTATGACCAATTGCTGATGGTCAACGTGTTTCTGTGGCAGGTGTGACTCAATCAACCTCGATGGCACACCCAAGCCATCTCATGTCGAGCGGGGCACCTATGGGCATGCACAGAAGATGCGGGCGTCCATGACATACGCATTTGGGAGGCTTAGTGGTCTAGGCAATCTGACATGGCACGAGTCGGATATTGGAGGTGGGCTGATGGTTGGAAACCCTTCCATTTCCATCGAGGTATCATCCTACATGTGCTCGCTCCGCAGGCGCAAGGTAGTATTATTCTTCTCCCTTTGCCCGCATGATTCACCTTCTCTTCTTCATAGGTGCAAGCGGGCGAGGTTGCAAACAGTGCCCGGGCTATTACCTCGGTGAGTTTTTGGGTGCCCCCAGCTCTGAAATTGACTGATTAGCGAAGTTGACAGGAAATATTGCTAAAACTGTATCATTACAACCACCTCCCCGAAAATTGGACCATTCGTGCCTACCAGCCTGGCGAGCGCGTGCGTGGTGGCTCTGGTAATGACCTGAGTCGATGGGGTGGTGGGCGTGTACGGCGGCTTCTGTCAGCTGCCTATACTGTGGCATTCATATGCATGCTTCGTTTTGACGAGGTTCTGAAGATACAGGTACACGATCTTCGCGTGCACGATACCCAGATAGTGCTACACCTTCCCTTCCGCAAAACTCATCAAAATGGCGGTATGTGACTCCACTCTTGACCGTGAACTATTGACTCATGGATGTGCCCACTTACCTAGACATCAAACCGTTTCACCTCTGGCCCTTTTCATCGTCCGAGGCACACCTCTGCCCAGTGAGAGCACTTGCTGCCTGGCTGAAGGAGTTGAAAGTCACGTCGGGCTACCTCTTTCGAAAGATTGCTTCAGGTGACCGAATCTCAGAGGCCAATAGTCCCATGGTATGTCAATTGTCTGACAGCTTACTATGATTCACGCTCAACTCGTCAGTCCTCTGAGCAGTTCCTGGAGCTTTTTCGGAACAACCTCCTCGATGTTGACATCGACCCTACTCCATATGGCACACATTCGTTCCGGAGGGGGGGGTGCCAGTTCCTGCATGTCGAGAAGCGTTGGTCACTGCGGAGAATCTGCGAGTGGGGAGGGTGGAGTGTGGAATTTACAAACATGACAATCGTGAAGTATCTCATTTCTTCGAATGATGATCCCACTGAGCCAAGGGAGCAATTCCTGAACCCTAACAGACGGCCGATGGTGAAGTGCTCTCAGTGCGGGAGATGCTGTTCCTGTGGCTAAACTCTGCTCGCCGTCCGTACTACATTACATTATTTTCCCTTTCTTTGCCTTGCATTTTACCAGTCACTGTTTGTATAGCGCATTTTCTTAGCAACAAGGACTATTTCGGCCTCAGACGCTGGAGGAACTTCGAAGACCGATTGTCTGTTCACGCAAGGTGTCAACAAGGACTCTCTTGGCCTTGGACGCTGAATCCTGGGAATTCCACGGAGTGAAACATATGCTGAACTGTCGCAAATAGCATGGGTTCCCCATGGACTGGAACCAGGTTCAGAACATCTTGTTGTAGGTCCCTGGCTGAGACGGCAGTATACCAATACCTGTTATCATCGTGCCAAAACCCATGTGGTCCGGGAAGCAGATTCTTAGCATGGTGATCCCCTGTGGTATCAATATTCATAACTCGGGCCCCAGATCCTAAGTCCTTGTCCTCCATCTTTGGTGTTGCTTTCGAGGAAGGAAGACTGTAGGCGCCCTTCTCAGAGTGGTTTGGTGCACATCATCTTCCAGACTGACTGTCTTCTTGTGCAGTTTTGACCTTGGATGCTGGAGGAAGCCCTTCTCAGAGTGGTTTGGTGCACGTCATCTTTCAGACTGATTGTCTGCTCACGCAATTCTGACCTTGGACGCTGGAGGAAGCCCTTCTCAGAGTGGTTTGGTGCACATCATCTTCCAGACTGATTGTCTGCTTGCACAATTTTGACCTTGGACGCCAGAGGAAGAACTTTAAAGACTGATGGACGCCGGAGGAAGAACTTTAAAGACTGGATGGACACTGGAGGAAGAACTTCAAAGACTGATTGTGAAGGTGTCGACAAGGACTCTTTTGAACTCGGACGCTGGAGGAAGAACTTCAAAGGTGTCATATTGTAGCGGGCTGGGACATAGATACTACTTGTATTGATGGCATTGAATGTTTACTCCTCTTCCTCTTCCTTGATGTCCTCCTCCTTTCTTTTCAGTATCGCGGCCACAGCTTTCTCCTCTGCAGCATCCCGCATCTCCTCGATGACTTCCATTGCCTCTGCATAGCCGTTCAGTTGCATGTAAACGTTCCGAATAGCATTTTCATGAAATCCGTGTTGTTTTGCGAGGTCCTTGACTGACAGCGCGAAGCCAAGCTGGGCAAAGTGCCTAACATCACTGTCGTGTATCTCAACATCCATCATAAGTTCGGGCTCTGGACTTGCATCACCGTCGCCCATCACTCTAGTTTTAGTATCGTTGTTTGTGACTGGTGTTGACATGCTTGTGGATGCTATTCTGATCTGTCAGTATCGTGGTACCGTCATCCATGAGGCCTTCCTTGCCTGTGTTTGAATGAGTCTGGTGTACGATGTAGTTATGGTTGATATGGGAGATGGTGAGATTGAAGCGAGAGCCCCTTATTTGAAGTATGGCCCCTTTTTTCCTCAATGTGTTCAAACAAACACACACGCACACAAGCTTACTCCGAGCCTCCAAGTCAACAGAACGTGTAGCATTGATCATTTATTCACAGAAAGCTATGGTATTACTACTAGTTACTGTCCATCGTCAGTCACGGACCACGAGTCCAGTCGTCAATTCGATGTATTTCTTCGCAATGGCAGATGGCTTCGTCATCACATGCTCCTCTCCTCCTCGCCGGTAAGTGAAAAGGTCGTCGAATTCGGCATGGAATTCTCGGTGAGCACGCTCCACCAGTGCAGCATGTTCTGCCTTGCGCTCATCATGAAGTTTGTGGACAATGGCAGTGAATTTCATCCGCTCACCATTGTCAGCCGTAAAGTCTGCCCAGAATTGATCTGGGGTGCCCCGCCTGTAGCGTTCGATGACATCCTGCACAACCAGAAGGAGGATCAGAAGTAGGAAGGGAAGTTGTGATAGAGGCACTCACCCGCCAGTCGGTCCACTTGCTTTTCGTACCCTTCCATTGCTGATCATGACCGTAGCGGTAGAGCAATGGCCAGTACGTGATAGCGATGGGGTGGCCTTGAATGGTGATGATGGACTCGTTCTTCCAGTGCGTCGTGTGGTCGTCCCACATTGCATTGAGACGTAGTATATCATTGGTGAAGCTGACAGCAGGGGGATCTGGGATGTCGTTATCCGCCAGTTGGAGAGTAGTGCCGTCCCCGAGATTGAGAATGCGCAGCTTGTTCAAGCTGCCTGGTTCCAAAGGAGGTTGTTGGCAGGCAGTTGTAGCTGCGCCACTCGCACCCTGCTCAAACATGCTACCGTCAGTTTGAATGGAGCGATGTGGGGGAAATAGCCACTCACCATGTCCACCGTTTCAGCCACCTGGGGTCGAACAGATGGAGACAAACCAGCAGCGCTTGGCTGGAGGGCACCTTGAACAATTTTGACAAGCCTCGTGCCCACGTTCTGGATGATGGCCTCTTCCAAGAGGCCATCAGCAGGGAAAGATTGCGGCGTGGTGTTGCTGCTAAGAGCAGACGGGTTTGGGGTGCTTGCTGGCATGGGCATACCGTCCGTCAGTGCATACGGATACATGCTGGTGATGGTATCAGCCTGCCCGCCAGTGTATTCAGTTCAGTGGGACAAAGCCAGAGTGAGCACGAAAGTACTCACCCAAGGCAGCAGTGCGCTGATTTCTGGTGCCGTCCGTGTGTCCTTGGACCGACTGACGTCAGTGGCTGCAGCATCAGATGCTGTCGTGCCAAGCAGCTGCTCACGGCGCTGCATAGATTGCTTTGGGCGGCTGCCTGCCTTGGGCTTGCTCGTCGAACGCACTCGCGGGCCCTTGTGGGCCTTGTGAGCCCCTGGTTTGAGCCTTGGGAAGGAGATGGATGAGTGAACATTATTTTGAGCAGACTGCTCCGACGCACCTGTCCCATGCATCGCGGTTACGACTGAATTCCTCCAGTCGTTCGCGAAGGACTGTCTTGTTACCAGAGGTAGGGAGGCCAAGTTGGACACACTTTTGCTTCAGGGTTTTTCCAGCCATACTGTAGCTGCATGATGCAAGGATTCAGCCCACCGAAAAGCAAAGGAAAGGGGAACAACAGCCTCACATTTCAACATGCTCGATTTCTGGCTCTCCATCCGATCGAAAGCGGAGCGGGAGAGGCAGGGACCCTGATGGCCCATCGACATTTTCGACCGTGCCAGCCACGCTCCAGAAAGACCCATGTTCAGCAGTAGACCCTGCTGTAGCAGTGGTGAGCTGGGTGCGGAGATCAGGAGAGGGCGTCAAAGTAGTAATGGACGTCATTCCAACGTCACGGTCGCGATGGCGGATGGGAATGAGGCAAGGACAACAGTTGCAGAACGAGTTGACAGGGATCTTTGGCCTCCACCAGTGGTAGGTGACCAGGAGGCCGAGAGAGAGTAACACAGCAACGAGGATGAGCGCTCCGCCCACGTGCAGGCCTCCTGAGGGGCTTGCAGAGTCGTTTGACTCGTTCCTGCGTGCGATCTCGCTGTGGAGGACAGCGAGAGGGATATTGATCTGGGGAAAAGCAGGCGGGTGTCAGCAATCGTCCTAGCCAAAGAACGTACAGCAGAAAACGGCCCAATGGAACGACGACGACGACGACGAACGGGGCTGAGACCGACGTTCGATCTGCGGCTGCGGTTCCGGGGGTCTGCGCCACCGCGATCGAAGCAAGAAAGACGTTCGTCGCTCACGTCATCGGACGAAACGGAGAAACCCGAAGCGTCACGCCCGCAAACGGACCGTGTTGTTTTCGAGAGAAGTACAACTCCATTGGCAGAGGTCAAGACCTCAGTCACCGCTCGTCAAGTATATCTTCTGTTCGTTGATAAGTAAGGATCCGACTCTGACTTTTTTTATAACTCCCACTATCTCCTACTCTGTCTCCAATCACTTGTTAACGCTATTTCCTTCAAGTTTCTTGACGAGTCCCCGTGTAGAAAGTTGCGCTGTATCGTATGGTTCCACGACAAGATATATCCTGTCGTGGTCTACGTTTCTGTCTATGGAAGACTGGTCTTTGGCAATATGGCCGAACTCGATCCCATGGCCAACCTCTTCCATGGCCAAAAACTCGATTCTATGGCCGAACTCGATCTCGTCGTATCCTATAGTACCGCCAAATTCAATCCTATACCACCGAGCTCGATTATATACTGCCGAACTCGGACCTATACTGCCGAACTCGATCCTATACTGCCGAACTCGATCCTATACTGCCGAACTCAATTGAACAAGCTCGATTATATACCGCCAAACTCGATCCTTTACCGCTATACTCTATCCGAGACCACGATACACAGTGCAAATCCTCGCATACAGAAATAGTAGTGTCAAGTTACCACTACGTCTTGCCTTCGTTGGACTTCAAGACGATCGATCGTCGTCTGTTATTGTTCTTGCAGACGGTGTTGACAATGAGATTGAGGTAGAGAATGGGTGGGGCATTGATGAACTCCATAATTCATGTGTATTGTACCGAGCGTCTTTGTATAACTCGCATACTATCCAATGCGATTTCCTGGCCAATCAAGTATAAAACCCGTAAGATCACGATACCAATGAAGCAATGATCTGTATGATGGTACAGACGGCAAGAATTTGTATTTCTGTCACTTATTGGACGGGGGAGCCTCTGCGTTAGAAATACTAAATGAGAGACACTTCGTTGGGCATGTTTCATCGCTTCAGAACTGTTTTAATATCGTCACAACATGATTCATGATAATTGTTGGTCATAGGGGATAGCGTTCAATACGTATATCTGCCTATATATCTCGCGATACCACATTTTAACCAAATATGGATATTATCTACATGATAATGTGTATATAAAGGTTGATAAAGAACGTTGGTTTTCAGTGATGTAGAGTATACATGATGCATCGATGAAACCGGCCAGCTGGCAACTTTAAGCTAAGCCAAAGCTTAGATAATTACTACTGTGGACCTTGTCATCCGAGTCTATCGTTGAGAGGGAACTGCTACTAGTCTGGACTCTGCACCATACAGCGGGACGATCTGTCGCTTTGCTACTCTTTACTCCTTTGCTGTTGAAGCGGGCCATCCGTGACTCTGTGTGTTTGTCGCGGTGTGTTGCGAGCAAGGCAAGAAGTGGTCAAGAGCACTTGATGCTACACCGAGTGGAAAGTAATTATGCTGTTGAAGCATCCCATAGCAATTTTTGAAGCCAATGATTCAAATGGAACAGAAGGATGTCCTGCTGCATGGAGTCGAAGGTGAGTTCTGTTGCGACCTGCCCGAGTCACTAACTGAAATTTAATGATCCACAGCGGCCGGTGACTCTGTAGGTTAAACATGACGTGGATCTTCCAGTAGTCTCGGACCACGCCAGTGTTTAGTGAGAGGTGAGAGCCAACAGCCATTAGCCAGGTTCCCGTAAAAGATTTTGAAACCCAAATACATTTCCAGTAACCTGGTTAACGGCGATCACGCTACTAACCAAAACTTCAAACCGCCGCTATTGCAGATCGATTTTTGGCTCATTTTTCCAATCCTCGTCATCAGAAACACAGGAAGGTTTAAAATAATTCGCGCATAATGTAGAGCATAGTACTTACAGGTACTATTCACTAGGATCAACCACCTTCAGCTGCTTACACAATACCCATGATGTCACCCCACTCAACGTTTTGGCATGTTCCAACGCAATGGAGATAACGCCTTGATCTTGACGTTGTCTGCAGCGATGTCCAACTCATTTCGCCGCCGCACACTTTTTCGAGGACGAGGTGAGTCGCGCTTTTAAGATTCAGCGCAAGGGCACGGTACTCAGGCCCCCATTTCAACGATTGGTTCATGATCCATGGCAACATTTCGTTCGAAGGGTATGCCCAAGCAATATCATCCAATGCAACAAAGTCTTCTAGTCCAATTTTCGATTACCCTATATACCATAATACTGGCTACTCTTCACGAGAGCAGTTGGATGACTGTGGGCAGATTCATGTATATAGAATATACGCGTCTGCCAATTGCCCCAAAGACGACTAACGACGAGACAGTTAAGTTTGTTGGCTGTAGGATGCACATGAATCTTCCAGGGGCTTTACTCCGCTCTTAAGGGGCTCCGAGGATCTACCAGGCAGATGAGTGCATGAGCGTTGTAACGCAAGTATACAGCAGATTGAGCATGATTGATGCTATCTTAGAACTCCCCTCCTTATCGGCATTGTGATGGTATCACCACAAAGCTTCTTCTGTTCACCAAGCCAACCACGTCCATGGGCATTGATGACATGGATATTAAGAACCTCCCCAGTAGGATACAAATTGGTGAATTTTGATTGATCGGAGAGAACAGGCAAGAAAAGCCGCAAGATCCGATTTCAATGGCCGGATATGGCTCTAAAGACCTAGACGTGTGGATGATCTATGATGAGCAACAATCAACCACAATGTTCAATTGTTTGGTTGTGTGCGATGGCACAAGATCTAGGTATTGATGAGCCGACAAGGTGGTGTATTCGGAAAAACGAGAATGTCAAAAAGAGCCTGGGCAGGGACGCTTTGATGTGATGCTGAGGATGTATATGAGTCTCTGATGGTCAGCGGTCGAGAACACACGAGCCAGTATCGCACATGCCGCAAGCGCGATGATCGGTTCTGTGCGATATAGCGAAGCAGCGGGGGAGATCGCAGCAATCGTCGATGAAAGAATAGCAGTACTTCGCCCGCAGGAGGTCGTTCGGACTTTTATTAACACTACGAAGAAACCCAGAAAAAGCGCACCGTTCAGGGTCATGAGTCATGGACACTCATTTAATCGTCCAAGTGACGAAGATTGCCCTTCGAGGACAGGCCTGGCCGGCTCGTCAATCGGGTGACGTAAAATTAAAGAACGAATGTATGTATAGAAGGCGAAAAGACACATCATTGATGGCACGTCATGACATGTCTACATCTTGAGCGACGTCGGGTCGAGGTTCTCCTCGGGCTACTGAGTTAACTAGCTCCCTTCTCACTTCAACACCGATCTGTAAATGCGGGTTAACGCGAATAACGTCCAGGAGAGCATCTTTTTGGTCAGGGGTTAGATCCGGTGAGTACCTATAAAAAGCCAGATTTAGATTGGTACGGATGTCGAATGCGAGAACCTGACCTCTGGCAGAAGGCTAACAGGCTTTGATGCCAAAGCACTGGAAGCTTTTGAGTGTCACCACGCCCACGGGCCTTGTAAGTGTTGGAAAGACGGATAAAATGGAACACCAAGGCATCAACAACTTTGTATGGAAGTTGGTACTTTTTATCGATCAGGACACGAATAAATAATGAGTTTGGTCCTGGAAGTAATAAGTTACCCTGAAAATAGCAAAGAATGATACTTTACCTGTATAGTCCATGTTTGCTATTCGGAGTAGAGCTGCTGCTGAATGTAAAACAGGTACTTTCTTCTTAGCAACGACAGAAGCAATGATAGCAGCCTCTTTAAGGGTACAGCCGTTCTAGTTGGTGGAAGAGGTGATTAAGCGTGATTAAAAATGCAGTCCGATAACCCACCTCCAACATCGGAAACACGATACCCTTGAAGAATGCTGCAGGTTTGAATAGTGCGCGCTTCAGGCATTCGTAATATTGCACATCGAGCTTTTTATTGCTCTGTATATCCTCCCGTATTGCATCCAGGAGGACGACGGAAAGAAATAGTTGAGCCTGAGCAGGCTTCATCGTCGACACGAAAATTCGTGTTGCTGCTCTACACGCATGAGGGCTCCAATTTTCGGGACGAGTGAGTGCTAATACTCTTGCCCATGCTGGGAGCGAGGGAATAACTTTGAAGAATTTTGGTAATGGCCCCGACTTATACCCGTGCAGGAAGATTGCGAGTCTGCAAGAAAGACGAAGTTCAGTAAACGCCGTTGCGTTAAGAAGAATATACGTGCTTTGAATAAGATTCTACTAGTCTAGGATCCAGACCAAGTGCCGGATCAGGATGTTCTTGATCTAGAAAACATAAGATAATAGCCTAAGCGACCAAGATTTGGTCCGTACCCTGCTGCACTTTTTGCATGACATTGACACCGTTAGTCTCCCCACTCTCCAATTTAGCGAAAATTATATCTGCTAATGTTCGGCGTTCACCAGAATTAGATGGCAGTAGTGCATCCAATGCTTGGATATCTCCAGAATCCAATTGCTAAGGGGGATGATGAGAAGCAAGCTAGACACATCAGAATGCACTGACAAACATATCCTCTGCATCACCGTTATCACTCATGTCATCATCGTTACTGTCCTCGTCCTCGTCGTCCGCAAATTGTACTCTGGGCTTGAAGTTCTCGCGTTCATCTTCATGTCGAGGCTCATCCTCGTCCTCGGGCATATCGATCTCTTCTTGTTGATCCCTCGCGAGCTCAAAGATTCTCCTCGACATTTTTGAGTCAAGAACTACCTGTGCATTGTACGATCAATCATTTTAACGGACATGATTGGAGTATACACACCTCTGTGTTCTCTTCATCGCCGGAGGATTTCTGCCGCTTCATGCGCTTCCCTGGTTGAGATACGCGACCATATTTCGCTTGTGCCTCATCGACATCCAGTTGTGCATGGAGAGGGTCGTGCCTTTGCTTCACCGATCTGTGTACTCGAGGCATGATGGAATGCAGGAGGTTTATGGAAACATTATTTTCGGATGGGATATTGATTACCTAATAATCAGGGGGTAAATCAGGTAAAGTGTTTTGATCTCCTCAGGTTCGTCCAGACTCCGACCCGGCGACACCTCCTGTTTCCGCAGTGACGGCGCAGGCAAAAATCTGTCCACTTATACTTAAGGCACGTCGCGCTTTGTACCAGTTACTTTTTATCTTCCCAGGATGTCGTCTTCAGTTAAAGTTGTAAGTCATTGTTTGTATTGAGTCTGATCAAGGACTTCTCTTCACTACTTCTACGTGCAATATGGCAAACATTTTATCGGGAAAAACTGTACTGACTGTCTTTTTCTCATCGATCAGTACCGCTGATATATTTTTCTACTCACAGACCCAGACTATGGATAAGAACGGACAAGAAATCAAAAGCGTTGGCTTTCAACGCTTTGGGTTCGACTGCGAGGTGACCCTTGACAGCCTCCGATCACTGTATCTTCGATCGCACTATGTGGTCTCAGCTTCTGAGTCCCAGGTTCAGGAGCTAGATGCTAAGGAAGAGGAAGGACACGGATATTTGACCCAAGGACTCAACGCCTACCAGTCTAAGTCAATCTTCCATCCAGACACACAGTCGATCTCGTACACAACCCTTTCCCGCTTCGCCCCAGTTAAACTTTTACCTGCCTCATCAAGGAAGCGCGTTCTCGTCACTGGGGGTGCTGGTTTCGTGGGCTCTCATCTTGTCGATCGTCTCATGCTCTTAGGCCATGAGGTTACCGTCCTGGATAACTTCTTCACTGGTTCAAAGACCACCGTGAGTCACTGGGTTGGTCACCCAAACTTTGAATTAGTCCGTCATGACGTTGTGGAGCCCTTCATGATCGAGTGCGATCGTAAGCCCTTCGACCTTGTGTGCTATTCGCTTCCTGGCTGATGACCCTGGAATCCCTAGAAATATACCATCTTGCTTGTCCCGCATCTCCTCCGCACTACCAGTTCAATGCCGTGAAAACCATCAAAACTTCTTTCATAGGCACGTTGAACATGCTTGGCTTGGCCAAGCGCACGAAGGCTAGGTTCCTTATTAGTAGTACATCTGGTACGGTTATTTTCGGTATCGGGCGTCTTATGTGCTCATTCCGCTGCAGAAGTGTATGGTGACCCTGAAGTCCATCCTCAACCGGAAGATTAGTGAGCCACGGTCATTTACTTCTGATTGCGTTTTTTATTATCTTGTAGCTGGGGTCACGTCAACCCGATAGGCCCTCGCGCCTGCTATGATGAGGGTAAACGTGTTGCGGAAACTCTCACGTATGGCTTCCATAATCAAGATGGCGTAGATGTTCGGGTTGCACGTATTTTCAACACTTACGGTTAGTCTTAAACTCTCGGCCGTTTCTATTACTCAAGTGTCACCTCTTAGGTCCCCGAAGTTCGTTTTCGCCACGTTTTAATCAATCGCAAGGCTGATCTAAGGTTGATCCCACAGTGAACCCTCACGATGGTCGTGTGGTGTCCAACTTTATCGTCCAAGCCCTGCGCGGCGAGGATATGACCGTTTACGGTGACGGCAAGCAGACTCGTTCCTTCCAGTACATCCACGACCTCATCGACGGTCTGATTGCCCTCATGAACTCCGATGAGACGCGCCCAGTCAACATCGGCAATGGCGATGAATTCACTATTGGTGAATTCGCGGAACTCGTTCGCGAGATCGTAGAAAAAGTGCAAAAAGAAGATGGTATCAAACTCGAGCGCCGCGTGCAGATTGTTTACAAGCCAATCCCAACTGACGATCCTCAGAAAAGACGCCCTGACACGACTAGGGCAAAGAATAGCCTGGGATGGCAACCCCGTTGGTCAGTGCGGATGGGCCTGGAGGAGATGGTCCGATACTATAAGGCTATGATTTCAGAAGGGAGCATGTGAATGGTGCCCAACTCTCAATATTCTTAAAGGGTTTTTGTTGGATTCTGTGTGGTCAATTCTAAACATTATGCATATTGACAATTACTTGTACATGAGTAGTGTGAACGTGCTCTGAACTTTTAGATGTGGATACATATATATCTGTCAAACACATTAGGGTAGTTGTGAATAATCCAAACGTCGTATGTGATCTGTGACAGCCTTGATAAGAAAGAATGAGAGTTAATACTTTTTGTACAGGTATCATGAGGAGTCATGACGGAAACAAAGCCTTTGTTATGGCCCCCCTAGGCAGCTGGGCACTTTGTGTTACTACCTTCTGCATCGTGCCTCTAATAACGTGCTTGTCGACTGAGCTAGCATTGTAGGTCGTTCGACGCATGCGACCATCCTGCGCGACCTCGTCTGTGACTAGGCTTTCTTTGTTCGCAGTTAAAGATCCCGCTACTGGACGCTCCGGAGAGCTGGGAGCCTTAGGATGTGACTGTTTATATCCCTTGTAGTTGCGAGCGGCTTTGAGCTCGGAAGTGTCTATGGTGTTATGAAGCACGATAGGGTGAATCCATAGAGTATGTGAACGTACCGATGTAGCTATTGCCATGTTTGTCTCCTTGGAACCAGTGAGCCTCCTTCTTCCGTTCGGAGTACCTTGGAGTAAAACGGGTTAGTATAATGAAATTGGAGCACGAACGCTGTAACTGACTTCCGCAACGGCCGACCATCTGTCCCAAGCGGACAGTATGCGTTATTCAAATCCCTCGCGTAAGACATCAAATTTTCCAACTGGCTCTTCGCAACATCGGTTTTTACACATGAAAACGAAAGGGGAGAACGAGGATCCCTCTGGGCAATAGATGGAATGCCAATGAATTCCGCAAGCTTCGATAGAGCGACCTTCGTCCGTTCTCGTATGGACAACTTTGGAGGAAGGATGTCGGATCGTGTACGAGGTTGTTGGGCAAGAAATTTTGAGAAGACCTGGTTAACTATCGAAGCGCTTCCAGGGAGGATGTTCAAGCAAGCTTTGGCACCTGTAAAAGTCGTAAGGCAGATCGTCATGTGCGATAACAGGCGCACCTACCCTTGACAACGTACAATCGAGGTCCATCTTCAGCGTTTATTAAAAGCTGTTTAAGATTCTCCGCGTATTTCAGCGGAGCTATGGGACTCGCTTCTCCCTGTAAATATGTATCAACACTCTGCTCGTTCCTCCAATCAGATTCGCAGGATCGATACCTGAATAATAAGAACAGGGCAACTGACACTGGCAAGTTCTTCGGGCCTCATAAGTGTACGCTTACATGACAGGTGAGATGGGAACATAAACGGACGCCAATATAGCACTCACATTCATCATAATGTTAACAAGTTCCACTATTCTCAGACGTTTTGTTGGAGGTGTGTATTTCTCCCAGTAGGCTATCAACTGTCATTGACTCAGCGATTGTGGCGCAACTGGTCAGAAATTACATACATCATCTTGAAGGTCTAGATTGTCGCTCTGCACATGGCGTGGTCAGCATGCCAACAACTTGCATATTATGATCGGCGGCTTACCTCCCCAGTCATGAAACTCACCACTTCATTTCCTGCATGTTCGAACGAGTCAAGGTCGGGCGCATAACACCACAATTGAAGCAGTTCGTCGTAAGCGTGGAAGACCCATTGAAGTCTAGGAACAGTTTTCAGAAAACAAACCATCAAACAACTACAAAGAATGACATACTCTGTCGGAGGGGGGACGTCACATAAAGTTAGACTCAGGACTTGCTCAGGCCACCTAGACTGACAGTCAGCTGGTATCTATCACGCATTAGGAGACATACAATGCAGCAAGTCTAAGAGCTGCATTAACAGAAATACACTCGAACGCCAATATATGTGCAGGAGGCAAGAGCAAGGCCTTCGATTTAAGCGTTAGAAACCGGGCTGTAAATTCCAATGAATGAATCACACCTGGCAGACCATAGCAATATCTGCAGCATCAACATAGCTGTCATGCAATTGGCTAGGTCTACATCGTGATCGTCCGCAAGTCCGCTGGTCAAAAGCTATCATGTTGTAGTCCCGGGAGAGTCTGGGATCATCAAAATGCCTTATCAGCCAGCTTGAGTCCAAAAATAAAGGATGGAGGAGGATGCAAGTCGGCCGCTCTGGGTCAAAGCTGCCAACATTCCCGTGGACGGAGTTCGTGATGTACCATATAGACACGTAGTCGTCCCTGGATGGGATATCGATGTAGGGCATACGGGAGAGGAGAGCAAGAAATGGACCAACAACAAGGCACACATCCACAAGTTTACAAAACAGTATTATATATGAAAAAAGGGTCCAACAGTAACGACCGCCCTCCCTAGAAGGCCCTGACGGCCTTGGGTCAAATGCGATCAAATTTCTCATTAGCCGAGTAGTAGCGTCAAGAGGACAAGCTAAAAATTATGGAACAAACTTGTACATACATAGATATTCGATAATTCAATCCAGCGCTGAGCTCTGCTGAGCTTCATGATCGACAACGTCGCTGCCTCCAAATCATCGATTAAAAAGCATGGACCTGCTCCCGTCTCCCTTGAATCAAGTACTGCAGGTATTTTAATGCTCATCGATGCGTCTCTCAGACTGAGGCGCTCCAATTTTAGTTATTTTAATAATGACAACCTTCTTTACCTCGTACTTACTCACGGTCCGGGTCTCTCCAAGTCATTCCCAAGCCACAAGTACCGTTGTCAAGAACAGTCTTCCAAGAATTTTGATTGACGTTACGAGCTACGTGTGCCCTCCCCACCTTCACGGAAGAATAAGATTGATAACCTCGGAAACTTCCTCGCCGTCTTGCTACCGCGCTTTTGTGACTCCAGATATGCTTCTTTGAAGCTGGAGTCAAAAATTTTGGTTAGTGCCGGATTTCTCGGTCAAAATTGTTTGAATGTCGAAATGAGAAGATCCGAAAACCTCCTGTGCTGAAGAGGTACAATTGCGATAACTAAGATTCGTTATCGCGTACGACATGCCGGAATGCAGGTAAACGGAAGCGACTCAGGCTTCCTCCCAGCGTCTCAGTTCCTCTCACGTCTCCGTCTCCTGAAGTAAGTCACTTGAGTATGCATGTAATGATCTCTGCTCGCCGCCGATAGTGTAACGAGTGCCATGTTTTTCATTACCGGGATAGCTAAGTCTAGAACATTGTCCGATGAGCTGGCAACCAGCTTCCGACAATCGCACACAAGCTCCGTTACGGAGTAAAATTGTCTGTGGCTGCTATCTCCGCAGAGGTGCCTAATTTTGCCACAATTTGGCGCCCTTACTCGGGAGTTTTATCGTGCTGAGGTCCGAAGACACTTTGTATCTGCAAATATGGCAAAGGTGACAAGACACAGAACAGAAACATTCGCAGATCCTCATCATCCCACTATACCTTCCAAGACTTGAACTACTCTTTGTTGTTTCTAGTAACACGGCGATGAGATTGGTCCACGTCTTCGTCGTTGCTTCGATACTCACCTCTCTATCGGCTCTCAAATCAGAAGGGAACATAGTTGGTACTCCGAGGCCTTCCAGCGTAGACTGCTGCTTCTGCAAGAGACCGTCCCATGCGAAAAGCACGCGTTCGGCATCAAACTTTTGCAGCTCTTTCCGAAATGCATCGTTCAGCATCTGCCACACAGGTTAGAACGAACACGTGGACTTGGTTGTACTTACATCTGCCTCGTGCTGAGATATTCCTCCGCCAATCAACGCGGCTCTGGGAGAGACGTCATTAATGATGAAAGGAGATCCGTCGCTGAGAATTGTACGGACTTGGTCTGCGTAACCTTGACTTTATTCTCGTGTTTCCTATGTATAGCGAGTCGTTCTTCCCACAACTGTCTCTCCAAGTCCTTCTGCTCTTCTCGTAACTAAAGTTCAGAAATCATATAATGAGTGTGTGAAGACCGACGACGGACTTACATGGGCTACGGCAGCAACGAGGTCTGCACTTTCGGCCAGTCGTGTAAGATGGGGCAAGGCCTGCTGAAATGACATCATGCGGTCCTGCCCGTGCGTGAAAGCAGCATGATGAGCCGAGTCCTCTGCAGGCTGAGCGGTGGAGCGGTGGCTAGCCGCCTGTGAAAGTTGCAGGGAAGTCTGTTGCGTAGTCAAACGCGATGTCGAAGGTTGTGAGGGCCTCGGTGAAATTTTATGTTCGGATGAATTAAGTTGGGAAAGCAAATCAGCCACCGAGGACGACGATTTAGACACATTGTCTGTGGTGGCAGGTGGTTGTATCAGGGGCACTGGTACAGCCTGAGGTGCGATTGAAGTCGGCGGTGTCACGGTAGCCGGAGGTGTGGTAGAGGTCGGCGGTGGATTCTTCGCCACGCCATTGGGATCAGCGCCGCCGCCGATACTCTCTTGCCAGGCCTGTGACGATCTCAGTTGCTCGAGTAGAGCTTTGATACCTGCTGGATCCTATCAGTGATCACAAATCACGCGCACGATCGATGAGTCAGTAAGTATATGATCGTATGTGAATCAGCTTCTTCAAATCGCTCACATTGATGTTCGTGAAGTTCATAGGGTCAGCTGTATCATGACTAAGAACTTTACACGCCATCTCAGTACTATTTTGACATGGTCTTTGATGTTCGATTCCGTGCTTACGTATTCCAGTTGCCGCCGGGTTTCATTACTCGATCGATCGTGTAGGGAATATCACTACGCCATGTCATAAGGATAATCATATACGCCTCAGCTCAAGTTGGAAACTAAAATTTCACCACAGTCATATATATATGACATTTCGGATGGGCTAGCTTTGGCCTCACTCCACGATGGTCTTTCCCTATCTGTCCCTGAATGTTAGTCTTACGAACCTTATGCGGGTACTGTCGGAGGCGCCTATCAGATCGCCGGCAGGGGAAACCTCGGGCAATCTTATTGAGGGCACGTGCCTTGCAAGGTGCCGGCCATCTTCGGGGGAGACCCTGATTAGTACGAGGCGGCAGCGTACTTATCAATGTGTCCCGATCGAACGTCACAGCGGCCTCGATCATACCCTGTCGTACCGCGCGCCGCGGCTCATCGAAGTCCATCAGGAACCGTAACCGATCGTAAGTCCACTCCGGAATGACTCGGATGATTCAGGATTGTCACATCGTACATGTAAAATTTAAAACTTGACAGGGGCTCGGAGTTGTGACATCTTACCTACTATACCCCGAGGTTAAATGTGTCAACGGACTCGGAGCCTCGCCAACGGACGGGTAACCAGCACGTGTCTACGTGTGACCCTTCACGACTTGACAACAGAGTGAGCGGATAGAGGCGGACAGCTGTGAACAGTAGACAATGGGAAAGACGGCGAAAGACGAAACAAACGTACCGCTTGAAGCTTTCGATGGATGAACCTCTCCGCCGATTTGCAATACCGCGGAGATGGGCCTGATTATCGCGCACTTTGCGTGACATGGTTACTAATATGCTGTGTGAAACGTATTATAAGCCATCCACATCTAATCATCACATACACTTTATGTACGCAAACTCAAGCCAAATGACGGCTTTGAGGGACGAAACCAGTGTTCCGCCAGCGCAAGTCAGCGTAGGTTTGACCTGGTGGAAGCGGTTCCCATACACGCAGATGAATTTGGTAAAATTCGAATCATCGAGTTCAGTCGACGTTAAATTTGGGTTTGATATGACAAAGATAATAAAAGTTTGGTTGCATGGTGGATTGTGAGAGAATCTACTTTGCAAACCGGATGTTCAAGAAAGCCTAATCTGGTTGCAAGTGCGATTAGCATGGTGCATGATGAAAGTACACGTAGACCGAGATTACAAGGAAAAACTACTCATCGAGGACCGATCATATCGGCAGGAGGAAAAAATCGGATAATCCATGCGTTCTGTATATCCAATACAACTTGAGATCCAAGCCGTTCATTAGCTCAAGGATAGTCCAGTAAGCCCACAATCTGATCGCGGATCTGCGAGTGAACGGACAAAGGGCATTGCGGAAGGCTGATTGCATGATCTGCATGATGCGATTTCCGCAGTTGGCACATCCTCCTCGTCAGCTTGATGAGGTCCGAGCCGTCGTCCACAGGAAGTTGGACGGGTGGGTTCTTCTTCGTGAGCATTCTCGTCATAGTACTGGCGCTTAGCGGAACAACGTTGTTGCGACAGTGATTTTTTATGAATGTGCATAATTTTAGTTCCGCGAGAACTGTAGTACTATGGTGGTGTAGTTGATAGGTGACCGATTTCGCCATACGGCAATTAGGCAAAGTCGGATGAGTGCCGGCTGCACGATGAGACGAGGGGTCCGGTTTGAAAGGATAATTGAATTTTGGGAGTATCGTAAAGTTCGAGCTTGCGGACAGTCGCGCAGATAACACACGATTATAGCCGCATGATGAACCAAAAGAGCTGGGAATGATTATGGGTAGTAGCCCACAGGCCCGCAGTGTAGTACTTCAAGTGAATGAAAGGATTAGAACGCACAGCTCGCTTTGTCGTTTGAGGTATGCTGCTGGTCTGAGAGAATTTATTGTTCGTCAGGCATATGCTCATAAGCAATGCGCTACTCGAGGCTGCTCGTAATATAACCCCTGTAGAACCTCCCGTGCGAGTTGGTCTCCCCTAGACAGTGCAGTAAAAGGACGACAGTTGTATGTTTCACATAAATATCACCTTGACAATACTGCTAAGTTCTAGACATGCAAGTGGCTTCCTTCAGCAAAAACTCTACGTAGTGATTCCACCACCAAACTCCGTTAGAGTGCCTCTTGTGGGCCTTCGCCATTAGACCAGTCTGAAGTTCTCAGAGGAGGGTCTGAGTGCTTCAAATGCTATGCAGTGGTTGATACACGTGGTAACTGCGTGTTCGAGCAGAGGCGCCCGGTACGCCAGACTGCATGGTTTATATGTACGGCGTATCACCATGCGATCAATGTCATAGAACCTCCTTTAGCTGTCAGAGTTACGTTCAGGTCCGTAGCAGGTGTTCCTGTCATTGTCAGTAAAGTCCACCGGTTTCTCACGAAGCGTAACCTGACCGAAGAAGAACTTGAAAGCCATGTAAAGCAGAAGAGTCGTAGGGCAGCAATGACCCGGACTGTTTGACCTTGACTCAGGGCAGCGAAATGAAGTAGTAGATTTGAAGATTCAAATTTTACCCAAAGCTGCAAATATATGATCAGGCCAAGGCGCGATGACTTCAGACAATTATATGGTCGACAGGGATCGAATCAGTCACCATGTTACGAAAAGAAGGGAATCTGGTGCCTTGTCAGTATGATGGAAGGCGACGTCCTAATAAAATACTTATGCTTTGGGACTTTTGCCTCTTTCTTGTCAAGTGACGACAACATTCCGTAAACGTGACCAATAGTCTGTTCTAAAGTAGCAACATGAATAGATGTTATTACTGAAGCGGGGCCAATGACAACAAAAAGTATTGTGGGCTGACATAGAAAACGCAGAAGTTCAGAAGGAGAACGTACTTGGAACGACATCTAGTGGCGATGTGGCAAAATGGAGCCGCCACTGGTAGTAGTTACCATGTACTAATAGCCAAGAAGACAGGCTGTTGCGAGAGTCTCGGAGGATACAGTGACAGTGACGGATCATTCAGTGTCTCGGGGCAGTGTGCCGACGATTGTTGAGATCAAAGTGCTCCCGCCACAGCCGCGGCGCAACTTGCCAAATGGGTCACACGCAAGCTGTGCGGAGTAACTGCGAAGCGATACAATCGCTACAGTCTCTTGGCACTTGAGAAGACTGAATATTGAATGGATGAAGCTTTTGAGAATTTTAATCTCGACTCCGGGTGCCTACTACGCTTGCAGTCTACCAGTCATGTTAAGGGACAATTTGAAGTACGATGATAAAAATGTTGACGGCGTCGTCACTTAGTAGCTCAGTGTGGGAACGAAAAAGTCACGAGTTAGGCGGCCGAGGGCCGAGGTGTTTATGGTTCAAATTATTATTGTGACAAATGTGACAATAAATATTAATGTCGCTACCAAAATTACCCACGACTACCGAGCCTCCTTCCTCTTTACGCCCTGCCTCGCTGCCGCATCAACATCTTTCCTATTCTTCCTTTTCTTGCCGCGTCCGTCGTTTAATTCTGTACTTTCTTCATCGTCACCTCTATCTTCCTTGATTTTAGCCTCCTTTTGCCCCATCAATGACATCCCTAGATCAGGCAGAGCAGTCTGCTCAGGCGAGTTCGTCTCATATGATGAAGACTACAAAACGGGGGAGGCCTTTTCTCAAGGTGAGCTCGTATAGTCTTTTTTCAATGTTAATGGCTAATTTAGTTCGGCACAGGATACCCTTGACCTTTTTGCGACACTCATCGTATCTCTTAATCTGACCACGCACAAGCAATATTTTCGCACTTTCCCAAATTCATTCTCCACGTCCGTGCTTGATCGCTCATTTCCAGAACATCTATCTCATACTCTTTTTCAGGGACGAAGCTGCTGCGAACTTGGCATCTCTCAAGTTCTCTCAGTCAAATCGCGGGCCGGATCCCAGAGACAAATCACGAATAGTGACGACCACAACCACCACGACATTCTCGATGACTCGTGACATGGCAAAGGCTATGTGCCAACACTTCATGGATGCTCGCTTGATCGAAAACGCCGCCGATCTTGGCAGCAATCTTTTCAAAGATCGCGGTACTTATGTCCTCACGCCCAAGGGTCTCCATGTCTTGGAACGATTCATATCCAAGAACGGCATGAATTCCGACCATCTGCAACCCGTGTTCGCTTCTCAACCAATATGCATCAAGCTATTACACTTGGAGCGTCGATCGGCTGATGACGAGATCATCGTTACACAATCCGTCATAACTGCGCTCTTCCGTCGGTTTGTTGGTCGTCAGCCCAACTACCCCGCTCAGTCCTCGACCAATCCTCCAGACGCTTTTCAAGAATACCACGAGCGATCCAAGGGTGTACCTTTAATGGATGTGCAAGAGCGCCCACAGCCTTTACTGGGCAAAGCCATGGTCATGCACAAGCACTGTTTCGCTGCCGTGAGCGCTCTTGAATGGCTCTGCGACTTCACCTCCGTGGTCGGAAGAGAAGAAGCGGCAGAGATGGCTGCTCAGTTTGTGCGCTTCGGCCTCATCACATTGGTTAGCGATAAAAGGAAAAATAATGACTCTGCCATCATTTTCACTGTTCGTGGTTCTACTCCAGGTGGGAATTCTCCAGTCAGCGTAAGTCCCCGTCAGCGAGTCATTCACAGGTGTTCTTATTGCCTCGTTTGTTCCAGCAACACGGAGAGTTCCGATGTACAGCTAAAGCTATCTATAGAATCACAGACGAAGGCAAACGGCTGGCTCAATGGGACGAAGCTACCGCATCTCCTCTCAGCTCGACGGTGAACCTGAATCATACCGAGCGTTCGTCACTGGAAAGTGAATCCATCAATAGTACTCCGAAGACGGGAATTGAAGCAGCTGATGCTAAAATTCATCGTCGCATATCCATGGCGGAGAAGCTTAATTCCAGTCACGAGGCTGCGGAGAAGAAAGGCAATGTCAAGAGCAATACCGATCGTCTCAAATATATCCTGGAAGAGCCATCTTATCGCGCTCTCTTCCGTGATTTCTTGAAGGCGAACTTTTGTGAAGAGAATCTGGCGTTTTGGATGGATGTCGAGGATTTCAAGCGCAAATTCAACACGACTTCCAGTGCACAAGCTGCAGTTCCTACTCGGTCGGGCAACAAAGCAACCCCAGGACAAGCCGCCATGGAGAGGCATCACGAGGCTTTGATTCAGACTGCTTTCCAGATCTACAACAAATACCTCGCACCATCAAGTCAGAACGAGCTCAACATTGACCATGGTCTTCGCCTCGATCTCGCCAATTATCTCGGTGAAGTCATGGTCGGCCTGCACGGCAAATCGTTCGACGGACAAGTAGATGCCATTCAAGCGGGTTCTTTCAACGCAACGCAACTGCAAGTTCTGATCAAACTATACACGCGCATTCAAACGCATGTTCTTCGGTTGATGGCTATGGACTCGCTGCCCAAGGTATACCCCTTTTTACTCCCAATATTTTCTCATTCTTACGTCGTTGATGTGCCTGCAGTTCATTAAAACGCAGCGGTTTCTGGACGCACGGCAGTTTCTGGGAGAAGGAGATGCGCCAGGTGATGATGTTCATTTCCTCACCAGCCCTCCTGCTCCTCCTGGCCTCGGTTCTGAGGAGACTGGTGGAGCTTACATCACGGTGTCTTTGAAAGGCAGTGAGCGAGAACACCGGAATCAATGCAGAGACATACCAGGATCGCCACATGTCTCATGAGCGGGTGTTCTCTCCATTTCGCTTTCCATGGACTTATTCATTGCTACTCTAATTGTGGCGTGCTTGCGGAAGGCCTTGCACGACATCGCACATTCATCATCCCGGCTGATCACCGTATGCTCACTATTCATGTTGTTTTCTTCTTCTATCGCATTTGATTCCAAACCCGGGGGGTTATCGTTCATACTTTCTTCATCGCCATAATTGTTTTCATCTCTTTGGCATTATCCAGTATAGTATCCTGGGCCGGCTTGTCATGCTTTAACAATATTCCCCAATCCTGTCGAGCCTTCCCATCTCATCGCATTACGACGGTATCTTCTCTACATCCAGTCCCTTCGCGGTGTACAGTCTACTTAATACCCTACACTTACCTACTGCCTTGTTATGTAGGTAGCACTTAATTTCATGGCTTCCTGTCGTATATCAAGCAGTCATGTTACTTGTTGCATGTATGTACTCGTGGTAGAACAACTAAAGATTGATTGTAAAGTCAATAATCTCGAATGTCGTAATCTTTACACTGGTGGTGGTGGACTGCAATTTGATCGGCAAGATCTCGGCTTCATTTCGGCTTATAATAATGCATAGCACTATTGCATTATTAAATCCAGACGATTGTGTTTAGAATTAATGGGAGTACTTAGAACCATACAGCGCTCCTCGGCGCATCCGAGGCCTTAGGCCTTATAGGCTTTAGACCTTGCAAACGAGGCAAATAACTGTGATGCGAAATTCGACAATGACGAGGGTTTTTGTCAATACAAGTGTAAACAGCTTAGACTTGTATTAATAAGTATTGCTTCCGAGTTAATACCGAGAGTGTTCAGTGGCAGAATCGATTCTCATCCGCGAGGTCATTCACAAAAAAATGTCTTGGATCTTGAACCCAGACGGTGATGCTCCCAAGCCACCAGCAGAGGATAATATGGTGCAGGACCCATCAGACCCTACCAGAAAGGTAACCAAGAAAGCCGCCAATCAGCCGTTCTTGGCGTAAGTGGTTGTCACCTGCTTGCAGACAGCAACTTGAACTTATGATTTGTAGCCATAAGCAATATAAAGAGAAGCAGGAACAGGAGCACCAAGCGTGGCTTCAAAGAAATCATGAGCGCGAGGAGAAACTCGCCAGGGGAGAAGAAGTCGGTCCTGCGGAGGAGGACCCCACTGCCGAGCAGGAAGTAGGGTTCCTTGGGTTGCTGAAGTTCATTGTATATTTGATTCTCATCATTGTCATTGCGGGCAAGTTCTTCACTGGCAGCTTCCTGTGGGAATACGATGGAAAGTGGGCGCGATTAAAGACATATTGGCCAGTTCGTCTGGTTCCATCAAGTTCTTCATTGACGTCCCTGACTCCGTTCACATTCTAGGAGAGTAGCGGACGCCTCTTCTCGGAAACATATTTGGCAACATTTGATGGGAGTGACCCAACAAAACCCCTGTATCTCGCGGTATGGTCAACAGTTTTAAGTGATCGTAGATACACCTGATCATCTCATGCAGGTCGATGGTGACGTATTTGATGTTTCGAGTAATAGCAGGACGTATGGTCCAGGAGGTCCTTACCACCATATGTGGGTATATGCTATGCTTCCTAGACTTCCTTACCATTTGTTTGCAGGGTCGGAGTGGACGCAGCCAGATCATTTGGTACCGGATGTTTTGCCACTCACCGGACACATGACCTACGAGGTCTGACTGACAACGAGCTCAGGGTTGGTAACAACGGCGTTTTCCGTGTTCACACAAAACTAATCTGTCGATACACATGTAGGGCGTCCAGCACTGGAAGAAGTTCTTTGCGGAGCATAAAACATACTATAAAGTTGGCAAAGTCTTGCACCACCCGATTGATCCCAAAAGTCCGATACCTGAACATTGTGATCCAAAGAAAGAGCAGAAGAGTCATCCAACAACCGGGAATTCTAACCCGATGTCCCATTCTAAGGGTAATTCGGAGACGCCAATCCGCGAGGAGTTATAGTCTACAGGCAGAGCTATTGATGTCCATTATTATTTAGCATGTATGGCGTATATATAAGTCTAGTGTTCCGTATGGCATGTCTACATAAGGTTTTTCATGAAACAGACTGTCCGTGTCACATCTTCCGGTCGGTATCGGCATACAGCCAGTTGCCCGTTTTTTTAAGACTGATCCCAGTAATGATTAGTATGCCTTCGACAAAGAACCACTCGCCTGCTTACCTGAGGTGCACCGTGCGTCATAAAGTAATTCCTCAATATTGGAAAGTCAGCGATTGATCCATTGATCATTGACGAGAAGGGGCTCTCCCGATACTTGGCGACGATGATATTTCCGCGCCACGCAGTTGCCTCTCTGAATGATCGCCCCTGGATTTCCCTAAGACACTTATTGATGGGGAAGGGCATCCCGTCACGGGAGACGGTCGGATAGAAGATGACGTAAGGATTAACGAATTTTTTGTTCATACCGTCGAGAGCCTCGACGAGCTATGAGTCCAACGTCAGATTTCGACAGAAATTATACGCGACTTTGTACTCACGTGATAATGCCAGGCTCGGGGACCGAGGCCCTCGGCGATGTAGTCCATATAGACTTCAGGATGTGGCATCCGAGCAGGTAGAGTGCTATATGGAGCGTGTGGGTCGGGTACCGACATGGGGCTTGTCATCAAAGCCACCATATGCGGATTACGACCGTCAGAAGGAAAGAGGAGAGCCTCAAATGACACTAGTTGGTCCATGATGTCACCAGAAGGAGATGGATTCGAGTACGCTTGGTTTTCGGAGAGAAGATAAAGTAAGATTTGAGCAGAAAAGTAGAAATAGTTGTAGACCACAGGTCTCAGACTAGTGTGGACTTCAAGTCTCAACGGTGCAGTCGAGCACTTTGAGGGAAAGAGGAGTAAGTGGCTCTTCCTTATAAAGTTCTTACCTGGAGACATGAGGACAGGCCGCCGAGATCTGTGAAGTATCACAAATAATACAACGGTTTTAGTGCAGACACGAGGACGGTCAATAGAAACAGGTTAACGAATTAAATTGGATGCGCCGGGACGTAGATGAGTCGCGTCGAAGTGGATTTGCAATTTGATGATGGGCAGTCATAATAGTCCACCCGATCTACTCTTGCCTGTTTGATCGTACTCAGCCTGGATGATCTTGATTCTGTAGTGATCACAGTGTGGACGCTGTGAGTGCGGGAAGCAACGTAGCATAATAAAGCCCTACTAGTGCGCAGGCGGTACTGACAAATCAGGAAGTTTTGATGCTTATTAGCTTATTCCCTACCGTGCCGTCTTCTTGAGGTCGGAGAGGACATAAAAATTGCAAAAGTTGACATAAAATCGAGGGTATGTGTTTTCTCTACATGCCTTGAGGTCGTTGTTGACAGTTTTGGGGTCGATCATTAGCAAAGCGCGTGTTTGTCTGCGTGCGTTTTTAGTCCTTCCGAGTCGGCTCGGCACTCTCACAGCTTGCCGGTTGAAGTAAAAGTCAATCTTATCTGTTACAACTCATTTTCGGGAGTCGCGAACAAACCGACAGATTTATATAACATCAGATATGGCGGAGCCCTTTTTCAATTCCACTGCAGGCGTCTTACAATGTATTGCTACGTGCGTCCAACCTGGCCGCGGCTCCTCGAATTGGCCATCGAGCAATACGGCGTGTAAACAAGGGGTATGAACGTGGATAGAAGTCTTTCGCGGCCAACTCATGATTCTAATATCATATAGCCGGTCCAGACCTTCTCCAAACAAATTGGTCCTAGCGGTACCTACTATGCACTATTGGTGTAAGATCCCGTGCACCAAATCTCTAAAAACCTCCGCTTCCAAGCTGATCATACAGTGCTTGTGACTCGTACGACACCTTGAAGGCTGTCTAACCGCCCCTTTAAGGATGGTATGAGATCATTTCGTGACAAGGAGACTCATCTAGGCTCAACCCACTCCCAGCGACAGGAATGTTCTCTTTTTCATTCATTTACCAAATCTTCTGATCCGTTCCCTGGGGGCACTCTCAACGTTGTAGTGACCGCGTCCACAGGGCCTAGAGCATTTACATTGTGACGCAACAGGTTTCCGCCTACTTCCAGTTACGAGAACAGATTTTTGGGGTTAGCCCTCCAGGATGGCTATCGCTGTACGATATACCTGATTGAGACGAATCGTTAATGCCCGGCATACACATCAGTGCGTGTTCGTGATGGGATCCGCCATGACTTGAGCGCCACCTGTGATGTTTTAGCACGGCGCGGTTATGTTGTCTCATTTGAAGCCTAGATAAGGTGAGATTGCAGGATGTAGGAAACATAGGGGATTAGCTTTGCGCCACCGCGACTTCATGTTGCTGTAGGTAATGCACATCCAATGAATCGGTCCATAAATGCATAAAGGCCTTTTACTTATCATCCCACTAAATCGAATGAGATATTAGTATAATTGAGCATCATGACCCATCAATTATTCATGTCCGCATGGTAGTAATAGATCGGGCAGGTGGTTGCACGCAGCTGCACAGCACACAATAATGTATAAAATCTCGAGTGCGTATAACAGCTGTATGCACTGTTTTCGACACGATTGATACCCAAGTAGTATATAGTATATACCCTAGTGAAAGTCTGTTTGAAACTGATACAGGAGTCCACGGATCGATCAGACAGTATATATATGAGTTAGCGTGTTTCTCGATCAGACATACCCTTCGTACTGTCCCACAACGAAAAGAAACCGTAGGAACAAGCTACCACGAGCGCTGGTACCACACGAAGCCTATCTTACTAGGCTGGGTTGGGTCACCTTGGGTGCCTGTTAGGCGAGATCAACGTTGCAACTAAAGTTCATTTTGATGCTTTTAGGCGCTTCGAGTTGTCAGCCGAAAAAGGTAACTAAGTTTAAGCCACTAGCGTCTATTGTTTTCCAGTAGCGCAGACCTTGACCTCTCTTTGCAGGGACAAGCCATTTGTTGCTCTATCGTCTGCTTGTACATCATCTGGCTACTATCTATTCTATCATCAGAATGAACAGTGGTAACATTCTCGTTGCCGCTCAGCTCTCATCGCTTTATCCTTCCTCTAATGCCGTATCCCTAGTTCTTCAGACTGAACGTCGAAATCTTCCACTCCCCCCACCACACACCGACACGGATTCGTCGTCAGAACATGCTTCATATTCATCAACATTCCATGCTCCTCATACAGGAACAATCCTTCTGCGCGTTATTCACGGTGGTTTGATATTGGAACTCATCTCTCTTTCTACTGATATCCCCCCAATTCGATTCGTCTTCCCCTCTGCAGTCTTGCCTGCTCCAGCTATCTTCACATGGGGCGAGAAGGAGTTACACGTACTGGCGGTAATCTCTAGCGGCTCATTATTCCGTTTGGTTCTACCCACCGTCAACCCGACGCGATTGTGGCACGATCCATTGCCCAAACAGTGGAGTCGAGAATATATAGTTAAAAACGTGCCAGAACAATTTTATGGCGTGGTGCAAGCACAAGGTTTACTATGCGTGGTGATTGGGTTGACAAATGGCTCCCTTATCCGCATAGAAGCTGAGAATATCGGAGATGACAACTTCCATGGTATGTACTTTTAACGTCCGACGAGTCACTGTCTTTGACATTCCGCTGCTGCGTAGATCTTTGGGCGGAGCATGTTTACTCGCCAAGTTCATTTTTGGGAACACTCACGTCGTATTTGCCTAGTCTACAATCCTCGAGCTCTGCAGGATCAGAGATTCTCTCTGTTGCTAGCAGGCCGCAACCCACCGAGTTGGGCCACATATGGACGCTCTCACGGGATCGTACTTTACGACTTTGGACAGCAAAGGGTGGCTGTGTTGCCTCCAAAGCTTTGTCTTTGTCAGGCAAGGCGTCTAGCGAGTCATATGCGACTTCCAACGGCATCAAATCTGAGCTTCTTGGAGCTGAGCCACGCAATCTCCTTCGGATATTTGGAAACGGGGGCGACGATGAAACTACGTACGCCGTTGCGTTTACGCCAACTCCTTCATATCCACAGTCTGGTGGTTATTTCCAACTCGTTGCCATTAACTCCGATCAAATGCGCGAGGTTCAGACCGTCGAATGTTCTGCCTCCAGCACTCATTGTCACCTTCAAGATTTCATAATTAACGACGACTTCCTGTACACATTATGGGAACGTCAAGGGTCATCAATGACGGAGAGAACAAGGTTAAATTTAGCAGGGACTGGTGGTTCTGATGCAATTTGGGAGACTGCTACCTATGGAGAAGAGACGGACTTGACTCCTACGAATCTCGACGAGCTCCTTCGCTCCCCCGGTTCATTAGCCGATAAATTCATGACGGCCATATTAAGACCAGGCGTGTTCTCTCCACTTACTCTGCGGACTGCTGTGGAGCAGTACACAGATGCATGTCTCTCAGTCTCCGGACCACATCCACCCCCTCAACTCACATCCTCTCACCCCACTACGGCAGAAAACATCGCTGCGGTAGTTGGCTGCACTGTGGCTTTAATGCAGGATCCACAGACAGGGGCGCTGCAGCACGATCGGTATTGGAATGCGCTCAAAAGAGATTGGGAGGGATTTGTTGCACGTTGCCGTGAAGTTGAGCGGAGCGCACGCTGGCCTCTGGGATTGGGTAAAGGAAAGAGCAGGGATGAAGTGATCGTGATAGAACGAGAACGCGTGGGTGTCTATGTGAAGGAAGACCTACCACTAAGTGTCCACCGGTACCTTTCGGACTCCCTCCCAGTGGAACCTCATTTTGCCGTCCTGGACATACTCTGGACGCTTTGCGACAAGATAGGGCACGAGGCGCTACAAAACCTAGAGACCAGGATTGTTGATATTCTCCACCAAGAGATCGCGTTTTCCATTGTGGATATTATTGAAGACCAAGCGCAGCGCTTCAACTTCAAGGCTTCCCTTGATGAGCCATCCGAAGCCAGCATTATAGCAAGGTTGCAAGGCGTAGAAGACCTCGATGGCGCCGTCCGAATAATCCTTGACCTCGTCGCAGGCTTTGAACAAGAAGTAAAACGGGAAGAGGATGAAGTCGAGCTGTTGCTCCCAAGCAGTCGATCTGATTGGACGACCGCTTTGTCCACGTCATACATCACAACGGCGGTGCATGCCCGCTATGATATATGCATTGCACTGGTCACCTTGCTGTTCTTCCTAGCTGATGATCTGAAGGAATGGGATCCTTCGCTGGTAGAAGAAGTCTTCGCCGTGTTCCGAGGGCTGGCGATGTTACGATCTGTAGCACGCCAACCTGCGGCAGACACAGGCGGTGAACAAGAGGCATCGGATGAGTTATTAACCACTGACGATGTAATTGCTCGAATGAGCAACATGCATGTGTCTAGGAATCAGGCTCGCTTTGTCCCGACTTTTTCGCTACTTCACCGCCTCGCAGGTCAGTCCGGTGAGACGACAGAACTACCAGGGGCAGCTCATCGCTTTTTGGATGCGAGCGGCATGCTTCAGTCTACTTCCCCTGCTCGGGTGACGCAGTTCGAAGCGCTCTTTTGTGAACGTCTCCGTCTTTTGGGATACTACGAAGTCGCCCGCGAAATGCTGGCATGGCTACCGCGCACACCGGGCGTAGTATTCATTGCTGCATGCCTGTACATCAATATTGGTCGTGCTGAAGATGCTGCCCAGCTGATGGAAAAAGTTGCTGGAAGCTTTGGTGAGAATGTCCCTTGAAATCGACAGTTTCGTGCTTATTTTTCTCCCGTAGGTCACGATAGTGGGCTCTCCTTGGAGGATGCGGAAACGCTAGCCTCCGTTTTGCCTGGAGCTGTGCTCTTCGATTCTGAATTCACTTTTTACATCCATGCATCTGCCATCTTCAGATCAAGTGGCTTGATTCAACAAGAAGTGTCATTCATTCGGCTTGCGCTGTCTGTTGCACCCCAGGACGTTGATACATCTGAGCTATGGTTCGGCCTCATCCGAGGGTATATAGATCTCGGCTTCTATGAAGATGCGTATTCAGCAATCATCGCGACCCCATACGATAGCGTGTATGTCTTAAATTCAAACCCTAGATGTTCACTCACAACGGCCGCAGGAAAAGGGAATGCATTTCTCAGTTGGTTTATCGAATGTGTGAGGAAAGCACAATCGAACAATTGATGTCCTTCAATTTTGCCACTTTTTCGGTTGAAATTGAAGATGCATTGGCGTTCAAAGCACGCAATACGGACCCTCGAGCACGTCCCTTCTACTCAAGAATACTCTACACGTGGTATACGCGCAGAGGGGACCATCGCAACGGTAAGTTTCGACCGTCTATATTCGCATCACTTCTTAAACCCTTGATCTAGCTGCGCGGACTATGTATCAACGCGCACGTAAATTACAGGAAAACACCGCTCATTCAACTGACGTTATCACCCTGATGGAAGAGCAGCTTGAGGCGTACTTGCTCGCTATCAATTCTCTTTCTCTCTTGGGTACCAAATGTGCTTGGGTTGTGATACAAGCTTCACCGAGTGCCACAATTGATACTGAGGTAAGTCTCCAGAAAAATTTGTCGTTATCTGCACGCTTTCTATGTTGACGTTTGCAACCAGTCTCACAAGCGACGGAGGCTTTCTAAAAATATTCCTGATTCAACATTTAATGGGGACAAACAAGATTCAGAGATTGTCAATCTCAGCAACTTTAAGTATGACTACACGCTGCTTTCTGCTCGACTGTGGTTGATCCGAAGAGATCCCACACTTCTGTCTGCCGCAGGCTAGTTCATAATTTAGACAGTTATTTGACTCACTATGTTAACGTAAACACTTTACCCCATCAGATGTCCTGCTTTCACCGGTATCGATCGTACTCCGATTAGGCCAAGCAAACCAGTTCGATATGGCGATGGCTACTGCTCGGAGCCTCGATGTTGATATGAGCGAATTATTTGCGACATTAACAACCCAGTGTTTGCGGCTGTCTCGCAACCCGGAAACTGTACTGTGAGTTGACCCTTCCGATCTCACTCCTGTGAACTGTGCACTCACTAAGAAAACACAGCCAAGAAGACACATCAGATTGGCTACTCACTGACAACGTCTCTTCGTGGCCTGGCAGCCCTGCCGACCGTGGGTGGCGGTACCTCCGTGTCGCGCTTGAGCGCCACGACAGCACACAGACGGACTACAAGTACAGTAAGACTGCTTTTGAGACAATTCTGTCGTCCGATAGGTCTTCGCCTCCACCTCCCTGGTTGGTCCATTCACTGGAAGTATGTGCCGCCTTTCATCAGCTTACGAATCACGAATGGGTGTGCTAACTGATGTGCAGGAAAACCATCACGAATATCTTATAAGAACGAGTCTCCGCTACGACATCATCGAGAGCGCACTAGAGCACTCGCTCTCACTCTTGCACAAGGTTCGTTCTTTCCCTTCTCTTACCTTGATTTCCTCAAGCAATCCTTCAGGCCAACACTGCGCTTTCGCGTGCACCCCAGAAAACCGCTAGTGTCACCTGGCTCCCATACACCCTGATCGACCAGGTGCTGGCCGCTTCTGCCCAAAACGACTTGACCACACGCGGACAAAGACTCCGCACCGAGTTGCAGACGGAGGTGAACAACCGTGTCAAACGAATGCAGAAAATGAGTCGCTTTGCGGTTTGATCATAGTGTGCATTGTTCTGTATATCTGACTGCCACCACGTGTACATACAACACGATGTGTCTGATAATGATTCACTGTTGCGGGCCCGTGACGCTGCGAGAGTCGACGTTTGGAACGAAAAATGGAGAATCGCGGTATCGCTGGATGCTGCAATACATTTATAATCGTGGCAAAGCCGTACGATCCCACCTGGCGAGCCTCATTACAGTGCGCAGACGAGCAACCTGGTCCTGAGGACAGGTATACAGTCGCCATCGATTTATTTTTCTTTTGATATATTACGGAGGCCTGAGTGGTAAATGAGGTGAAGAACAAGTGGTTCAATAGGATCATTCAAGACTTCCTCTGCCTCTTCCCACGGCCACCATCGTCACTCGGAGCTGCTCGTATCGCTCCTAGTACATCCTGTAGATCCTGATCCGATTTTTGCACAACTAATTTGTCAAAGCTACCGGTCGCACTGACGGCAGTTCGTTTGACTTTCGCTCCCAAACTCGCGTTGAAAACAGCGTCGATCTCGTCTTCAGGCCGGCTTCGTCGTTTCTTAGACGTCTTAGACGGATGAGAGACCTCGGCATCGTCAGAGTTTGGCCTCTGTACTATCGCAGAGGGCGCTGAGGGAAGAGCTGAGGGAGATGTGGTTTGTCCAGTGCTTGATTTGCTCTGTGATTGCAATTCTCTCCACTCATCTGGTCGTCGTTGTAGAAGATATAGATTGATGTTTCGAGCGAAGAATTTTCCGAAATAAGACGCTGTAAGAAATTGCTCGTGCACTACAAGAGAGCGCGCAATTTTCTCCTGAACAAACAATTTGTAAGATAAGTGCAACAGTGAACTGAACGACCTACTCTTAAATATGGATCGGCGAAAGCCCAACACCTATCACCCACTCTGCTTCCAATTCGGTCATCAACTAGCGTGTGGTAATGACCGATGAGGGATATGACAAGAGCGCGCTTCACTTTAAAAGGCACAGTTTCCGAGTCAAAGAGTACATCTATAACCCTAGAGCTTATCGGATTTTGAGATAATAAGATCAGATCTTCTGTGGGGAGGGTCTTGATGCTGTAATCGCTTACGTCAATGTTATCATTCGACTTAACGCCTAACCCACCTGTCGGTAACCATCATACAATGCGGTTCGTTGAGACGAAGCAAACTTTGCAGAATTAAGGCACCCTGAACTTTTGGTTCCTTTGAATCATCCACTTTTCCTTTTTTCGAGCTTTGCTGCGCATCCTCAGATATGTGTTTTGTAGGCCCTGTTGCTATGTATTCCTTTGAAATGTCCATGAGTTCGGTGTCATTATGAAGTAAAAAAAAATTAATCACCCGAAGAGGCTTTAGAACCAATACACATGACACAAGGTGACTACGATCTTTCGGTTGGACTAGCTCGAACGCATTGCACACAGCCTATCAAGATTGCCTTAATTCAGCAAACTTTAAGAATTGCTATGCCATACCTGGCAGATATCCTTTTCGTGAGCACGAAGCGTGCATGCTCTATCGATCATGGCGCGTAACACCCCAGTTCTTGCCGATCCTACGTCCATGCGAAGTGATAAAGAACGAATAAGCCAGATGGGTGATCATTACATACCAATGACCTTATTCCACGAGCTCTCAAGCTCCTCAAGAGCACCTTTCAACTGCGTGGGATTTAACCTCTCTGCAGCTTTAGCTACCACGAAGTTAGCTACAGGATGTGTAGCCAGCCTCGCAAGCTTCCCCCGGAAGTAGGTCGCCCAAAGTATCGTAAACGCGGGATCAGGACAACGGGAAACCATCGTTTCCAGCAAATGAGAGGAAGTTGGGTCTCGAAGAAGCGTGACAAGGTAGTCAGATGCCTCTAGTTGTTCGTCAGGGTTTCTGTCTGGCACCGTTCAATACGTGATCGAGATACCCCAGACAGCGTGTTGGGGAACTCACGACAAAGTGTGATAATCCCAACCAAGACATGATCCATGAGAGAATCGGGCAATGAAGATTCACCGCGATCGGCTTCAACTTCAAGGATAAGCTGCGAGGTCGATCAGTTCGCATCAGGTTGGATGTTGGATTTCATGTACCTGGAGTAATGGGCTGGCTACTTTATTGGCAGCCAATGCTCGGACCTCGTTGTCGCTGAGTTCGCTCTTTAAGACGCGCACAAACCTGATAGCAGCCTCGTGAAATTCGTTCGGTACCGCTCGAGTAGAATCAACACGATCGTAACTCTTATTGTCAGCGAATACAGACTTCATGGTACCCTGACGGGCTTTCCATGCGCTGCTTTTCTTCGACCGCATGTTCGACTGTGCTTTATGACTGGCGGCAGAACTCGTAGGCGATAACAAGAGCAGCAGAGCACGGAGAACATGCGAGGCAAAAGGGTCCACTACAAGGGACGTGAAGGCCGGTGTGAGTTCCTGTTGCACAGTTTATTGTGGCGCATGATTGCTAAGAAGATGTGACAAACCTCACATATGTCTAAGATGAGGCGTGTTAGAGTGCGCAGTTCACCCTTGTCCTTGGAATCGGCAACAGACGGATATATACCCTTAATCTTGCAACCAGTCAGGGCGAATACTGAAGGATCGGTGAGATAGGTATGCTTACTTCGCGCGACACGGTGTCTGCTGCTACTGTGAACAGTGTTTGACAGACGTGCGAAGCAAAACGATGTTTGACGAGTGCCTCGTATCTACAAATTACTTGACATTTGGATAGGCAAACTACGAAGAACTGCTCCCACTCACGAGCCGCTCAAACTATCCAAAAATACCCTTCGAACAAAGTCATCCATCGAGTATGCCATGCGTTCTAGAACAACAGAACAATCCGGGTCTGTGGCCAGTTGTTTCTCTTTTTCAGACATTTCACTAAGTGCGGCAACCAGGAATATCCGCTTTGCTAGATGCAAGCATTGTTAAACACTTTCTGTATCGTAGCTGCTATTCCAAACCTTCATTCGGATCGAGGTCCGCGGCTTGATCCTCCTCGTAGGGTCTCTCCTGCTGCCAAGTTCGAATTTGGTCGTCGACGGTTCTGAAGTACGCCTTTATGTCAGGGTCTACATAACCGAATGGTGCCTCCGGATGGGGCTCCTCCAATTCTTGTGCAGGGACTATCCATGACGGCCGATTGTGATGTTCAGCATTTTGGGTTGCTTGATTAGTTTCGCGGGAAGGCTGGCTAGGTTCCTGCGTTTTCTTATGCTTCTTCCCTCGTTTCCTGTTTTCGTTCGGCATGTCGACCAGTCAGATAGCTCAGAGAACATAAACAATTTCTTTCGAAAAATAAGCATGGGAAGGACCCCGGGATTCGAGAATATGTGCCGGATTTGGACTTATGTTGAGTCACTTGACCCCTGGCAGCAGTCACATTAATGATTCACTAGCACACTCACTCAGGCTGCAGGTAACAGGACCTCATAATACATGGCACCAGCATCGTGTTCTCTATGCCATGACGCAAAGGCAATTCTGAAACGCCCTAAAACAGGGCAGCAAATTTGCAAGAATTGCTTCTTCTTCGTCTTTGAGACCGAAGTCCATCATACAATCACAGAATCAGAGCTGTTCAAGCCAGGAGATCGAGTCGCAATCGGTGCTTCAGGCGGAAAAGGTAAGACTACTATTCAAATTGATCTGGCCTCTTATTTCTCTTGTGGCAGATTCGACCGTCCTCGCGTACGTCATGAAGACCTTGAACGAGCGGTACAATTATGGCCTCGATTTATTTCTTTTGTCTATCGATGAAGGGATCACAGGTTATAGAGATGACTCCTTAGAAGTGCGCTATTAAATGCGCTATATGGAAGGATGCTGCGTATTAATTAAACCTCATGCAGACAGTTAAACGGAATCAGCAGCAATATGACATGCCCCTAAAGATACTCTCATACGATGAACTCTATGGCTGGACTATGGATGCCATAGTTGAACAAATAGGAAAGAAAAACAACTGCACATTTTGTGGCGTCTTTCGCAGGCAGGCGCTTGACAGGGGTGCCGCTAGTTTGAAAGTTGATCATATCGTCACTGGGCACAACGCAGATGACATTGCGGAGACTGTCCTCATGAATAGTGCGTCCAACTTAATGTCTAAGGCAATGTATTGACCATTTCCCAGTTATGCGTGGCGATATTGCTCGACTTGGGCGGTGTACTTCAATATGTACCCAGGGAGAGGATACAATCAAACGATCCAAACCCTTCAAGTACGCTTATGAGAAGGAAATTGTCATGTGAGTACTGCGACAGGGATGGTTTTGTTCTGACTAGACTGATTTTGTAGGTACGCTTACTTCAAAAAACTAGATTATTTTTCAACAGAGTGTATATATTCACCCGACGCCTATCGAGGACATGCACGGACGTTTTTGAAAGATCTAGAAGCTGCTAGACCTAGTGCCATCATAGACATCATTCACTCTGGTGAAGCATTTGAAGTCAAGGAAGAAATAAAGGCAGCTCAAAAGGCCCAGCGTCGGTGACGTCATTTTCATATAGTCATAATACTGATTTGCCCGCAGAAACATGCAAAAGATGTGGGTACATGTCTAGTAATGATCTTTGCAAGGCATGTACGCTACTTGAGGGTTTGGAGAGAGGCATGGCGAACTCCGTCATAGTGAGTTCAGGCTATGCATTTGTTAAAATTACCGGGCATTTATTTTTGTCTAGACTGACCGTGCCCGCAAGAAGATGGACGCTATAGGTTCTGCACCGGATAACATACGAACGATTCCATTATTTCGTTCGACACCAACGATTATTGCAGTGGAGCTGCCATCGCAATCTTGAGTGGGCAGTAGTTGCATAATGAATACTATCACCATCACTAATATTAATAATCAACTCAACCATAACATATGTCGAAGAGGTGGGGTATAATTATCGACCAGATATATCTGGTGGACTCGTTAAGAATGTACTGGACGTCCCTCTGCCTCACAAAATGCTGTGAAAAGACGCTCGCAATGATCCAAGAGGTCATCGCACTGTTTGTTATGCTCTTTGGAACGCATCAGCTTCATCGTACCAACACGCTCTTTGCCCCATCTGTCACATTCTGAGACATAACGGAAGCCCACTTCAACCGTAGCTGTAGGGTCTGAATCGTCCAACTCTGTCGAGCTAACTGTGGGAAGGAAAGCCAACGGCACTAAGGAGAGATGCACAGCAGAGATGGCTGCCTTGAACGCGCTTATGAGGTGGTATGGAGATCCAAGAAAACGAGCCTAAGACGGTTGGAATTATCAGGAATGGACTGGCTACAACGGCACATAACTCACGAGATAGAAAGACAAGAACATGCACATTGATGAGAAAGTACCCAAAAGAGCGTTGGCGATGTTTGTGCCAGCCACACCGGGTAGTACTGTCAGGTGTCGCGTGGGCAACTTATCAGAGCCTTGGAGTGACGCCTGGTCCAGTTGATGGGCGATCAAATCTATCTGGAATTTTGAGCTTTCGTATGAATGTGCAGATTTGACCAACTGCCAGTCTGTAGGATCGTAATAAATTGGGCTTGATTCATGAGATGACATCCAAATCACACGGGCGCCAGTAGACGTTTGGTATTTTGCTAAGTGGGATTTCAGGGCTCGAAACTGGAGCAAATTAACACATAAGATAAATTCGAGGTCAACTACACGTACCAGGACATAGTGTCCAAAGACGTTGCATTGCCATACCCATCCTAACCCGTCTTGGCTGACTTGTCCAACTTCTTGCGTATAGTATATAGGAGCTGTCACGGCCTCCACACAGTCCATTGCGAATTGCTTGATAGCTAAAAGCCAATTGATGCTGACGAAAGAAGCGACTCCTGCATTACAGATGAGATGCGAGACATATGGGTACCTAGAGTGCCGTCAACTATTTGCACGTCGCCCACACTGAATACCCACGTTTTGATGACTTCGTCAGCGAATCGGAACACCGTTTGAATGCGCGACAAGTCTACGGTATGGACCACAATGGTTAGGTGTTTTCTAAAAGTCTCGGCATGTCCATCGTAGCCTGGAAGTATTTCAAGGTGACGAACTTGTTCGTCTGCAAATTGGTACAATTTGTCGCGAGCAGCCTCTCCTCGTTGTCTACTACGACAAGCAAGAATTAGAGTCAACCCATCGAAAGAGACGTCGTCGGTTGTTGTCGTTTTTTGGACGTGGAAATCATGATGAGGCTGGGCATCCGTTGGAGATTTGGATATCAGTTGGACAAGTAAGCGCTGGCAAATTCCTAACCCGACGCCACTGTGTATGTTTCAGTAGAGACCAAATTATGAGCGTCTTGATTCACCACACCTGTTAGCGCCTGTCACAACGATAACTGGCCACGACGAAGGGGATGACATCAGGAGAAAGAAAGACGTGTGTGAGACGCTGCGAGACGTTCCTCGTGTGATTAAAGTTACCGGTCACCTAGAATCCGGTGCGATCACAGTCCTACGTTACACCAGATCACGGCGAGCACCTCATTCTATTGATATCCAAAATATTGTATTTAAGAAGGCGGCAACGTGAGGCCCTAAGTGCGAAGGCTAGAAATCACAGCAGACTACAACTCTCATGCCACTCTGACAAACTACACCTCCGTCTTCTTTTTCTTCTTCTTTGGTGGATCACTGTCCACTTGAGAAGCTGCTGCAGCAGCTGCAGCCTTTTCCGCCTTGCGCGCCTTCTTTCTGGCTTTGCGTTCTGCTTCCGTCTCTCCGTCCTCCTGTAGTTCATTGGTTGAGTTGCGGAATTGAGAGTATAAAATTACCTACCTTAGGAGCTTCGGAACCATTGACCTCGCTTTCTCTTCTCTTCCGTTTCTTATCCTTGCTTTCCTTCTCCTCCTCGACGTCCATTTGGTCATCATCCGACTCCTCCTTCGCCCTCTTCTCTTTTTCGGCTTTCTTTTTACTATGTTTCTCCTCTTTCATCTTCCTCTTCTCCTCCTTCACGTCGAGAACAGCTTCCACGGCTAGCTCCAGAGGGTCACGTTGTGCTGGAACCAGGTCCACAGCATCTGCAGCCGTATTGTATGTCTTGGTCTGACCCGTCATCTCAAAGCGTTGCGGTTGTTGATTCTTATCTGTAAATCTTCGCACACCAGACAAATCGTTTTGATGTTCCAGGGCACGTAGGCGGGACTCCAATTTTGCGCGGTTTTCAAGTCCTATTGAAGGAGCAGTTTCTTCTGATTTTCCATCAGCGTCCGTCAATGCGTCGACACGGATCGAAAGTGCGGCTTTTGTGGCAACCATACGGGCCATCTCAATAATAACATGTCAACCTGACGAATTCTTTGTGGTTTTTAAAGTAGTGAGTTACCTTGCCCTTCAGTTTTGGGGGTGCTTGGCCAATGAGAGAGGCCTACACAATGTAAGCGCGTCGAACAATCGAGAACGATCAGTAACCCACATGATAGATGAGTCCATATTTTGGGGTATCGTGCTTGGTCTTGAGGGCACGGAAAAGAGCCTTTTCTGCACCGAGAATTTGCACTGTACTAGCTGGGTGCTTCGCTAGGCTCAATAAACTTCCAGCATGTGATATAAGTCGTGCTCCAACGAGGTCGCCGACTAATGCGGTAAGATTTGGTGCCACTGCGTTCATGCGATTCCGCAAGTACTCTGCAAGTTGCGCACGATATGCAGTTATGGATATGACCTGGTCACATAATGCATGTATATGCTGTATATCGGTGTCAGATATTTCGGTTCCCATGGATATTTCAGCAGCAGCTTTTAAAACGGCTTCGAGATCTTCTGGCAGTATGGTATCAAACGCTGTCGTAGCGGCATTCGTGCGGAAGCCTGGACCAAACAATATCAGCACCAAACGGTGAGTTGAGGAAGCACGCTAAACTTACCCATTGTCCGTACAACCTTAGCATAGGCAAGGTTATCAACAATGATCTTCCCCATTTCGGGAAAATGCCATCCATACCACTCCTAGACGCCAAATGAGACTTCAGTCATTGAGATTCGATGAACTCTCCTACCTTAACTCGCATGGAATATATATTGATCTCTTTATCGAGATCATCCAGTAGCGCAATAGCTTGCACAATCATTGTGTCGACTTTATTAGGAGAGAACTTGAGTTTAAATCTGCAGGAATATGTCGCAAACACCGCCTTTCACAGTTTGACTCCACAAACTTACCGCGAGAGCGAATGGCTGAGACCTAAGCTCATGGTAGCAAGATCTTTTGGGTCAAGGCCGTCAAGTAATGCGGCAATTTGACTTCGAATACCCCTCCATAAGTCACTATGTTCTTCTGGTGAGGGAGAAGTGACTTGGATGCTCAATTTTTTTGAGATGGAGTGGGCTTGTCACAAGTGTAAGATGACATGCATGATACTGACACAGATAACGCAACGCACCTAGTTTTGGGTCGACCACCACCAAGGTTTCTTTCCGCTTTGCTTTCTCCACTACCTGTTCAGTTAAGAATTTCTTCAGACCCTTCCCCAGTTTACCCTCTTGCACAGCAGTCAGATCTTCTACTGCGTTTGCAGTAGAAGTAAAACGGTGAAGCGCTTTCAGCTTCAACCTTGTCCATCAAGCCAGGTTGAGTAGTTTTCAGTGCATGAACATCTTGAACGTACAATTTTGTCGCCTTCTCTGGCGTTTCGAAACTTTTATACAGATCTGCTGACTCGAGCTTGGCCGAGTCCGACAGTTTGAACAGGCAATAGCCCATCGCTGTCTCGTACAACACCAGCATTTTGAAAGAGTGGAATATAACCAGAACCAATCGCAAATCTTTGCTGCAAAGCTCAATAAGAAAAACTAAAGTGTATACTTACACTCCACGGCATTTGCCGGACCGCATTGGGAAACAGTGTCACATCGTGTCACGCTGCCGAGAAACTGTTGAGTATTTACTGTCAGTCTCTGTCAGTGCATGTCAGGTGCTTGATTCACATGTGCAACTTCCTTCTTACTATTGCCGTCGGAGTAGTCTCGGTTCCAGATATTTAAATACCGTCCGAAATCGAGACTACTTCGCTGCATTCAGGACATCAATCAGACATGCTTATCAGGCCACTGGTGACTCTACTTGCCCTAGCTGTCGGCATTGGTGCTCACAAGCAGACGATTTTCACGGATGATAAGCTCCACAACGAAACAGTTTACAATGCCCTTCCGATTGCGCCAGAAAACCTGGTCTCTCTTACTGTGGACTCTTTCACAACATTGTCTCATGCCCGCTTTCCTCACCATGCTGTTCGCATCAAAAAGTCAGACTTTTGCGACCCCACTGTTTCGTGAGTGCTTTGACTTGCATGAGGTATGAGTGGAAAAGATTTATTTGAACGTTTGTTTAGTGTGTACACCGGTTATCTTGATGTCGATCAGGGAGCAAAGCACTTGTTTTTCTACTTCTTTGAGAGCCGCAGAAACCCGGAAACTGGTGCATAGTTTGTTGTTTTGGCGTCCTGCATTTTAAATCAATGGTATTCTTTAGATGATGTCATGATGTGGATCAATGGAGGTGGGATGTGCCGTGTCGCTAGGTCCTTTCCTTCCTTCATTACAACTCACAGGTCCTGGGAGTTCTTCCGCGCTTGGCTTGTTATTTGAACTTGGTGCGGGCATCACTCTATATGACGTGATCTATTCAAACAGTTTGAACCCTAGGGCCATGTAGCATCGACGTCAACGGCTCATCCGCAAATGGAACCAGATGGAACCCATACTCATGGAATCAAGAAGCCAATATTTTCTTCCTGGACCAGCCGTAAGCTCATGCGTCAGATCATCTATGTTTATTATTGATGTTGTGGACGTAGAGTTGGGGTAGGCTACTCATACGCCGACTTTGGTGAAACGGTTTGAAACGACGGAGGATGCTGCTCAGAATGTGCATGCGTTCATCACAATTTTCTTCGAGGTTTTCAAACAATTTGAGGGTAGACCATTGCATCTTTCTGGTGAATCATACGGCGTAAGTAACATTTCCACGATCTTGTATGATTCTGATAATGTTGGATTTAAGGGGCGGTATCTTCCTATCTTTGCCAGCGAAATTTATGATCAGAATGAAATCGCAAAGGCAGAGGGACGACCGACCATTAACCTTCAAAGCGTCCTGATCGGGAATGGTATCACTGATATCTCAACGTGAGCAAATGACTTTCTTGTAGTTTCGACAGTTCTCATGAATCCTAGTTTATACCAAGGGCGTTATGAGATTGAATGCGGCACTGCTGCCCTAGAAATACCATTTCAACAAATCAGTTCTTGTGTGCGTATGAAGTCGGCGGTGGGTACTTATCCTAATTCGTCGTCCCTCCGTTTTTCGATGACGCATCTCACAGTTACCTCGGTGTCAAGCCTTCATGCGTGATGGCTGCATCGACCAATTTGATCACATGAATTGCGGGGCCGCTGTTGCCTTTTGCGATGCACAGCTTAGCACTGCAATGTGGGCAAGTGGTCAGTTGAACCAAGACTCGCTGGAAATCGTCACTGAATTACTATTACTTTTGGATGTAAGGTCGGAATGTGTTCGATATCTCAATGGTCAGTAGTTCCTTGAAATAACATGACTTAGCTTACTTACATTGCTCACGATTGAGACCTGTGAAAATCAAGAACCGTGCTATGCAGAAAACGCCATTATCCGAGATTTCCTTGATGCGCCAGGGACACGGAAGATTCTTGGTGCTGAAAGCCCCGGTAATTTTTCTCTCTCCTCTGGTGTTGTCGGGCGAAACTTTGTCTCTCACCTCGATAAGTGGGGACACCATACCCAGGACTACGTTGCAGCCCTCCTGGAGAGGAACATTAGAGTGTTGATTTATGCTGGTACTTATGACTGGCAGTGCAATTGGATTGCAAACAAGCTGTGGGTGGATAAATTAGATTGGACGGGACGTTCTGCATACGTGAACGAGAGCTGGAAGTCTTGGTACGTCGATGGAGAAAAAGCGGGTGAAACCAAGAATGCTGGCCCCCTAACATTTGCTACGGTGCTGGGTGCCGGCCATATGATGAGTCCTTTATTGCTCTGGCTCCGCCCTTCAGCTGACCCTTTCATACGTCCCTCATGACAAACCTGCAGAAGCACAGGCTCTAGTTTCCAGATGGCTCGCCAATCAAGCCATCTGCGGTGTCAAAGACATGCACACTGACACAGCCAACACAGCCGCTCAATAGCTGAGCGTCGCTATTTTAGTACCAGGAGATCAGGTGGAGGAAGCGTCGCGAAGAAGATCTGTTCTTGTGTCTTAGCTAATCTAATTTGAAATTTGAAGTGTTTTTTTTAACGGTAACTATGGATAATGATCATCGCGACAACGCAGCCAAGACGCAGTTGTCAAAATGTCAGGCCCAATCAGGTCCTCTCCCTGCAACAACAGTGCATTGTAAACACAGCCAATCATCAGCTGTGCTTAAGATAAAAACAACATTCATCGCGATGGCGTATCGGTGCTGCCCACCTCTTCTGCAACCTCTATTCATTGTTTGTGGGCTTTCCCTAGAGGTATGTCTGCCGCATGGATTCGAATGAACATAGCTCACGAATTGTTGCGCTATCCAGGATCCCCTATTCTATCTTAACTTGGGTTGCACAGGTGCACCTGACCCTTTTCCTTCATATCTTTTCTTGCGCCTTTCCGTTCTCGTAGAACTTTCATTTAGCTATGGCTTTCACTTTACTATACTCGCTCTGCGGCGCTGGCTTCGCCTTACTTCAGCTGCTAGCTCCAGTCACAGCACGTCCAATAGCACGATCTACGAGCTCTTCCACATTAGTGGCCCTTCGTGAGTATTTCTATATTGTTCTAGAACAAGCCCTCATGATAGAACAGAGTTCGCCAACGTGCTGGAGCAGCTGGAGTCCACTTTTTATGCGCAGGCCCTTCAAAAGTTCAATCAGTCAGATTTCACGGCAGCAGGCTTTGCTTCGGCTCAGGTTCCCTTGCAACAGTTTCAGGCCATCTTCCAAGATGAGTCTACACACACAACTACATTACAGGTGTGTCAAATCATATGTGACATCCTTGAGTATGACGTTGACACCCATTCAGTCGGCTATTAATGCATTGGGCGGCCAAACGATATCAAATTGTACATTCAATGTTACTTCCTTGCTCACCGATGTACCCACTATGGTGGCAGCAGCGAGACTCGTGGAAAATGTTGGTGTGAGCGCCTACCTTGGTGCTCTGACCTTGATCAACGACACGGTCCTCTCCACCGCAGCTGCCACCATTATGACGGTTGAAGCGCGTCACCAAACCATTCTTAATGTGCTGGCAGGGGCCACGGCGATCCCTCAGGCGTTTGATGTCGCTTTGAATCCATCTGAGGTTCTTGCATTGACAGGGGGGTTAATTTCTGGATGCAACCTCGGAATTCCAGGTACGTACCTGTGTAATTGATTGTCCTCTCGTTTACCTTGAAGCACCCTCGCTTAGCGAATGTTCCGCTCAAAGTGAATAATTCTGGTCCCATTCAAGCAGGAACGAAGTTGGACTTCACTTCTGCTGCACTGGACGGAACTATTCCGGTACAGGTCTGTCCATATTCGTTGGTTTGTCGCGCAACAACTTACACGTTACTTACGCCAGAACCTGTCCTGTCAATTCCTCGCCGGCGGCTTGCCTGTTGCCATCTCACAGCCACTATCTAACTGCAGCGTCCCGGCGAACGTTACTGGTTCTATGTTGGTGTTCGTGACTAACAGTAGTCAGCCCTTCGCGAATAACATCCGCGATGCCGCGACCGGCACCATCGTCGCAGGTCCAACCATGATCTTCATCGACAATCAACAGGATGCGCTGGCGATTGCAGCACGTCCTGGTCTCAACTCTACTGTGACCACCAGTGACACCTCAAGCGCTACAACGTCTTTTGCAGCGCCAACGACAGTCACTTTGACTCCAGCCACTCCGAGCACAGTTGCGAGTGGTACCGTCACTTCATCCGTGACGTCTACTTCTCAGACTATGGCTCCTACCACAGTCACCAATAATTGGACGGCTGTGACCAGAACGATCTCGCCATCTGAAGTTAGTAGTATTCTCGCGAGTGCCGTGACATCTATGGGTTCGGGATAAAGGTCGAGAATTAATACGGGCTACGAGATGTTGGATCGAATTATATTGCACAGATAACTATAGTACATCAGAACTGATCTGGTGACTTTAAGGGGAATATTGAGAGAGGAGGACGATATTCGTAGGGCATGAGTTGTACAACGATATAACGTACTGCAAGGAATGCACTTAATCTTCATCACTATCCTCGCTGGATGATGTATCGTCTTCATCCGCACTGAGTTGACCGCCTGCGAATTGATTGAGTGACATGGGTCGTCCAGAGACATTTGCCACTGGTTCAAGATCTGGAGACATTGCTGCCATCAATATATCATCGTCAGATTCTTCTTCGAGTTCTGCTTCCATCTCTCGCCCGAAGGCATCAAGATCTATCTCTTCTTCCACCGGATCATTGTGGGTGACTTCATCCCAGTCTTCTTCAGAGTCTGATTCTGCTGCTGTAGGCTTTGTTGGAAGAGCAGGAGGTATGAAAGAGGGCGTTGTTCCTGGCAAGGCTAGTGCGGTTGAGACAGACGGCTTTGGACGTTTTGAAGGGCGAGCGGGGCGACCAAAATCAAGAACCTCTTCCAAGTCGGAATCTTCTCTATACGGATTGGTTTCTCTCTTCGCCTTCGGCACTTCCTTGGGTTTGGGTTTTGGCTTCGGTTCGGACTCGTGCTTTTTTGGAGGTGGAGCGACGGGGCGAGACGCTTTAGGTTTTGGAGGTGGCGGAGGTGGCGAAGGAACTTTGCGATGAGGCATCTCGATCTCCTCTCCCTCCTCTTCCTCTTCCTCCTCTTGCCTTGGTACCGTGACCTTCGCCAAAATGTCATCGATGTCATCTACGGCCTCACCATCAGCATCTGAGAGCCCTAAAAGATCACGTTCTAGCTCTTTATCCGAATCTACCGCGTCTTTAAGCTGTGCTGCAGGAGGAGTTGTTGCAGAGGCTGGAAGTCACCGAGTATGAATGACGATGCCCGATCAAGCACTAGGTAGACAACTTACGAGACTTTCGTGTAAAGCTGGAGCTCGAAGAAGAGACTTTCTTGTCGTATGTAAAGCCCATGAAGCACTCTACCTTTTCAAGAGTGAATGTCTGGAGTAGTGTCACAAGCTAGATCCAACAAAACACAAGAGAACGGTTACTCACTCCCAGTTCCTCATCATAAATTAGGACACAATCATACTCCTTCACCGGCTGTTCACTCCCTTTGAAGAGATGGTTCTCACCCGCCTAGCAAAATTATTAAAAGGAAGCTCTGAAAGCTGAGTACAACACATGCGCCATACCTGTGTGCTAGGGCGTTCTAAAGTGACGCTGGTTGAGTCTTTCCCGCGTTTGACTTCGACCGTTCCGGACCTACTTGGTTCTATTGACTCTGGCTTGAAATTATCTGCCCCGTGTCTTTCAGCACGCTCAGAAACTGACAATAAAAGGCTGCGTACACCTGAAGGAGTAGAAATCCTTGTCGGGGAGATTAGAGCGCTTCGGTGGAGCTACGCCCTTGCGAGCTTTGAGTGCGCGCCTCAGTGAGGTTCCTATTGCTACAGAGTGTCGGCCTGTTGTGGGCATCCATTGGGTATCTGTAGTCGCCATCGCGTGTCGAGGCTTGACTAGGAGGCGAACGGAAAGACTTGTATCAACAATAATAATTTGCAATGCTGAGCGCTGAAGTAAGCTTCAAGGGCAGTGTTCATTGTTTCCTTGTTGTTTCCCGCGTTGTGGACAGGATTGAAGTTCGATTCAGGTAGACCTTTCAAACCAATTGGTATTTACACTGTCAGAAATACAACATACTACCCTATGGCATATGTCTCAACTCGATCGCAAGCTCGGATCAATCATATGTTGCTAACGACCGGATGCTTAAATTGAATATTTCGGATCACATGCTTGAATCATTGACAATTTGACAGCCATGTCCTTGTGTAATCGAGGAGTGTCGAAGAGCTGCCTCAAGACCATACGACTAGCTGGCCACACCTGCAAGCTGACACTTCATACTCTAACGTTTTCAATGCTCCACTTGGCAACTGTTATCATGGTCATCAGCGAGGAACCGATGCATCGCAGCCCTTGCTCTGACTGCTGTTGTAGCCGACGTGATTCACGCCGATGCCTTTGATGTGACACGTTGATGTCGCCACATTGGTTGAAACTTGAAACGCTCGAGAAAGGTTGGGTGTCCCCTAGCTCGTCTATCGATGCTTCACATAAAATTTGCCAGACAACACGACAAGGGACACGGAGGAACAAGGATGGGCAGAATGAGTGGTGGGGCAAGAATCGGGGGGCACCGAGATATCAAGGGACTCTGAATGAAATGTAGGTGAGTGAGACTCAGAGCACTTGCTAAACCGCTGTCACATCATGATACGCTAGTACTACACTAAGCGCTGACACTAAGTTTCGAATGGCCTTCATGTCAATAAAGTAATCATTACGCATCATGGGCAACACGTTTATCTCGTCAAGAGCACCTGCAGTGATGCCGTGAAAGGTCATTTCTGAGGTATGTATGCCAGTTTTACTAACTTACATAATTGGTGCGCCCGTGCACCGCGCCGACAAGCCTCAGGCGCTATCATGATGACCAGTTGGGGCCAACCAAGTGAGGGTCGTGGAATACTAGACCCCTCAAATTACATGAGTTCCTCCTTTGCGAATGATTGTTGGAGGCTGAGGCTATCATAGATTCATGCTTAAATGCCATGATGAATCCCCGTGCCTCCACCGAAAACTGTGGTATACAGCACAAAATGCGACTCGTGTTTCTCATCTTGTGAGTTGCCCAATTTGCCATTGATCTCACTTTGTGCCAGCATAATTTACTTATTGGCGATTCTTTTCATAGACCTGGGATTTGTACATAGGCCATCCCAATAGGCTAATGATAGCTAATGATGGGAAGACCATGATGGTATACGAATTTCCGAAGCAGTATTCCATCATCCTTCTAGCACCGCGTGAGGCTATTTTCATCATATTTGAAAGGTATGCTCCCACTTACATACTTATCTGCGCAGGAGCTATACAGTCCGAATCACATAACAGATCTAGATCTGTGCCATTCACTGGTCTCGTGTCCTCTTGTGGCTGCAGGATATATAGTACGGCGCAAACGTTGCTTTACTTGGAATGAGCTCAAGCCTCAGTCAACATTAATGTCTTCCTCAACGCAGGACCTCATCCCACAACTTTACCTCGGGAACACATTTGGAGCACTGTTTATTGGGGTCGTATTTGCAGCAATGTTAGTAACCTACCTGCTCGCAAAGCCTAGGGTCCATCGGGTCTTGTCGTCCTAACATATTTCACGGAGCAGTCTCTTTGGTCTAAGTAACATTCAAGCTTTTTTCTACTTTCAGACGCACAGGGGCACAGGGATATCGTTCCCTAAGATAGTCGTACGTTGATGCTTCCTTCTCTCAGCTCAGTTGTTGATGCTACATTAGGTTGCCTTGCTTTGGTATGTATACTCTTTAGTTGCCATTGTCGAGCGCAGCGAGTTTATGCCCTTTCCTGAAATTTCAGGATACTCGATGCTCTGCACCTGTGTTTGATAGTCCACTGCGTCTATCATTATTTAGTGGCCCACTACGCGGACATCAGTGCACTCACAGAAATTGTGTGGAGTTTCAAAGTGAGTTTTGTTGGGGCCTCCGCGCGGCCTCTACTATGATACTGACGGACTCACGCAGCTTCAAATAGTCATCGATGTAGGTGGTTCCTTTTATGCACTGCAATCCGCCCACGCATCCATTGCAGGTTATAATTGTCTACGGGGTACATCTGTAAGTTAGAAGTGTACTGTTATCTACGACTTGAAGGATTCAAGTGATGCTTTTATTGGTTCGCAGTCTGTACTTCCATCGCATATGGATAGGCATGTGTTTCCCTATCGGGTTAATGGGTTCCTACGGCTGATGCAATGTACCAGTCGGAAAGGGCCGATCAAGAGCCCTCCCTATAGTAGTGGTGGGTTTAAATCGATGATCATGTATTATGGCATGGGTTTTGATGATGCAATATCAGGGCGTTATCGTGACTTCGGGTTCAGGTGAGTTTGTCGTTTGGTGTTCCTCTTCGCTCGGTCTTCAAATTTTCTTCAGGTGTTGCCATCGGTGAGAGTTCAAAAACTCGGTATTTTTGTGGTCGGCTCATCATTGTAATCCAATGATAGCCCTTATTTGGGCCATGTGAGTGAAACAACGTGCTGCCTGACTTACCGAATTGCTGATAGCGAGTAGCTATCAGTGTCATGTGTTCTCAGATCTGATTAACATCGAGTGGGCGACATTTATGGCCTTGGGCACAATTACTTTCGTCGATTTCGTTATCGCATCATCGCTATGCTATCTCCTCGCTACTTCCCGTACTGGATTCTCTAGGTAAGGAGCGGTCTGTTGATGTGGAGGGATCTGATATACCAACATGAAGTACTTAGCACCGATTCCATGATAACAAAGCTCATGGCTTACATTATCAACACGGGCTGTCTGACGAGGTATTTCTCCTTCCAGACTAGTCCACATCTTGACTTATATTTCATGTAGCGTGTGTTCAATGACAGCTATTATTACAGTAAGCTGCCGATGATTGTATTGTCCATCTCGTCTCTGAGGTCCCTATAGTGCGCAGTGATGCCGCACAACTTCATCTTCCTTGGCGTTGAATTTTTAGTGGCTAAATGTATGACCCAAAGTGTTCTCAAAATGTTGTACTGACCACTGGTTCCTTTTCAGTATACGTCAACTCATTCTTCGCACTCCTGAACGCACGACACTACTTGCAGCCTGCCGCAGAAACTAATCGTTCTTCTGAAGCACACATGCGCCACGGTGTCTACCGCCCAGAGCTGAACGTTACGGCATCCCAAGACGAGGAACCCCAGGGATCCCGGAAAAATATGTTTAAACATCCTGACGATGATGTGGCGCATCTTACTCGATCTGCCACGGTTAGTAGCTGCGTTACTGGCGATGGAAGAGTACTGATTGTTACGCTTTAGCCACATCGGCCCATCGAGGTGACGGTAGAGATGGACTCCTACTCATCAGTGTGATGCATCAGTACTAGTATGCATGTATCATGTATCGTCCGCCTCTTCGCGAGATAGGACTTGTGAGTCTTTATGAGATTATCGCACAGCCAGTGTGGGGACAAGAATCTACACAGTCCATTATGCCTCTATCGTGTGTTTCATGCGCTTGGAATCAACGAGACTCTCGTACACAGACCACTAGTGGACTCCACTCCAATGGACAAACTTCCTCCATTAACGTGGGAGTCTTTGTGTGATTGAATACATCGATGAAGAGCATACATCTAGTTGTACCTGCAAGATGCTTCATACTCTGATATCCTCAATACTCCACTTGGCACGAAGGCCCACTGTATAGTCATCATAGTCACCAGCGAGGAACCGATGCATCGAAGCCCATGCAATCATCGCTGCATTGTCTGTATTGAATTTCAAACCCTGTGAATCGATCGGCATATTGAAACACTGACCTGTACATAATTCCAGCGGGGGGAAATGGAGCGATATGTGCTCATCAGAGCTGTACTCATCCAGTGCTGCTCGGAGCCTACGGAAGTTGAGCACGAGAAACAAAACCGAGCTTTAGAAACTTACCTTTCGCGTAAAAAGATGTTGCTGGCGACCCCGCCGCTAACGACGACATCCCTGACATTCAAGCCTTTCAGCTCGAGATTTTGAAGGCTCAATGTAAGCTTAGCACAGAGTTGACGGGCCGCAGCTGTCTGGAATGCACGAGCCAAGGCAATTTTATGTGAACTAGATAGAGGTTCGTCCATGAGAGAAATGTGGCGGTCTACTGAAGATTGCAGGGATGCAAAGGAAAAGGCAAGTTTTCCCGGCATCGGCACAGTGAACGGATGAATGTCGGGTAGGGATTCCAGTTCATCGTTTGGCATACGGCAGAGCTCCTCGAGTGCTGCGCCAGGGCCTCTGGTTCCCCAGGACAGGCCAAGTGCTCGGGCTACCTTGTCAAACGCACGTCCAATACTCGCGTCTGCTGTCGTTGCAAGGATCTGGAATGAGGTAAGGGATGAAGCCAAAAGTAGAAGCGTATGGCCTCCAGAAATGAGCAGTGTCAGGAAAGGAAACTGCGGGAGATCCGTGGTTGGAGTCGTGAGCAGGGGGGTCAAGGCGTGTGCTTGCTGAAATTAAATGGATGAGCAGTGCTGAAAAGCAAGATTATGTGTGCGAACGAACCATATGGTGAACACCAACAAGAGGCTTACCGAGGGCGGCGGCGAGGGACTTTGCGGCATTCGAGCCCACACTAAGGCAGCCTCCAATTCCTACAAACAACTTATAGGTGAGGAACGTTTGCTGCAGATTAAAGGGAATGTCTAGATACCTGGACCTCGCGTAAATGCAATCCCGTCGACATCGTGAATTCTAATATGCGCCTGTTCGAGAGCCATTCTGACAGCGCCCGGCTAAAGACTTAAGTCAAAGCAAACGATTCGAGAGAAAATAACGCATTCACCATGTTACGCTGGTGTGCTTCAATAGCTACAGACGGATGAATGCCGCCGAAACCTTCGTGGCTGATTGATTTGGGGTCAAACATACATACACTACACAGAAGGGGCTCACAGATCGTACTGCTTCACAACAACGTTTGAAAGTATTTGACGTGAGGATGTCACGACGGCTGCGCAGGTGTCATCCGCTGAGCTCTCGAAGCCGAGAACAGTAAACGCGCGCCTTCCCGTATGCGCTCGGAACGTCCTATGCGCTAACGAAACTTTTTTAGTATTGAGTGACAAACAATATGAGGACTTACCAGTACGAGGTACATCCCTCAGTGCTCGAAGTAGTAAGACATTCTGTCTGCGAAGCCCACTTTCGAGAATGGGCATGAAAAGTGGTGTTGAGAGCGTCGGAAGCGTCGTCGGTTTGCTGCTGTTTGTTTGCGTCGGTCGAGGTCGTGGGCCATGTCTAGATTTGTGTTAGTACTATGGATTCTTTGCTTTTGGCTCTCTTCATGATCTCAGTGACAATGCGCCCAGCAACGTTTAACGCGTCGAGGCACTTGTTTATATCATGTCAACGCATACCTCCATCCATTATCACGTTGAGATGCGCCCGCCGCGCTCCCAGTCCTTGCTCGCCGTGCTAATAGTTCTAGAGTGCCTAGTGTGAGTTGACTCTCGAATGGGGTCTTCATCAGGTCTCGACCTAAATACTTCATCGTTATCACATACATTATCTCCCCCCACGCCCCCAACCCAGACTTCAACTCCAGATACTTCACAAATGCTCATTCCGCCAGCATCCGACCCCATTCTTCGTTTCCTCCCATCTTCCCTGCTTAACCATGGAAGCGTGCAAGGGCAGAGTGTATCGTTACCCGTGCCCTCATTTATATTCATGCTCTTACTCGCGCGCTGCTGCTGCCTATCTGCCATGCTCTCATCACCGCTTCCCCCGCTATCAAGTGCGTATCACAGAAGCACTCAGGAAAGAATGTTGTGAGACCTGCTGCGCTCACAGAAAACAGTGCATAAGTGCGGGTGTTTATACTGTATTGGCCGTCAGCAAAAAAAGAGTGGGAAGACGTAGAAGAACGTTTAGCACGAGAGACTATTGCTATTGTTAACGGAGACAGCAAAACTATTACTGACAAAGAGCTGGCACACAAGCAAGCTATGGTCAATAAGTATGTGCAACGTTGACTCTCATTGACGCATTGCGCAGGGGCAACGCGCTTGTAAAGTGACGATCACTATTTTCCGTACCTCTAACTTGGTACCGGGCAGAAGCGCTCTCCGGTGTGGTTCCTTATGCGCTTTTTTGCTAATCTTGATGCCCTTGGCAAAATTGTGGAGCTCTTCACACACTTGTTGATGAACGGAAGTTCCATGGTGGGTCGAGATTGGTTAAATGTTTCGTGTTGCTAAATGTCAACGCAGCTCTCATAGGGTCCTCACTCAACCAGCACATGATTTGTCCTCACTGCGTAAATCTTGTCTGCTTCTCTATCGAATGTCGCGTCCAAAACCAAGTTCTGACTAGGTGTAATGCCCCAACCCGTTACCAACGATGAGCGCTTTTTCTTTGACAATGGGACCACATTCAGTTTCCCAACATCGGCACTGTCTTCAGCGATCGTGCAATGGTCGTGGAGGAAAGCCAAGCGATAAGGAGATACACGTGTCGGGGATCCTGTATTACTAGCTGCTCTTTGGAGCTCATTGCATGCCAGTGGTCGCGAAGCCTGGCCCATGCAAGTTTGCAAATCATCCAAGCAAGAGTTGGGTGAGGCCACAGACTAGGTATTGATGAGCCAGCAGAGGCGAGCAATCGGCCGCGGTTATCAGTGGACTGGCATGTGGATGACATTGGGGTAATAGCTCCCTATGATGTTGTCCTAGTCAGCTTGACGGCCCAGTCTTATACTTCAGACTATTCGAACGTTCCGCCCTGACTTCAGACTATTCGAACGTTCCGCCCTGACTTAAGTGAGTACCATAACCTATGATTCAAGTGTTTACCAGGTGTTCAGTAGAAATATTCGGACTCTAATGAGCATTCTCCGAAATGCCTGTGCTCGCCGCTCCCCCACTGAGGTGGAATGAAACCTTCTTGAAAACCATCGTCTTCCGACTCTCCGAGCTAAGTTAGTATTGTGGGAATTATAGGTGGCTTTTCATGTAGCACAGACTGCGCAGTTATCAATATTAATCTCAATTTGATCATATCGTGAGCCTATAGTACTATTTATTTCTTGATCTTGGCCTGATAACTATGTGTACGAGAGTGTCCCTGAACTATCCCAAAAGCATCGCTCTGATGCGCCAGTGTCTCTCAAGACGAGTCCAAACGTAGATCTGGCAAAAGCCAGTATCATATCCTTGCTCATTTCAAGGTCGGAAGAGCACATATATGGCAAGAGGTGACCCTAAATTTTGATTCACCTCGGATCCGGACAAGTGATGAGTATTACACAACCACTGCTTAGCACCGCTCCTGCATCACTCTCTACTGGCTTGGCCTGTTTTAATGCCTATAGCCTGATAAATACGGTGTCATGCCACGGTGTTTCCATCACGAAGTCATATCATATACCAGAGGCTATGGTCATAAGCGAAATATATTTAATCTGCGTGTCCATAATGCGCACATGCACTGTTCGTTCTCCGTTCCAATAGGTTTATTTGATTCTGGCACCCCCAGAACGATACCTTCTCAGTCTCTCAATACGAATACTGAGGTGAGTTTCAGCATTTACTACCGATACATAGTTTCATTCTAACTACCTACATAGTCCTCCTTTCGTTTCTAGGTATGCACTGCCGTCATACAAGTCTCTCAATCCGAAGGCTGAGTTATTTTTTCGTTTCTAGTCCGAGGCTCTCTTCATTTGAGACTGTCCTTCCTGTCTCTGCCTCCCATGGCAGCTTCTTCCAAATCGACAGATGAAAGTTCGCATCCACATGACGCACTCCCGAATGACCAGGACTTTGACTGGATGATATCTGATGCGAAGTTCACTGCTGATACTACGACCGATTTCTACGACCGCAGTCTGACGAGTCGCAGATATGCCCTTGTCGGAGTGGCATGCTCAAGTATCTTCAGCTGCTTGTGCATCATTGCAGGCAGTGTCACTTTAGCCAATCGTGGATTTACCGGTGCAGCCGTGGTCATTCCTGATATAAACAATACTCAGTTCCCCGTGCAGGAGATGTTCACCCTGACACTTAACTTAATCGTCACGTTGTGCACCGAGTCCATCGGCTTCGTACACAGCATCTCATTGCGCTCTGCGCTAGCCTCAGAGTCTCGACTTCGTTTCAACACCAATCTGCGCCTTCTGACTGCGACTCGTGGATGGTATAACCCTAACGGCGCCCTGATTAATGGTGTCTCGGCTGTCCTCCTCATTATATCCTATAGCTCGGCCTCACTCGTCGTATGTGTAGACTTGATTCAAGTTCAAATAACGCCGCAAACATTTGAGGAGGGTATTGCCTTCGCAGGGATGCCTCTCCTCGTTTTGGGCGTCGCACTCCTCCTCCAGGTGATGATCACATTGTCAGCGATGCGGGCTGTCAAAATATCGACGTGGAGCTCCTCACCTTTCGACTTGACTGCCGCACTGGTCTACCACACGCAATTGACCCCTGCTACTTTGCAATGCATGCGTTGCGTGTCTAACCTAGACACGTATGGAGGTCCAGCGAAGCCATCAGAGATACAGCCCTCTGCGTGGAATGCTCACCCTAGCATCCGGAAAGTTGTGATTTCTCTTTGGGTGATCGTTGCAGCATGCGCTGGATGGGCCGCACTCGTCATGTATGTCTGGGACAAGTACGCCGACAGCAATATTTTAATGTCCCCCGATGCGCTGACCACACAAACGTGGTCTTTCTTGTCTACGATGCAGGTGTCCAAGAGGCTACCTAATTACATCATGTATATTATACCGGGTGCCAATCTTGAGGTGTGGATTCTGCTCTTTGTCAATATGGCAGTTATCCAGGGACCGTTGACACTTGGGCTGCATTGCTCTGAGCTTATCGCGAATGTCATTCGAGACGAAAGACAGTGGAGATGCGCTACCGGAAGGAAAGGACTTAGGACGGTGACGAACCCGGTGAAGACAATTTTCACTCATCCGACCTGTCTTGTACTTTTCGTTGCAAAACCTTTCCTGCGTGAGTCATTTACGTCTAGTGTCTTTTATAGGTGTTATTGAACACCATACTCGACGGCCGCAGACTGGATGTTCGGGCTTTCATTCACCATAGATCACTCCGCCACTGATGGGAAACTAGGCCTGGTGTTTGTATTCATGTTCACTGCCCAGGTTCGCACTTATTGCCCTTGTAAAACTACTACGGCAACCTCACCCCCTCGTGCAGATCTGGAACTTATGCATAGCACTGTTTACATTTGCCTGTTTCTTCACGTTCGTCGCCCTGCGCCGACCGCGTGGTCCCCAGCCGGCTGCATATGGCCATGTCCAGACGCTCGCCAACCTCGTGGATGAGTGGTCCCCTGTAATGTGGTGGGGACACAAGGAGGACGGAATTCCGTACTGTCATGCTGGTAAAGTACTCATGTACTCACAATACTACTGCTTTGACACTTTTTGAAAAGGGACGAGCGATCACCCGCTGCCGGATGTGAAGATGGACTGCGTTTATGCTGGTTCTGGTGCTGGGTCTCTGGTACCCCTTTCGTGAGAGGTAGTTGCTTTACTTTTTCAAGGCGCATTTCTTGATTTCCCTTTTTAAACAGAACTATGTCCACGTTAGGCGGGCGATGCATTGACGGGCACACAACCAGCCATGCCGTTGAATGATACACGTACAATTTTTATCCTGCTTGCTACGTTGTAGGTAGTTCGTCTTAATATTGCTCCAGCTCGGACTTTGTAACACCATGATGGATGGATGGACAACTCGATATGAGCTGCAGAGGATGCGTTAAGTTGGAATATGAATGGGAAGCGTATAGGTGAGCTGTGAATATGGCCGACATTAAAGAGTCAGAGTCTCGGTAGGACAGTATGTATATAGTACATACTACATGTTAATTTGGGGTAGGACCTGCGGTCGGTAGTGACTGACAAACAAATCGCCACGAACTACCTGAAATCTGAGCATTGATATCAACTGCATGAAAGATAGTCTTGACCTGAAGTAGAGGACCATGACATACCCTTTATTTAAACGTGCATGAAAACGAGACTGCGAATTGTCTGTGAAACGGTCATAATCTCCTCAAAATCTTCTACAAATAGACTCGAAATCAACATCAATATCCATCGTTTTGTTGTTGCAGAGTGCGCTTGTCGAGTCCAAAAGCGACTTGCCAGGTTCAATACTACACACATAACACCAACTCACTGCGCAACGGGAACAGATCTGATACGAAGAAGTCATTGTCAAACGGCCATATGGATACATATCAAGATTTTTTATATGCGCTCTACATATGGTGTCAAATAAGTGTAAGGATTGACATAAAATTCATCAGCAAGCTCACTCGCACAAGACATCTACCTTGTTTGATCCAAACCTCGGCATGAAATGACCTGCCTGCAAAAGATCTTGAATGCTAGCGACGGATGAGAAACGCCGTCCGTTGGTCACCAGTTGAACAGATAAGCCGATACAAGTCGGTTGCAGGTTCCGGACCACGTAGAGCAAAACCATTCGATATACACCAGCGGGCGAGGGAATTTGCCATAGTGAGAGGATAATTTGAATATGACACGTACTTGTGCAAGGTGTAACCGGTTAACCCTCCATTGGCAGTTTGAATGTGTGACTGAAAAGACTCACCATCGAATTCTGTACCACTCTGCCATAACTCATGACCTTCGACGACAAAGGCAACATTGAGGTGTGAGGACAAAGGTAGCTTCCGACAATTGATTTGGAATGGCCAGATGGACTTGAATCCCATTGTGTCGCTGATGTGATTTCATCGAGGGATAAGAAGTAGGACGGGTTTAAATATGGCAAAGCGACCATACACACTAGCGGAAATAGATGAACGCAGAAAGTACTGGTCGATGAGAGCAGGTATGAAGTCGACAGCGGCGGAAGCCATGTAATAACGAAGGTGAAGGATTAATATTGAAACAACAGCCAGATTCTGTGCGAATAAAGCGTCGGAGGCAGGATGCGAGCAACGAGTGAAGAGGTAGGTGTTGGCCTGGTCAGTTTGCAAACCAAGGGTTATAGGATGCTGTGTGAATGAATTAGTTGGTGGAATATAGCTGTGCTATGTGGCTAGGGAGTCGGATGCGGGACATTTGAGAGGTTAGTAATACTGCTGGCAGTATAATTGGAGGGAATGAACGAATAGGCGGTGGCGAAACTGAAGGAGCGGGATATCCCGACAAGGGCCAGGCTGAAACCTCCCAGTGCTTTCGAGCGTGCACTGATTTACAGTTACATACACGCTCACAAATATCAGCAAGATTCTATGGAAAGCGGGAGTGATCAGCTTCGCTAAGCGTGTTTGTCGACTGTCTTCCTTGTTGCTTCATATTGCATTGTGGTCTGATTCTTCCGCATACAATGTTATTTTTCTTTCTTCCAAACGAGTGACTGCACAGTCGCGGGCATCATCTCGAGACTCAGTCGGTGCCACCTTTCTTCGCTTTTTCGGTCCTCCATGGGATTTTGTTGCCTGTCGATCGCTTTTCTACTGCCGCTGAACGAACACTCAAGCAGAGTGCCTAGTGTTATTCGACTCTCTAATGGGGTCTTCATCAACCCTCGACTCGAATACTCCATCACTATCAGATATATTATCTCCCCCCTACGCTTCACAAATGCTTGTTCTGCCAGTATCCGACCCCCTTCTTTATTTCCTTGCATCTTCCCTGCTTAACTATGGAAAGCGTACAAGGACAGAGCGCATCGGCTCCCGCACCCTCCTTTATATTCACGTTCTTACCTGCGCGCCGCCACTTCCTATCCTTTGCCATGCTCTCACCACCGCTTCCCCCGCTGTCAAGTGCTTATCACAGAAGCACTCAGGAGAGAACGTTGTGAGACTTGCCACGCTTACAGAGGCGTAAGGGTGGATGTCCATGCTGGATTGTCCGCCAGCATAAACAATAGTGGGAAGATGGTGGAGGAGCGTTTAGCACGAGAGACTATCGCTGTTATTAATGGAGACAGGAAAGCTATTACTGACAAAGAGCTGGCACACAAATAAGCTGTGATCAATAGGTATGTGCGACATTGACATCGGGTAACTCTCGTTGACGCATCGCGCAGGGGCAATGCGCTCGTGAAGTAGGATGTCGTATGTTTACTGTATCTTTCCCCTCCCTGCCGAATTCAATGCAGTTACATAATGGCTCCCCAGCTTCGCAGCAAATTCTATACCATTTTCAGCAGTTCTAAATTGGTACTGGGCAGAAGTACTCTCCGATCTGGTCCCTCAAGCACCTTATTGGTAATCTTGATGCCCTTAGCAAAATTGTGGAGCTCTTCACACATTTGTTGATGAACAGAAGCTCCACGTGCCACGATGGTTTGAGGTTCGAAGTTCGTTACATAAATGATTCATGCCGCTAACAGTCAACGCAGCTTTCACATGGTCCTCAGCACATGATTCGTTCTCACCGCTTACTTCTTGCCTGCTTCTCCATCAAATGTCGCATCCAAAATCAAGTTCTGACTAGGTGTAATCCTCTGACCCATTAGAGGAGGGCTTTTTCTCCGACGAGGGTCGCATATATTCAGCTTCCCATCATTGGCGACCACTGTCCTCAGTAGTCACCAGTGCATCGTGCAATGTTCCTGGAGGAAAGTGAGAGCGATAAGGAGATGTACTAGCGTCGCCTTGGAGCTCATTGAATGCCAGTAGTCGTCCTATGTGAGTTTTTAGACCATCCAAGCAAGGGTTTGACTAACAGAAACAAATATCACGCCAAGGATGCATTAATTGATCAACTTGACGTTCTTACTAGGCTGAGCATCTTTGAAGTCGCATCGAAGTCGCGTTTGCACAATTTACGTACGTGCAGCCAGATATCACTGCTTTCCGATGACTCACGCCTGCAAACTCATTTAGTTTCCGATCCTGTTTCTCATTGTCCTTACTTAAATGACAGACAATGACCGGTCTGTGCATCTTGCGTGGATATATGTTCAGTACAAAGAGGTTAGGTTTTACTGGCTTTCAATGGTCACCATCCTGACGTGTGCACTTAAAATTTAGTATTGCCGTACTGCAATGCGATGTAGATCAACAGTGCACCGGATACGCATAAATGTCGCGTTGCACGACCGCTTTTCCATCACGAAATTTGATGCACCAGAAGCTATGGTCATAAGAGTTAATCCGGTGTCCATCACTGGCTATCAGAACGCATTCGTCGTATGGACTTCTATTTTGCATCACAATCACTCTTTGCTTTACATGTTCTATACATGCACTTTTCGTTCTCCGCTCCAACAGGTTTCTTTTATTCTGGCATCCCCAGAACGATCTCTCCTCAGTCTCTCAATTCCAATACTGAGGTGAGTATTAGCATTTACCGATACATACTTTCATTCTAACTACCTGCGTAGTTCCCCTTTCGTTTCTAGGTATGCACTGCCGTAGTACGAGTCTCTCAATTCGAAGACTGAGTTATCCTTTCGTTTCTAGTCTGAACCTCTCTTCATTTGAGACCGGCCTTCCTGTCTCTGCCTCTCATGGCAGCTTCTTCCAAACCGACAAATGAAAGTTCACATCCATACGACGCACTCCCGAATCACCAGGACTTCGACTCGATGATATCTGATGCGAAGTTTACTGCTGATACTAGCACCGATATCTACGACCCAGGTTTAACGAGTCGCAGAAGTGCCCTTGTCGGAGTGGCATGCTCAAGCATATTCAGTTGCTCATGCATCATTGCAGGCATTGTCACTTTAGCCAATCACGGGGTACTCGGAGTGACCGCAATCAACTTGTCCGTGCATAATTATGACTATAGTAGTCTGTTGCCCCTGCAAGGGGAGATATTGGCCCTGGCACTTAACTTCATCGGCACGTTATGCACCGAGTCCATAGGCTTCGTACACGGCATCTCGTTGCACTCTGCGCTAGCCTCAGAGTCTCGACTTTCTTTCAACACCAATCTGCGCCTTCTGACTGCAGCTCGTGGATGGTATAACCCTAACGGCACTTTGTTTAATGGTATCTCGGCTGTCCTCCTCATCATGTCCTACAGCTCGGCTTCACTCATCGTAGTTGTCGATACTGTGATTTCACAAACGTCACAAACGTCATCAGCACCTAAGATCGTCATTGCCATAGCAGGGACACCTCTTCTTGCTCTGGGCGTCGCACTCCTCCTCCAGGTGATTATCGCATTGTCAGGGATGCGGGCTGTCAAAATATTAACGTGGAGCTCCTCACCTTTCGACTTGACCGCCGCACTGGTCCACCACACGCAATTGACCCCTGCTACTTTGCGGTGCATGCGTTGTGTGTCTGACATAAACACAGATGAAGGTCCAGCAAAGCCACTCAAAATACAACCCTCTGCGTGGCATGCTCACCCTAGCATCCGGAAAGTCGTCATTTTTCTTTGGGTGATCGTTGCAGCATGCGCTGAATGGGCCGCACTTGTCATGTATATCTGGCACAAGTATGCCCCCCAGGGTATAATGTCCCCCGATGCGCTGACCCCACAAACGTGGTCGTTCATCCCCAATTTGCTGAACGGGAATTTCAATTACATCGGGTATTCTATACCGGGTGTCAATTTTCAGGTGTGGATTCTGGTCATTGTCAATATGGCAGTTGTCCAGGGACTATTGACACTGGGGCTGCATTGCTCGGAGCTCATAGCAAATGTCATTCGAGACGAAAAACAGTGGAGATGCGCTACCAGGAGGAAAGGACTTAGCACGGCGACAAACCCGGTGAAGACAATTTTCACTCATCCGACCTGTCTCGTACTTTTCGTCGCAAAGCCTTTCCTGCGTGAGTCATTCGCGTGTAGTATTCTCATTGATGTTGTTGAACACCGTTCCTCGACGATCACAGACTGGATGTTTGGGTATTCATTCATGATAATTGACTCTGCCTTTGATGGGAAACTAGAAGGCGTGCGGGTAGGCATGCTGACTGCCCAGGTTCGCACTTACTGCCTATGTAAAACTGCTATAGCATCCTCACATTCTTGTGCAGATCTGGAACTTATGCATAGCGCTGTTTATATTCGCCTGTTTCTTCACATTCGTCGCACTGCACCAACCGCGTGGCCCCCAGCCAGCTGCATACGGCCACCTCCAGACGCTCGCCAACCTCGTGGACGAGTGGTCGCCTGTGATGTGGTGGGGACATAAGGAGGACGGAATTCCGTACTGTCATGCTGGTAGGGTACTTACATACTTACAATGCTACTGCTTTGACACTTTTGCAAAGGGACGGGCGATCACCCGCTGCCGGATGTAAACATGGATCGTGTTTATGCTGGTTCTGGTGCCGGGTCTCTGGTATACGTACCCCTCTCGTGACTCACGTACTTGCTTTACTTTTTAAAGGGTATTTCTTGATTTCTCTTTTTACATAAAGGAGCTATATTCACGTTAGGACAGGATTTTGATTCCAGTGATTCCGAGTATTACGTACACAACCACTGCTTAGCACCGCTCTTCCCGCATCATGCATCACTCTTTACTTGCTTTAGCCTGTTTTAATGTCTATAGCCTGATAAATATCGCGTCATGCTACCGTGTTTCAATCACAAAGTCACATCATACACCAGAGGCTATGGTCATAAGTGAAATACATTTAATCTCGTGTCCGTAATACACACATGTACCGTTCGTTCTCCGTTCCGACAGGTTTCTTTTATTCTGGCATCCCCAGAACAATCACTCCCCAGTTTCTGAGTCCGAAGACTGAGGTGAGTATTAGCATTTACCGATATATATTTTCATTCTCACTACCTACATACTTAGTTCTCCTTTCGTTTCTAGGTATGCACTGCCGTAGTAGGCTACAACTCTCTCAATCCAAAGACTGAGCTATCCTTTCGCTTCTAGTCTGAGCCTCTCTTCATTCGAGACTGACCTTCTTGTCTCTGCCTCCCATGGCAGCTTCTTCCAAACCGACAGATCAAAGTTCGCATGACGCACTTCCGGATCACCAGGACTTTGACACGATGATATCTGATGCGAAGTTCACTGCTGATACCAGAACCGACCTTTACGACCGCAGTCTGACGAGTCGGAGATATGCCCTTGTCGGAGTGGCATGCTCAAGTATCTTCAGCTGCTTATGCACCGTTGCAGGCATTGTTACTTTAGCCAATCAAGGAATCCTCGGAGTAACCACGATCATCATGGTTCCTTCTAGTGATACTCAATCGTCCCTCCAGGCGGAGACATTGTCTCTGGCACTTAACTTTATTGTCACGTTATGCACCGAATCCATAGGCTTCGTACACGGCATCTCATTGCACTCTGCGCTAGCCTCAGAGTCTCGGCTTCGTTTCAACGCCAATCTACGCCTTCTGACTGCAGCTCGTGGATGGTATAACCCTAACGGCGCTATGTTTAACGGTATCTCGGCCGTCCTCCTCATTATATCCTACTGCTCAGCCTCACTCGTCATATGCATCGATGCTTCCCTAAGACATTGTAGTTTTGCCATCGCAGGGATACCTGTCCTCGTTCTGGGCGTCTCACTCCTCCTCCAGGTGGTGATCGCATTGTCAGGGATGCATGCTGTCAAAATATTGACGTGGAGCTCCTCACCTTTCGACTTGACTGCCACACTGGTCCACCACATGCAATTGACCCCTGCTACTCTGCGGTGCATGCGTCGTGTGTCTGACCTAGACACGTATGGAGGTCCAGCGAAGCCATCAGAGATACAGCCTTCTGCGTGGCATGCTCACCCTAGCATCCGGAAAGTTGTCATTTTTCTTTGGGTGATCGTTGCAGCATGCGCTGGATGGGCCGCACTCGTCATGTATATCTGGGACAGGTTTCAGCATTCCGACACGGATGTAGTGTTCGGGTCCGGCAGCGCTCTCACCCAACACACGTGGTCGTTCTTCCCCAACGAAAAATCCACTTACATCTGGTATAAGTCGTCGGGTCGTATGCTGTTCTCATGGGTCAACATGGCCCTTATCCAGGGGCCATTGACACTTGGGCTGCATTGCTCAGAGCTCATCGCAAATGTCATTCGAGATGAAAGACAGTGGAGACGCGCTACCGGAAGAGAAGGACTTAGAATATTGACGAACCCGGTGAAGACGATTTTCACTCATCCAATTTGTCTCATACTTTTCGTCGCGAAGCCTTTCCTGCGTGAGTCATTCACGCCTCCCTTTTTTTATCGGTGTTATTGAACATCATCGACAATCAGACTGGATGTTTGGGCTTGCATTCAACTTAAGTGACAACGCCATAGAGGGGTCACTGGACTCATTGAAGGTAAACATGTTCGCTGCCCAGGTTCGCACTTACTGCCTACGTAAAACTGCTACGACACCCTTACAACCTCGTGCAGATCTGGAACTTATGCATAGCGCTGTTCATATTTGCCTGCTTCTTCACTTTCGTCGCACTACGCCGACCGCGCGGTCCCCAGCCAGCTGCATACGGCCACCTCCAGACGCTCGCAAACCTCGTGGACGAGTGGTCGCCTGTGATGTGGTGGGGACACAAAGAGGACGGAATTCCGTACTGTCATGCTGGTAGGATACTTATATGCTCACGATGATGCTGCGTTGACATTTTACAAAGGGACGAGCGATCATCCGCTGCCGGATGTAAAGATGGACTACGTTTATGCTGGTTCTGGTTCTGGGTCTCTGGTCGTGAGAGGTACTTACTTTACTTTTTTAAAGGGCATTTCTTGATTTCCCTTTTAAACAGAGCTATGCCGATGCGCCGTCACGGCCGTTGAAATCGTCTCACAGATTAAACCTGTGAAAACAAGTTTTACCCCCGATTAAACAGAGCTATTTCCACGTTAGGCTGGCGATGTATTGACAGGCACACAACCAGCCATGCTATTGAATGATACGTGTACAATTTTATCCTGCTTACTACGTTGTAGGTAGTTCGTCTTAATATTGCTCCAACTCGGGCTTTGTGAAACCATGATGGATGAATGGACAAATTCACTTGAGCTGCAGAGGATGCGTTGAGTTGAAATATGAATTGGGAGGGGCACAGGTGAGCTGGCCGACATTAATAATTAGTAATTAATTGATCAGCTTGACATTCTTACCAAGGTGAGCATTTTGAAAGTCGCATTGAAGTCGTATTTGCGCAATTCACGTACATGCAGCCAGATACCGATGACTCTCACCTGCAAACTTATCTGACTTCTGATCCTGTTTCTCATTGGTCTTACTTAATTGACAGACAACGGCCGGTCTGTGCATCTTGCAAGGATATGTGCGCAGTATAAGGAGGTTAGGCTTGACTGGCTTTCAATGATCACCATCCTGAAATGTGCACTTTAAGTATTATCGCACTGCAATGCGATAATCAACAGTGCACCCGATATGTATAAATGCTGCGTCGCACAACCACTTTTCCATCACGAAGTCACTTGCACCAGAAGCTTTAAGATGTAACCTGCGTGATCATCGTATCAAAATGCGTCCGTCGTGCGTATTTCACTTTGCATACACAATCACTCTTTGCTACTCGTGTTCTACACATGCACTTTTGGTTCTCCGTTTCAACAGGTTTCTCTTATTCTGGCATACCCAGAACGAACTCTCCTCAGTCTCTCCATCCAAATACTGAGGTGAGTGTTAGCATTTACTGATATATATTTTCATTCTAACTATATACATAGTTCTCCTTTCGTTTCTAGGTATGTGCCGTAGTATTATGAGTCTCTCAATCCGAAGACTGAGTTCTCCTTTCGTTTCTAGTCCGAGCTTCTCTTCGTTTGAGATTGGCCTTCCTGTTCCTGCCTCCAATGGCAGCTTCTCCCAAACAGACAAATGAAAGTTCACATCCATACGACGCACTCCCGAATGACCAGGACTTCGACTCAACGATATCTGATGCGAAGTTCACTGCTGATACCAGAACCGATTTCTACGACCGCAGTCTGACGAGTCGCAGAAATGCCCTTGTTGGAGTGGCATGCTCAATTATCCTCAGCTGCTCATGCATCGTTGCAGGCATTGTCACTTTAGCCAATACCGGAGTCTTCGGAACGACCAACGTGATCATCAAGCCCACAGCGAATCCAGGTGTTAATGTGATGCCCCTGCAGGCGGACATAATGACCCTGGTACTTGACTTAATCGTCACGTTATGCACCGAGTCCACAGGCCTCGTACATGGTATCTCATTACGCTCTGCACTAGCCTCAGAGTCTCGACTTCATTTCAACACCAATCTGCGTCTTCTGACTGCGGCTCGTGGATGGTATAACCCTAACGGCACCCTATTTAATGGTATCTCGGCTGTCCTCCTCATTATATCCTACAGCTCGGCTCCATTCGTTTTATGTTTGAACTATTATTTGACACATGAGGGTCTTTCCATCGCAGGGTTACCTCTCCTCATTTTGGGCGTCGCACTCCTCCTCCAGGTGATGATCGCATTGTCAGCGATGCGGGCTGTCAAAATATTGACGTGGAGCTCCTCACCTTTCGACTTGACCGCCGCACTGGTCCACCACACGCAATTGACCCCTGCTACTTTGCGGTGCATGCGTTGTGTGTCTGACCTAGACACCGATGGAGGTCCAGCGAAGCCATCAGAGATACAGCCCTCGGCGTGGCATGCTCACCCTAGCATCCGGAAAGTTGTCATTTATCTCTGGGCGACCGTTGCAGTATGCGCTGGATGGGCCGCACTCGTCACATATATATCGCACAAGCTCCCCTACGACATCCCGATGACCACAAAAACGTGGTCGTTCTTGCCGAATGAGTCGTCCAGTTACATCGTGTATTCTATTCCAGGTGTCAAACTTAAGGTGTGGATTTTGCTCTTCGTCAACTTAGCAGTTGTCCAGGGACCGTTGACACTTGGGTTGCATTGCTCGGAGCTCATCGCGAATGTCATTCGGGACGAAAGACAGTGGAGATGCGCTACCGGAATAAAAGGACTTAGAACGGCGACGAACCCAGTGAAGACAACTTTCACTTACTCGAGTTGTCTCATACTTTTCGTTGCGAAGCCTTTCCTGCGTGAGTCATTCCTATCTAGTATCTTTTATAGGTGTCATTGAACACCATCCTCGACGATCACAGACTGGATGTTTGGGTATTCATTGAGGATATCCGGTCACTCCACCTCTGAGGAGGTAACTTTCGCGGTAGTCATGTTCACTGCCCAGGTTCGCACTTACTGCCTATGTAAAACTGCTACAACATCCTCACACTCTCGTGCAGATCTGGAACTTATGCATAGCGCTATTTATATCTACCTGTTTCTTCACTTTCGTCGCACTGCGCCGACCGCGCGGTCCCCAGCCAGCTGCATACGGCCACCTCCAGACGCTCGCCAACCTCGTGGACGAGTGGTCGCCTGTGATGTGGTGGGGACATAAGGAGGACGGAATTCCGTACTGTCATGCTGGTAGGGTACTTATATGCTCATGACGATACTGCGTTGACATTTTACAAAGGGACGAGCGATCACCCGCTGCCGGATGTGAAGATGGACTACGTTTATGCTGGTTCTGGTGCTGGGTCTCTGGTACCCCTCTCGTGAGAGGTACTTACTTTACTTTTTTAAAGAGCATTTCTTGGTTTCTCTTTTTAAACAAAGCTATATCTATGTTAGGCAGGCGATGCATTGACGGGCACACAACCAGCCATGCCGTTCAATGATACACGCAAAATTTTTATGCTGTTTGCTGTTGGTTTGCTGTGTTGTAAGTAGTTCGTCTTGATATTGCTCCAGCTCGGGCTTTATAATACCATGATGGATGAATGAACGAATATATATGAGCTGTAGAGGATGTAATGAGTTGGAATATGAATCGGAAGTGTACATGTGGGCTGTGAATACCAGTGAAATTGGCCGACATTAAATAATCAGAGTCTTGGTAGGATCGTATTGCATATAGTACATACTACATGCTGTGGTAGGTAAGTCCTGTGGTTGGTCTATATGTAGTGATCGACGAACAAATCATCATCAATTATGTATCTGATATCTGAGTGCGCAATGATATCAACTGCGGTCTTGACCAGAAGTGGAGGACCATGAGATACCCTTAATTTAAACGTCCATGAAAACAAGACTGCGAATTGTCTGAAACGGTCATGATCTCCTCAAAATCTCCCACAAATATTGAGATTCAAAGTCAAAATTCATTGTTCTGCTGTTTCAGAGTGCGCTTGTAGAGTGCAAAAATAACTTCCTACTATCGTAATATACTTATCACCAATTCTCTTCGCAACGGGAACTGATCTGATACGAGGAAGTCATTGTTAAACGGCGATCTGAATATCAAGCTGTGCCATATGCGCTCTACACATGTTATCAAATAAGTGGAAATTAATGCAAGGATTGATGTCAGTAAGCTCGAGAACATCACCGTTGGCTCACAGCGCATCTACCTTGTTTGATCTAAATCTCAGCGTCAAATGACCTGCTTGCAAAAGGTCTTTGACGCTAACGACGGATTCGAAACGCCGTTTGTTATCAGTTGAACAGGCAAGTCGATACAAGACGAGTTGGTCGCAGGTTGCGGATCACGTAGAGGGCAAAATCATTCGATGTACACGAGCAGGTTAGGGAATTCGCCATAGCGGGAGGGCAATTTGAATACGGCACATATTTGTGCAAGGCGTAACCCTGCATTAGCCCGAGTATTGTAGTTTTTATGTGTGACTGAAAAGACTTACCATCAAATCCTGTACCACTCTGCCACAACTCATGACCTTCTACGACAGAGGAAAGTGAGGACGAAGGTAGCATCGGACATCGTGATTGGGCATGATCAGATGGGCTCGAATCGCTGATGTGATTTCGTCCAGGGATAGGAAGTAGGATTGATTTACAGCTGCAGACGTCGAAACGATCCTACACACTAGCGGAAATAAATGAACGCGGAAAGGAAAGCACCGGTCAATGAGAGCAGGTACGAAGTCGAAAGCAGCGAAAACCGCGTAATAATGGAGGTGCTGAATTAATATTGGAACGACTGTGCAAACAAGGCGTCGGAGGGAGAGTGAAGAGGCAGGTGGTGTCCGAGGGTTACCCGAAAGAACTGAGTATATAAGGTCCGACTGATAAGCAACAGAAAAAAGGAAATAGACGTTAACCGGTCCAAGCCAGCATCAGATCGATCATCCCTCCATAAATAGTATTTCAAGGGTACATATATGGTAAGATGTTCACCTCGGACAAGTGCACAACCACTGCTTAGCACCGCTCTTGCATCACTCCGATACTAATAAGCTTACGCTTAGCCTGCAATAGAACGACATTATAGCCTGATAAACACCGCGACACACGACCGCTTTTCCATCACGAAGTCATATCAGACACTGCAGGTTATGGTCATAAGTGAAACTTATTTACATAATCTGCAGGTCAATAATGCGCACATGCATTGTTCGTCCTCCGTTCCAACAGGTTTCTTTTATTCTGGCATCCCCAGAACGAACACTCCTCAATTTTTGAATCCGGAGACTGAAGTGAGTATTAACATTTACCGATACATATTTTCATTCTCACTAGCTACATAGTTCTCCTTTCATTTCTAGGTATGCACTGCCGTAGTACGAGTCTCTCAATCCGAAGACTGAGTTATCCTTTCACTTCTAGTCTGAGCCTCTCTTCATTTGAGGCTGGCCTTCCTGTCTCTGCCTCCCATGGCAACTTCTTCCAAACCAACAGATGAAAGTTCGCATCCATATGACGCACTCAGGCTCCCGAATCACCAGGACTTGGACTGGATGATATCTGATGCGAAGTTCACTACTGATACTAGAACCGATTTCTACGACCGCAGCCTGACAAGTCGCAGATATGCCCTTGTCGGAGTGGCATGCTCAATTATCTTCAGCTGCTCATGCATCGTTGTAAACCGCAGCCTGACAAGTCGCAGATATGCCCTTGTCGGAGTGGCATGCTCAATTATCTTCAGCTGCTCATGCATCGTTGTAAGCATCGTCACTTCAGCCAATCACGGAGTCTTCGGAGTAACCGTGATCAACATGGAGAATATCAACGTGGAGAATATCAACACTGCGACTCAGCTGGACGTCCAGCAGAGGGAAATTCTGGCCCTGGTGCTCAACTTAATCGTCACGTTATGCACCGAGTCTATAGGCCTCGTACATAGCATCTCATTGCGCTCTGCGCTAGCCTCAGAGTCTCGGCTTCGTTTCAACACCAATCTGCGCCTTCTGACCGCAGCTCATGGATGGTATAACCCTAACGGCGCCCTGCTGAATGGTGTCTCAGCTATCCTCCTCATTATATCCTATAGCTCGGCCTCACTCATCGTATGTTTCGACAACCAAACACTGTTGGCACCCACGTGGGCCATGGCATATGATGAGGGTATTGCCATCGCAGGGTTACCTCTCCTCGTTTTGGGCATCACACTCCTCCTCCAGGTGATGATTGCATTGTCAGGGATGCGGGCTGTAAAAATATTGACGTGGAGTTCCTCACCTTTCGACTTAACCGCTGCACTGGTCCACCACACGCAATTGACCCCTGCTACTTTGTGGTGCATGCGTTGTGTGTCTGACCTAGACACAGATGAAGGTCCAGCAAAGCCACTCAAAATACAACCCTCTGCGTGGCATGCTCACCCTAGCATCCGGAAAGTTGTCATTTTTCTTTGGGTGATCGTTGCAGCATGCGCTGGATGGGCCGCACTTGTCATGTATATCTGGCACAAGTTTTTCAGCCAGGGTATGATGTCCGCCGTTGCGCTGACCCCACAAACGTGGTCGTTCATCCCCAATTTGCTGAACGAGAATTTCAATTACATCGCGTATTTTATACCGGGTGTCAATTTTCAGGTGTGGATTCTGGTCTTTGTCAACATGGCAGTTGCCCAGGGACCATTGACGCTGGGGCTGCATTGTTCGGAGCTCATCGCAAATGTCATTCGAGACGAAAGACAGTGGAGATGCGCTACAAGCAGGAAAGGACTTAGCACGGCGACAAACCCGGTGAAGACGATTTTCACTCATCCGATCTGTCTCATACTTTTCGTCGCGAAGCCTTTCCTACGTGAGTCATTCACGTCTAGTATCTTTTATAGGTGTTATTGAACACCATACTCGACGATCACAGACTGGATGTTCGGGCTTTCATTCACCATATATAACTCTGCAACTGACGGGGAACTAGATGGGTCGTTTGTGGACATGTTCACAGCCCAGGTTCGCACTTACTGCCTACATAAACCTGCCACGATGTCCTCACACCCACGTACAGATCTGGAACTTGTGCATAGCGCTGTTTATATTTGCCTGTTTCTTCACTTTTGTCGCACTGCGCCAACCGCGTGGCCCCCAGCCGGCTGCATACGGCCACCTCCAGACGCTCGCAAACCTCGTGGACGAGTGGTCGCCTGTGATGTGGTGGGGACACAAGGAAGACGGAATCCCGTACTGTCATGCTGGTAGGGTACTTATATGCTCACAATGATGCTGCGTTGACATTTTACACAGGGACGAGCGATCACCTGCTGCCGGATGTGAAGATGGACTGCGTTTATGCTGGTTCCGGTGCTGGGTCTCTGGTACTCTCGTGAGAGGTACTTGCTTCTCTTTTTCAAAAGGCATTTCTTGATTTCTCTTTTAAACATAGGAGCTACATCCACATCAGGCTGGCAATGCATTCATGGTGCACACAACCAGCCATGCCACTGAGCGAGACATATACCGTTTTTCTGCTGTCTGCTGCGTTGCAAGTAGTTTGTCTTGTTCTTAATAACTTCTTATATCATTCATATCTGGGACGACTTTTAGCAGAGACACGTTCAATTCAACCTTCAAGCAATTGTTGAATCGTTGCGATTTTTTTCCGATTTTATGTCTATTCATAGTGAGACTCTATGTATTAGGACAGTACTATCTAGTCTTGGAGCGTTGTGATTTTGGTCGATGACATGTCGTATAATTGACTTGCAAAGTTATACTTTATACTGTTCCGCCCCCGAAGTGAGCACCATAACCTAGGATTCATATGTTTGCCAGGTGTTCAGTAGAAACGTTTTCTTTTCAGACTCTAACGAGCATTCCCGTCGCTCCGCCACAGAGGTGGAACAAAACTTTCTTGCAAAATGATGCATTAATATTGTCTCCAACTCTCCGAGCTCAGTATGACACCGATGGTGGATCCCAGAAGTTCCCCAGTACTGAGGCTAGCTGTTGTGTAGTGTATACCATGCTCAATTCGATCTCTCTCCAATCTCTATCCTCAGCAACTAAAGTGTGGTTCCATGAAGTTCAGGTACCATTGGAAGATCTTTCATTGCAGATGGTAGTCTACTGATGGTCATCTACGCAGTGCTAGGTATGTACAGAATTCTAGTCTTTCGGATCCCGCGCCTCGCTGATGGCATCCCTCCCGCTCTTCCACTGATATGACATCCTTGCCCGTCTCACCAAATGTGGGTAATCCACCTGCAATCATGAACAGCCTTATTTTACGGCAGTAGCCTAGTAGTAAGCCATGTACAAAAAGACTAGAACGAAAAAAGGAACCGGAATGAAAATGTGCAACCGCTCACAGTAGCAAAAGGACGCCGTTATGCACCACAATCCATTCTACCAGTCCTCGTAGCAAGAGTGGACCAGAGGGGACATTGGACGGCAGAATTGCTCCTCGATGCCAATAACGTGGCTGGTAAACACGGTTCCTAGCCCCTCCTCTCCTTCAGCTTGCAGTCCTGACCTCCATCCCCACAAGCCTCCTGGGCTGTATGGTCGGTTCTGGGAGTCGCTGAGGTTGAGTGATGGTGGGAATTGGCGATACCGTGCGTGGATGCTGGTGGTAGCTGAAAAATGTGCGCCGGGTTTGCAGACGCTGTTGTTGTCAGAGATTCGAGTCCCACATGTGGGCAGTGCTGGAGGTGCGGTTGGGTGAAGAAATGACACTGAAATGTACGGTCAGGTGTAGTTTGGTGAATGTATGGCGCTAGGTGCAGATTGGAGGCGCTGCCGGGTTCAAGAAGCGCCATCGAAGCGATAAAGCGCCAGAAAGACATCGGAGGATGCTGTGGGCAGGGGCAGGTGTAGCAGGATGTCACGTCGTCACGGTGGGGCATGGACATCAGAGGGTGCAGCAAGTAGAATGTGAGAGTACCAGATGCGAAAACTTAAAAGACCTACCAGGGCTATTCATTCAACTCTACCTCTTTCACCCGTTTGTGCACACCATGGACCTCCATTACCAAGTGCCGGGACAGATCCTAGACGCCTTATGTGAAAGCATGGCGATGCAGGGGGAATTTAGCATACCTCCCATGAACTATGGCTATCCAGGACTAGAGCAAGTATCGATATCAGCACTTCCAGATGCGAAGGCAGGAAACACTGGCAAGTTGTCAAAGACTGTGGTTGTGTCACTCATTGAAGAGCTTGATAGTGTGACCAGCACAAAATTAGCTCATTTTCAGTGGGAAGAGAGCCGTACGCACTCAGATAACCTGATGGTAAGAACCCAGTTTCAGTCGTGCGTAGTATAACTATAAGGAGGACGATATTCACAGGGCATGAGTTGTACAACGATAGAACGTACTGCAAGGAATGGGTTTAATCTTCACCACTATCCTCGCTGGATGACGTATCGTCTTCATCTGCATTGAGTTGACTGGCTGCGAATTGATTGAGTGACATGGGTCGTCTAGAGACATTGCTGCCATCAGTATATCATCGTCGGATTCTTCGAGTTCTGCTTCCATCTCGCCCGAAGGCGTCAAGATCTATCTCTTCTTCCACTGGACCATTGTGGGTGGTTTCATCCCAGTCTTTTTCTGAGTCCGATTCTGCTGCTGCAGGCTTTGTGGGAGGAGCAGGAGGCACGAAAGAAGACTTTGTTCCTGGCAAGGCTAGTCCGGTCGAGACAGACGGCTTTGGACGTTTTGAAGGACGAGCGGGGCGACCAAAATCAAGAACCTTTTCCAAGCCGGAATCTTCTCTATACGTATTGGTTTCTCTCTTCGCCTTCGGTACTTCCTTGGGTTTGGTTTTTGGCTTCGGTTCAGACTCGTGCATCTTTGGAGGTGGAGCGGCAAGGCGAGACACTTTAGGTTTTGGAGGTGGCGAAGGAGCTTTATGAGGAGGTATCTCAATCTCCTCGCGCTCTTCTTCTTCCTCCTCCTCCTCCTCCTCCTCCTCTTGCCTTTGCCCCGTGACCTTTGCCCAAAATGTCATCGACGTCATCCACGGCCTCACCATCAGCATTTGAAAGCCCTAAAAGATCACGTTCTAGTTCTTTCTCCAAATCTACCGCATCTTTAAGCTGTGCTGTAGGAGTTGTTGTTGCAGATGCTGGAAGTCACCGAGCATGGATGACGATACCCGATCAAGCACTAGGTAGACAACTTACTAGACTTTCTTGTCATATCTAAAGCCTATGAAGCACTCTACCTTTTCAAGAGTGAATGTCTGGAGTGGTGTTACAAGCTGGATCCAACAAAATACAAGAGAACGGTTACTCACTTCCAGTTCCTCATCATAAATTAGGACACAATCATACTCCTTCACCGGCTGTTCACTCCCTTTGAAGAGATGGTTCTTGGCGCTCGCACGCCTGGTAAAATCATCAGCAGAGGCTCTGAAAGCTGAACATAGCACATGCGCCATACCTGCGTGCTAGGGCTTTCTAAAGTGATGCTGGTCGGGTCTTTCCCGCATTTGACTTCAATCGTTCCGGACCTGCTGGGTTCTATTGACTCTGGCTTAAAATTATCTGCCCTGTGTCTTTCAGCACGTTCAGAAACTGACAATAAAAGGCTTTGTACACCTGAAGGAGTAGGGATCCTTGTCGGGGAGATTAGAGCGCTTCAGTGGAGCTACACCTTTGCGAGCTTTGAGTGCGCGCCTTAGTGAAGCTCCTGTTGCTATGGAGTGTCAGCCTGTTGTTGATTGACCGTCCTAGGAGGCGAACGGAAAGACTTAGATCAATAATAATATTGTAATGCTGAAGTAAGCTTGGAAGTTGGCAGTGTGTTCATTGTTTCCTTGTTGTTTCCCGCGTTGTGGACAGCAGTCACGTGAGCACGCAGTTCGATTCAGGCAGACCTTTTAAATCAAGTCTTTACACTGTCAGTAATACGACATACTGCCCCATGGCAATCAAATGTCTTAACTCGATCGCAAGCTCGGATCATATGTTGCTAAAGAACTGAATATTTCGGATCCCATGCTTGAGCCGTCCTTGTTTGGTCCTTGTGTAATCGAGGAGTGCTAGCTTCAAGAACATACGACTACTAAATAGCCACACCTGCAGGCAAGACACTTCAAAGCTTCATGCTCTAAGTAACTTATTTTCAATGCTCCACTTGGCACGAAGGTGTACTGTTGTCATAGTCACCAGCGAGGAACCGACTTATCGAGCCCGTGCTCTGCCAGCATGGTCATGCTGTCGTGGCCAACGTGATTCACGCTGAAGCCCAGTTGATGTCGTTGATGTCGCCACGTTGGTTGAAACGCTCGAGAAAGGCCGGGTGCCCGCCCCCTAGCTCGTCTATTGATGCTTCAGAATATTCGACAGAACAACAAAGGACACGGAGGAACAGGGATGGGCGGAACGGTGGAATAAGAATTGGGGGTATTGGGATATCAAGAGACTCTGGATGAAATTTAGGTGAGTGAGATTCGGAGCACTTGCTGGACTGATCCATACTTATACTGAGCGCTGTCGACACTAGTGACTTTTGAATGACCGTCATCATGGTTAACACTTTTCTGGACCCATTGCAATCTTCTTGGTGTTGCAACATTGTATATTCAGTTATATTTTTCACATTCGACAGGCGTGTTTATCTTGTCAAGAGGACCTTGCAGTGCCAACGCCGAGAAAGGTGGTATTAGTCATAAGTTTGATCTATGCATGTCAGTTATTATTAACTTAATCGGTGCGGGACAGGCCTCAGGCACTATCATGACCAGCTGAGGCCAATCAAGTGACGTTCGTGGAATAGGCCCCTCAAATTACATCAGTACCTCCTTTTGCGAATGATTGCTGGATGCTGGGGCCATCATAGATTCAGCCATGATGAATCCCCCGTGCCTCCACCAAAAGCTGTGTACGGCAAAAATGCAAGTCGTGTTTTTCAACTTGTGGGTTGCCCAGTTTTGCCATTGATATCACTTTGTGCCAGCATAGCTTACTTATCGCTAATTCTTTTCATAGACCTGGAACCTGTACATGTCTATATATTGTAAGAACAGAGTGTTTGATGTAGGCAATCCCAGTAGGCTAATGATAGCTAACGATGGGGGGGCCATGCTGATATGTGGCACGATTCGAACTGCCAAAGCAGTGCTCCATCATCCTTCTGACACTGAAGCTGTGTTTCATCATATTTGAAAGGTATGCTCCCACTTACATGCTTATCTATGCAGAAGCTGTACAGTGCGAATCACATAACAGATCTAGATCTATGCGATTCGTTGGTCTCGTGTCCTTTTGTGGCTGCAGGATATATAGTACGGCGCAAACTTGCAATGGGCTCAAGCCTCAGTCAACATTAATGTCTTCGTCAACGCAGGACCTCATCCCACAACTTCACCTCGGGAACACATTTGGAGCACTGTTTATTGGGATCGTCTTTGCAGCAATGTTAGTAACCTACCTGCTCGCAAAGCGTAGGGCCTCATTGAGTCTTGTCGTCCCAACATATTTCACGGAACAGTCTCTTTGGTCTAAGTAACATTCAAGCTTTTTTCTACTTTCAGGCGCACAGGGATACAGCGATATCGTTCCCTAAGCTAGCCGTACGTCGATGCTTCCTTCCTCAGTTCAGTTGTTGATGCTACATTAGGTCGCCTGGCTTTGGTGTGTATACTCTTCAGTTGCCATTGTCGAGCGCAGCGAGTTTACACCCTTCCTTGAAATTTTAGGATACTCGATGCTCTACACCTGTTCTTGATAGTCCACTGCGTCTATTATTATTTAGTGGCCCACTACGCGGACATCAGTGCACTCACAGAAATTGTGTGGAGTTTCAAAGTGAGTTTCGTTGGGGCCTCCGCGCGGCCTCTACTAATACTATGATACTGACGGGCTCGCGCAGCTTCAAATAGTCTTCGATGTAAGTGGTTTTTTCTATGCACCGCAATCCGCCCACGCATTCATTACAGGTTATAATTGTCTATGGGGTACATCTGTAAGTTGGAAGTGTACTGTTATCTACGACTTGAAAGATTCAAGTGATGCTTTTATTGGTTCGCAGTCTGTACTTCCATCACATATGGATAGGTATGTGTTTCCATATCGAGCCAACGGGTTTCTACGACTGATGCAATGTACCAGTCGGAACGGGCCGATCAAGAGTCCTTCCTATAGCAGTGGTGGGTTTAAATCGATGATCACGTGTTATAGCATGGATTTTGATGATGCAGTATTAGGGTGTTATCGTAACTTTGGGTTCAGGTGAGTTCACGTTTGGTATTCCTCTTCGCTCGGTCTTCAAAATTTCTTAAGGTGTTGCCATCGGTGAGAGTTCAAAATATCGGCACTTTTGACAACGGTCGGCTCATCATTGTAATCCAACGACAGCCCTTATTTGGGCCATGTGAGTTAAACAACGTGCCGCCTAACTATACGAATTACTGATAGCGAGTAGCTATCAGTGCCATGTGTTCTCAGATCTGATTAACATCGAGTGAGCGACATTTCTGGCCCTGGGCACGATTACCTTTGTCGATTTCATTATCGCATCATCGTTATGCTATCTTCTCGCTACTTCCCGGACTGGATTCTCTAGGTAAGGAGCGGTCTGTTCATGCTGAGCGACCTGATATACCAACATGACGTACTTAGCACCGATTCCATGATAACAAAGCTCATGGCTTACATTATCAACACGGGTTGTCTGACGAGGTATGTCTCCTTCCAGACTAGTCCACATCTTGACTTATATTTCATGTAGCATGTGTTCACTGACAATTATGATTACAGTAAGCTTCCAGTGATTGTACTACCCGTCTCATCTCTGAGGTCCTTCCAGTGCGCAGTGATGCCGCACAACTTCATTTTCCTCGGCGTTGATTTTTTAGTGGCTAAATGTATTACCCAAAGCGTTCTCAGAATGTTGTGCTGACCACTGGTTCCTTTTCAGTATACGTCAACTCATTCTTTGCACTCCTGAACGCGCGACACTACTTGCCGCCCGCCACAGAAACTAACCATTCCCCTGAAGTCCACATGCGCTATGGTATCTACCGCCCAGAGCTGAACGTTATGACATCCCAAGACGAGGAATTCCAGGGATCCCGGAAAAATATATTTAAACATCCCGGCGATGAAGTGATGCATATTACTCGATCTGCCATGGTTAGTAGCTGCATTACTGGCGATGGAAGAGTACTGATTGTCACGATTTAGCCACATCGACCCATTGAGGCGACGGTGGAGACGAATTCATTCTCATCAGCGTGATGTATCAGTACTATTATGCATGTATCATGTATCCTCCGCCTCTTCGCGAGATAGGACTTGCAAGTCTTTATTAGATCACCGCACAGCCAGTGTGGGGACAAGAATCTACATAGTCCATTATGCCTCTATTTGTGTGTTTCATATGTCACTACTACTCAGTTATTCAGTTTCATGCGCTTGGAAGCAACGAGACTCTCGTACACAGACCACTAGTGGACTCCACTCCAATGGACAAACTTCCTCCACTAACGTGGGAGTCCTCGTGTGATTGAATACATCGAGGACGAGCATACGACTAGTCATACCTGCAAGACGCTTCACACTCTGATATCCTCAATGATCCACTTGGCACGAAGGTCTACTGTATAGTCATCATAGTTACCAGCGAGGAACCGATGCATTGAAACCCATGCAATCATCGCTGCATTGTCTGTATTGAATTTGAAACCCTGTGAATCGGTCGACATATTGAAATGCTGACCTGTGCATAATTCCAGCGGGGGGAAATGGAGCGATATGCGCTCATCAGAGCTGTACTCATCCAGTGCTGCTCGGAGCCTACGGAAACTGAGGACGAGAAAGAAAACCGAGCTTGAGAAACTTACCTTTCGCGTAAAAAGATGTTACTGGCGACCCCGCCGCTAACGACGACATCCCTGACGTTCACGCCTTTCAGCTCGAGATTTTGAAGGCTCAATGTAAGCTTAGCACAGAGTTGACGGGCCGCGGCTGTCTGGAATGCACGAGCCAGGTGTTGAGAGGTGATCCGTCAGAGCACCCGACCCGGGAACCTGACCCGGTGTCATTCTAATATCGCGACTGTCACTGTACAATTTCCCCTGTCATTGCATGTCACTCATCTAGTTACATTTATTTTCTTTCTCTTTACTTAAGGCGGGCAGACGCCCTCGTCGCACCTCAGTCTCTTTGCCATAGACTGAGGTGTGTATGCTCTCCTTATCCCTATTGATATCATACTCATTAGTACACCTATAGGCTCGCGCTATCTTAGGTTCGTACATTAGGAATCTTAGTCTCTTTGCCATAGACTGAGGCTCGCGCTATCTTAGCTCTCACCCTTTAACAGGTTATGAGCCCTGCCTAAAGGACAGCAGCATTCTCTTACCAGACATCTCATCACACAATGACTTCCTCTGACTCTCTCCCGAAGACCGAGAAGTATCTGCACGAGAAGCTCACCCTCGACGGCTCTAACTATTCTCAATGGGCTACCGGCTTTAAGATGTGGGCTGGTGGTATCGGCCTATGGCCATACATTAGTGGAGATGAGACAGCACCATCCCCGCCGGCCCCGCTCACAGACCCTGACCAAAATATCCTCCGCCAGGAGAAACATGATGAGCGGGTAAAGCTTTATAAACAGTGTCGACTTCTTGCCCTCAGTGCACTCTCTACAGCCATTGACACACAAGACTTTGTCTATCTGCGTGACATCGACGACCCACACGTTGCTTGGATCGCCCTGGAGAAAAAGTACCTTCCCCAGAAGGCCATTCGGTTCAACCAATATCTCGATTGTCTATTCACCCTCCCGAAAGCACATGACAGTGTATCCATCGCAGAAACACTGCAGATACTCATTGTCTTGAAGGCAGATCTCGCAGCACTATCGGTTGCGTCTGCATCAACGCCCGTTCCTGCTGCCACCTCTACAACGTCTGCATCCATCACAGCTAAGAAGGAGGAATATAAAATCCCTGACGCTATCTTTGTACACGTCCTACTCCGAGCTCTCCCTGACTATTACGACCCTCTTCGCCAAACACTCGTTAACAGCGATGCATCACTAGACTTCAACGACATCGTGAACCAACTGAAGACCCAAGAGCTTCATCATGCTGGCACTAATAATGCGCCAGAGCATATGGCCATGCTCTCGGGTCATCGGGGCAGCAATGCACCTCCCAAAACTTGTGATCGCGTCCCTCCAAAAGGTTTTGACGAGTCGAAAGGGGATGGCTGGATTGTCGGATGGAGGCCTAAGTGTGGTCACTGCCAGAAAGCTGGACATGTCTGGGCACAATGTCGCGCACGACTCGCCAAGGATGAGAAGAAGTCAGCACCACATTCGTCCCCTGCTGCTGTCGCCGCTAACACAGAATCTCCATTGGCAGACCAAGCTGACGAATCTGTCACGCCCCCTCCTTTCATCCTTACCCTAAAAGATCACTCTGCCAGCATCTCGTCCACCCTTAATCTGCCAGACGGGATGTTCCATGTAGATTCTGCCTCAACCGCTCACATGGAGCCTGAAATTTCACGCTTTTCCCACTATACCAAACTGCGTGAACCAATTCGTGTGACACTGGCTGATGAACATGTGGTATTAGCCCCAGGATGGGGTAGAGTGAGACTTGCCCTACGCTATGGTACTTCATTGACAGAACACGACTTTGAATTCTTGCACGTCCCTAACCTGCGCTGCACACTCATCTCTGTATCCACTCTCGCCTCTGCTCACATCTCCTTCACTGCAACCTCTAAGGGTGGAACCCTGCGCTCACAGGATGGAGACGGCCCATTCCTCGCTCATGTGCACCCAAAAGGTGGCCTATACTTGCTGGATGCTACCTACTGCGCCCCGGTCGCGCCCACTCCCATGCAAGCCATGCTGTCTAGCTCGTCCAACACGCCATCATCCCTCCATACCTGGCACCGCCGTTTGTGTCACACTGGTTTCTCAACCATTGTGAAGGCCATTGGGCACGTTAGTGGTATGACCGTCAATGCGAACCTGTTGGACGACACCTCGGTGTCTTAATAACCGAGGGTCTTATATAAATACATGTAAGAATGTAATGACACCACAATTACACTGGATAAGACTTCTTGCCAGTCCTCGATTAACACAGCCTACGACTTTTCTTCTTTCGTGGTAGATAACGTGTGAGTTCTTGGGAGGCTCGCTAAACCAATCAGTTAGATTAACTTAGCCGGAGCTTTATTATCTCTGATTGAAACTATGGGATTGTCTAGGATATACCGTCTAGACACTTGAACTGGTTTCCTGAATATACGATTAACTGTTGAGAAGCTGGTCTCAAATGTGACTATGTTGACCAAAGCTCGTGTTGGTCAATATACAAATACCTGGTGAGAACGCTGGTCTCACAAATAACAACAATGACAAATAAAAAACAATGACAAATAACAACAATGACCAAAGCTCGTGTTGGTCAGTATACAAATACCTGGTGAGAACGCTGGTCTCACAAATAACAACGTTGACCAAAGCTCGTGTTGGTCAGTAAACACTACGTGGTGAGGACACTGGTCTCACAAAACTGGGTTTCTATCGCGAGAAACTTACGTTATCTCAAGGGAAACACTTTCCCTGCACTTGCCTGGACAGTTCTTACAAAGGAAATGGGCTTTGTAAGCAGCAATTTGTTCAGACTGAAGCTTCTTAGGTGAGAGTTCAATTTGCTCAAGTGGGAGTTCTTGAATGCAACAAGTGGGAGATCTATTTTTTGGGGGAGAATGGGCTCTCCTTATATACATTTTGTGTGGGAATATTATGTAAGTAAAAAGGTGATGTAATGACTTCCGAATGTGAGAAGAATATTCCAAAAACTGGAGCAGAATGTTCTAGCAGGTGCAAAAGAACATTCCAGAATATTCATGGTGGGATAATAACATCATTCTGAGTCATTGGAATGTTCTAGCAAATTCCATGGAACATGACATCATTATGACATCACTATGATATCATATCTTTCAACCAAAATACCTGCAGGAGTGTAGGTGAAGTCCTATGACATCATTATGACATCATACCCTGTAGGTACAATTTTATGAAGCATCTGATTAGTCATAGAATCCTAATAGAAAAGTAAAGTAAAGAAACACTAGAGAAAACAACTCAGAAATAATGGAACAAATAATAGTACACAATACACGGGCTTTTTAGATAGGTTTTTGTTAGGCTTTGAACTTTTCTCTATGGGTTTCTCTAGCCAAAGTGAATAAGCCAAATGAAAGGCAATACCTTAACCTTCATTTTGCTTCTCATATCAACTAGGTCATTATGTGATTCCCATCTCACATATGACTTTTCTTCAAAACATGGTGGATTCATGAATCACTGAGGGAAAACTGAAACTATTGGACCAAGGTTTGATACCAAGGTATGGGTTGACTAGTCTGAGGACTAAGCTAACAGACTTTGTCTTTTAGGGGGATACCTAGTAGTCATGTCCATGCATGATTCCAAAATCATGCAGGACATCGGATGGGGCAGACTCCATCCATTGCATATCTTGCATGATGGGAAAGCACAAACGGCTTCCTTTCCCCAGCGTCGCACGCTGTGCGCAGGCTACTGCGGAACTCATCCACTCTGACGTGTGGGGTCCTGTCAACACCGCCTCCTCTACTGGTGATTACTACTTCGTGGTCTTCACTGACGACTTTACGAGGTATTCAGTGGTGTACCTCATGTGTGCTAAGTCCGAAGTATTTGCTCACTTCCAACACTTTCTGCCGTGGGTTGAGACTCAGTCCGGCGGCCGTGTTTGACGCCTGCGCAGTGATAATGGTGGCAAGTACGTTTCGAAACCCTTCCTCCAGTATCTTGCAGACCGTGGCATTGAACATGAGGCCACCATGCCCTATACGCCTCAGCAAAATGGTGTAGCGGAGCGTGGCCACCAGACGATTGTCACGCGTGCACTCAGCTCCCATCATCAGAGTGGCTTTCCCCACTCCTTCTGGGGCTGGGCCATCCTCAACTCAGCACATGTCAAGAATGTCCTACCTTCCTCCTCCCTCGCTGGTTGCACCCCTTTTGAGGCGTTTTATGGTCGAAAACCCGATGTGAGCTATCTTCGCCCTCTCGGCTGCCTTGCCTATGCGCATGTTCCGGAGGACACGCGTCGCAAATACGACTACGTCTCACAGCGCTGCTTCCTGCTCGGTCATGTTCAACATGCTGGGTATATTCTCTGGGACCCTTCCACCAAATGCACCATCCGCTCTCGCCATGTTCATTTTGATGAACATGTCTTCTATGCGGGCCCAGCCTCATCGCCTCTTGCTCCCCTTCTTGGTCCTGCCCCTCCTACCCCTTCATCAGTGGGAGCCCCAGGAGTTCCTTCATCAGTGGGAGATGCCCCATTGCTAGCTGGTGAGCCACCGGCATCGACCCCTGCTGATGCTCCACCTCCGCAGGTGCCAGTGGGAGAAGGCAACCATGCCCCACCAGCAACGGATGCCGTCCCGGTGTAGAAACTCGCGTTTCTGCAGGCACATATGGGCACATTTCGCACCTTTTCTCAACTCATGACAATTGGCCTTCAATGCACAACTTGCACCATCAGCTATATTCGACTTCTATCATGTCTCTAGTCGTTTTACACATAACGCGCAGCTTTCCCGCGAAACGCGCCATAGGCGCGCTACTTTCCCACACAACGCGCAGCATTCCCGCGCGCACTTAGCGCGTTTCTCTCGCACTTGTCGCCCTACTCCATACGCAACTTCTGCTATGTCTCCAGTCATTTGCACATACAATGCACAGCTCTCCTGCAAAGCGCACCATAGGCGCAACACTTTCTCACGCTTTCGCCTTTCGCGTTCCCGCGCGCGCGCTTAGCGCGTTTCTCGTGCTTAAGCGCACTCCATCGCGCATCATCCAGGAGCATCCATCCATCGTCCAACCAGTTCCTAGGTGTCCCTTTTCGTTATCAGACCATATTTAGCCTATTACACTTTGTATTTCGTTATGCACCCTTACTTTACATCATTTTACCTCACTTACATACTAAGAGTGCTCCCTACTTGGCTC